AGCCACCAATTTCGAAGGCTTCCTTCTCCTTCAGGCTGGCAAAATAGTCCAATCACCCAGAAAATTCAGGCAAACAAGTTATGAAAGAAAATAAACTTTATTTGCGAATAACTGAAAAATTACACACTTTTCCCTATAATTATATAAAAGATTACTAAATTCCCTACAAAAGGAAAAAAAAATCATCGCAATCGGACAATTTTTAGCAAATATACAGCTTACTGAAATTTGTATACATGTTGGTTCCAAACAAAAATGAAGATTTAAATTAATTTTTGTTTGCTTTGTGGATTATATTTATCGATAAAGTAACATTTGATTTCTTAATCTTTTGATAACTTGCATTTTGTTATTAATTTGGCATTTGATAACAAAATGCTGTGCGAATTTTTCGCAGGGGCCTACTATTATAATACAATATGAACTGCAGAATCCATGTAAATTACAGTTATACAATTTGAGCAACTGTTATTGAATGCGTTACTTGCTTTATCCTATTTCCATATTATCACTGTCTTAGATATAGCGTATATGTGGTCACTGGCGGATCCAGGATTTAATTTTTGGGGGAGGGGGAGGCCTTCAGCCCGAAAGCTTTTTTTTTTTCATAAAAATAACGATAATTACTTTGGAAAAAAAGAAAGGAACTAATTACCTATATGAAATGGTGTTTAAGTGATTCCTGAAGTCCGTTTAAATGTAATTACACGAACAATAATACTTTAAGAGATAAATTTTTAATATTTTTTTCCATAAAACATAGTTATATTTTGCCATTTTAGATGGTAGTGTTGTGGTTAATTATCCCATAAGTCGATGGTTCGGAACAGAAATGAACAAATGCTACTGTGAGTTCGTAGTACTAGTGCATAGTAATATATGGTAGTAACTAAATTGGACTGTGAAAGTGTAAATAAAACTGAACTATTTAGAAAATATAATTAGAAAATAATGATTAAAATCAAGGCGGGTCTGAACATGTCGGGGTCCTAAGCGATAAATAATTTGTTGCCCCTCCACAAAAAAATGTTTTTTCTACGAATATACAATAAATTTAACATTTTTTATTTAGTTTTTCTGATTATTTTTTTCGGTCATTTTTAAAATATTTCTCTTAGGAGCCTTTTCTATGAGTATTGTTCCGCCTCTGATTAAAAAGCTCTTCAAAATATTTTAAAAAATAACATTGCGAAAATGTATAACAACATGAAATCACAGCTTCGAAATAATGAGTAGTTATTCACATCCTGACTTAATTGCCGAGGAAACATAAGCTTGAAGGTATATTTTATCTAAAACGGACCATTAACCATTTTACTTCCCAGAGTTATTTATAAAACATTTTATCGACGGTGTTCTATTTCTGAAATGACAAATGTCTGACGGGTGGCCTATTCCTATACAGAGGCGAGTACATACCTCAATGTACAGAAATAGAAAAGGCCCATCTGGTGGGGGTAGTGGGCGTTTCCTAGCCAACCAATGGCAAGTTGTGGGAGGAGTTATAGTCCCTGCTAGGGGATAACATGGAGATCTCCTCTCGTCATTAGTTAAGATATATATTTCTAGCTTGTCAAATATAGCTAAATCAAGCTATAGATCTTTTTAAAATATAGTTACTATTCATCCTAAATCATCAACGCCAGATTAGGATATAAATTAATAGTTAATTTATTAATTTAAACATACAAAAAAAATCAAAACTATAAGACATAAGTTAGACATAAGGTCTCCACACTTTGGTGAAAAAATTCCCCTTTTATGGAAATTCTAAGGTTGCAAGGGGAAAAAAAGGAGAATCAATTTTAACAATCAAAGCCTATTCTGAAGATACTTTAATCTAGTTTTTAATAATGTTAGTAAAAAAAGACATAAAAGAAGTAGTTACATATAATATTACGAATTTTATTGTGTATATTAGCACTATATGTCTGACCAAAAGGAAAATTAAAAAAAAAATATTTGATACACATTGTCTGAGTAAATGAATGATTATTGCCTTAAATATTTTTGGTTTATTATTTTCAATAATGAACCATTGTGATCGAACAAAAAATTCAAAAACTTAACTCCCTCTCAAAATTTAAAATTTTACGTTTCAGAATACGTATAATTCGAAAACGAATAAAAATTAGATTTTCCGTCTGCCGTCCTCGTATTTTCTTCTAAACTACTGGACCGATTTTTTTTTAAATTAGAGATCACCCGAGGATGATCCTCCTACATCGACATTTCTAACCACCTTTTCCTTTCAAGATGGCGACCGAAAAATCTGCGTTGCTATAGACTGTAGCGACTAAACGAATGTACCGATTTGAATAAAACTTCGCTAAAGTATTCCTCTCGATGCCCTTTAAATTTATCTATATAACATATTTCAACGAAAAGAAGCTGCAAAATAAGTTACGAGGGATGAAAAAATTAAATTCCAAATAACTCAAAAAGTATACACTTTTTATAGTTATTTAAAAGTTTACAAAATTTCCTAAAAAAAAAAAAATCGTTAAAATCGGACAATTAGGAGCAAAGAAATGGTCTCTAGTTTTTTTTATATGTTCTACTGCAAAGATTATATCCATTCTTTTGGTTTTTGATTTTTGAATGTGTTACTGAAGTAATGCTAATTTTTTTAGCATAATACAAATGATTAAAAAAAAAAGTTTAGTCCAATAATTGGAATCACTTTTTATTTCTTTTCCTTTGTCACTAAGAAAGAAATGTTACTTTAGATGTATAATTGTTTGGAAATAATAATGCATTGTGAAATAATTTGAAGCGTTTTTTTTTTATCAATCATAGTTTTGCTGCTTTACTAACGAAGACAGCTTTGTATTCATGCGGTGAGTGAAAAAAATTATCTTCAGAATCGAACATTTTCACCCTCATGAAGATTTTAATACTCACGTGCCTTCTTCTGGCTAGTGTTGCACAAATGCGAGACCGAGACGAGTCTTGGTCTTGCGCAAGACTCTCGCAACAGACTTGCAGTTAGTTATTAGCTTATTAGGATAGAAATATTACTGTAATTTTTTAGATAGGAGAAACCTAACTAAGCCCGAATGAAAAATTAGAGGAATTGAAAAGTATATTAGTTATCCCCATCCGCACATATATTATTACAGTAAGGCTCGAAATCGGTTTTGTACCAAATATAAGTTCCTGTCATGCTCAAATACCAGAATGGGGTACCGTTGGATTCAAGATTTCACGAGGGGTTAGCGAATAGTATTCTCCGCTTTTGTTTTTCTTTCTAAAATAAATAAAGTCGATACAAACATTTTGCTAGGCTTAAATACCGGAAGGGTGGTAGGTCTGTAGATCGATGCGGGTCAAATTGCATCTTTTGATGCGTACATCGAGACCCGGATAGTTCCGGAGGATCCTGCGTTTTAAACCCAAAAATGTATTATTTTCGAGATAACGCAAGGCATGAGGTTCGCATCCACACAATCTGAAGTTAATTTTAGTACTGTTATTGGATACATGTCTCATTTCGTCGACTTGAGGCCTGTATGATCGAGAAAGGAGGAGTTTATATTATTTATCGATGGTGTTTTTGATCGGCAAGCCATATCATCATTAATTGTTTAATTTAATTGAGCCACCAATATGGAAGGCTTCCTTCTCCTTCAGGCGGGGAAAATAGTCCAATCACCCTGAAAATTCAGGCAAACAAGTTATGAAAGCAAAGGAACTTTATTTGCGAATAACTATAATAATTACACACTTTTCCCTTTGTCTACAAAAGGAAAAAAAAAATCATTGAAATTGGACAATTTTTAGCAAAGCTATAGCTTACTGAAATTTGTAAATATGTTGGTTCCAAACAAAAATGAAGATTTAAATTAATTTTTGATAGATAGAAGATAGAAAAAAAAACAAAAAAAAAAAAAAACTTTATTCTGGGACTAAGTCCCTTCAGAATAACAATAATGTACAAAATAATAGAATATTACTGGCCTGAAGGTTGAAACAATAAATAAAATTGATAAAATAAAATAAAAAGTAAAGAAAACCTAAGGTGCACAAGCTATATACAATACAGATAAAACTATGTACAGAGCATTTAAAATTATGAACAAAACAATTAAAACTATGAACGAATCACTTGAACTATGAACAAAATTATATTTAAGGGTTGAACAACATAAACATACACTTTGAGAAATGAAGAACGAAAAAGAGATACAATGAGTTCATTTCATAAAAAAAAAAAAAAAAAAAAAAAAAAAAAAAAAAAAAAAACTTTACTTGAATATATATATAAAAATAAACAGTTACTTATAATTGAATAAAAAAAAAATGTATGTATTGAAATTCCTACGTCGATAGTAGGAAATGCATGTACTATCTCTTACCAAGTGTTATGATTATATGATTGCTACACAATACATATATAATATTAATAGTTAGCTGGTATCTGACTGTTTTTAGAACAGGAATTGGAATAGGAGGTTTTTGAATGTGTACAGGGAAGGGGCATGTCGAATTTTGATCGGAAGGGAATTCCAAAAGTTGACAGAGCGGGCTATAAAGGAATTTTGGAATGAGGCAGGAATTTTTGTTTCCTTTGTCGATTATATTTATCGATAAAGTAACAATTGATACCTTTATCTTTTGAAACGTTGCATTATTTTCTTTTCTTATTAATTTGGCATTTGATAACAATATGCTGTGCGAATTTTTCGCATGGGCCTACTAGTACTAATTATTAACACATAGTAACTAAGATTGTCAAGTATTATTAACTATTTAGCCTTAAATTTTTATTTAAAAAATCGATTTTTTTTTACCAGTCGTGGTCTTGGTCTTGCAACAGTTAGTCAGCCTTGGTTTTGGGCAACACTATACACTATTCTACGTATCCTGCACGAATTATAAAAATTATAACTAAGTATTTTTCTAAACTTTTCTGAATAAAATGAATCCATTGCATTTTTAAATGTTTTTTTTATTCTACAAGGATCTCTTATCACAAGGACCTGTTGTTACTGTTATCACTATTCTGGACAGGGCTGAGGACAGATGAAGAGCGACTTGGCCTTGGGCATGTTGGCGAAGATGCTGAGGAGGCGCTCCGCCTCCCTGAGGCCGGAGAGGAAGGCGCCCCTGAGGCCGGGCGGGGGGCAGGTGGCCTCGCCGGCGAAGAGGAGGATGGGGGGCAGCTGGTCCGGTGATGGGAGGGGGGCGGCCAGGTCCGCCCTCTGCTCGGCGCTGCCCGAGACGCTGTGGGAGCCCCCGAAGTAGCGGACGCCCGACCAGCCCGACCTGCAGCCAACAACTGGTCATACCAATCCTTCACGTATAGTATCTAACATCTAAAAGTCAACCATTAGAAATTATATTGTCTTAATTTTTCTTCAAAAAATCGATTTTTTTTTTTACCTGTCTTTGTCTTGCAACAACAAAATGCAAGACCAAGACCGATTTCGGGCAACACTACCTCTCACCTAAGATTAACCGTATTTTCAACACAAAAATGACTACAATAAATTATTACAAAGCTTTAATCTCTTTTTTATTCATGACCTCGATATGTATTATAATAGAGATAACTGTATCAATACACTTTTTATTTATTAAAAATTAATGTTAAAAATCGTTTTTTTAAAATATTTATCCTCTTTTTTTAGGCAATACGCGATTTTCCCGGGTAGGAGGGTGAGGGCGTAGAATTCAAGATCCCCTCAGGAACCAGGATGCTAACTCGTACGTACTTTTTTAAATCTCATTTAAGCTCGTTAGCCCATTCGGCCACCCCGCCCCCCCAAATATTTATGTTCTAAAGCGATAATGGAACTGTGTTTTTTTTACCCAGATCACTATTACAGGAATTGATTCATATTTATATGTGACCCACTAAAAGTTTCCAGTCCTAATATTTACGTTTAAAATAAAGAAACCTGATGATTCCTTGCATTACTTTCAAGAAAACATTTAATTTGAATAATTTTTAATAATAATTTTTCTTATTTTTTTTCTACAGGTTAATCCGAGAATCCGGCTAAATGGTTAGATTTTATTCAGATCGTAATAAAAGATTTTTTCTCTCTTATAGATCGGTCTTGGTTGGATTTTTCGGTATCGGTATTTCGGTGCGATATTTCGGGATCACTGCGCGTTTTATGTTCTAAAGCGATAATGAAACTGTGGTTTTTTTACCCATATCACTAGTACAGGAATTGATTCATATTTATATGTGACCCACTAAAAGTTTCCAATACTAATATTTGTGTTTAAAATAAAGAAACCTGATGAATTCTTGCATTACTTTCAAGAAAACATTTAATTTGAATAATTTTTCTTTTTTTTTCCACAGGTTAATCCGAGAATCCGGCTAAATGGTTATCTTTTATTCAGATGGTAATAAAAGATTTTTTCTCTCTTATAGATCGGTCTTGGTTGGATTTTCTCGCCGATATTTCGGGATCACTGCGCGTTATATGTTCTAAAGCGATAATGGAACTGTGGTTTTTTACCCAGATCACTATTACAGGAATTGATTCATATTTATATGTGACCCACTAAAAGTTTCCAATCCTAATATTTACGTTTAAAATAAAGAAACCTGATGATTTCTTGCATTGCTTTCAAGAAAACATTTAATTTGAATAATTTTTAATAATAATTTTTCTTATTTTTTTTCCACAGGTTAATCCGAGAATCCGGCTAAATGGTTAGCTTTTATTCAGATGGTAATAAAAGATTTTTTCTCTCTTATAGATCGGTCTTGGTTGGATTTTCTCGCCGATATTTCGGGATCACTGCGCGTTATATGTTCTAAAGCGATAATGGAACTGTGGTTTTTTACCCAGATCACTATTACAGGAATTGATTCATATTTATATGTGACCCACTAAAAGTTTCCAATCCTAATATTTACGTTTAAAATAAAGAAACCTGATGATTTCTTGCATTGCTTTCAAGAAAACATTTAATTTGAATAATTTTTAATAATAATTTTTCTTATTTTTTTTCCACAGGTTAATCCGAGAATCCGGCTAAATGGTTAGCTTTTATTCAGATGGTAATAAAAGATTTTTTCTCTCTTATAGATCGGTCTTGGTTGGATTTTCTCGCCGATATTTCGGGATCACTGCGCGTTATATGTTCTAAAGCGATAATGGAACTGTGGTTTTTTACCCAGATCACTATTACAGGAATTGATTCATATTTATATGTGACCCACTAAAAGTTTCCAATACTAATATTTACGTTTAAAATAAAGAAACCTCATGATTTCTTGCATTGCTTTCAAGAAAACATTTAATTTGAATAATTTTTAATAATAATTTTTCTTATTTTTTTTCCACAGGTTAATCCGAGAATCCGGCTAAATGGTTGGCTTTTATTCAGATGGTAATAAAAGATTTTTTCTCTCTTATAGATCGGTCTTGGTTGGATTTTCTCGCCGATATTTCGGGATCACTGCGCGTTTTATGTTCTAAAGCGATAATGGAACTGTGGTTTTTTACCTAGATCACTATTACAGGAATTGATTCATATTTATATGTGATCCACTAAAAGTTTCCAATACTAATATTTACGTTTAAAATAAAGAAACCTCATGATTTCTTGCATTGCTTTCAAGAAAACATTTAATTTGAATAATTTTTAATAATAATTTTTCTTATTTTTTTTCCACAGGTTAATCCGAGAATCCGGCTAAATGGTTGGCTTTTATTCAGATGGTAATAAAAGATTTTTTCTCTCTTATAGATCGGTCTTGGTTGGATTTTCTCGCCGATATTTCGGGATCACTGCGCGTTTTATGTTCTAAAGCGATAATGGAACTGTGGTTTTTTACCCAGATCACTATTACAGGAATTGATTCATATTTATATGTGACCCACTAAAAGTTTCCAATACTAATATTTACGTTTAAAATAAAGAAACCTCATGATTTCTTGCATTGCTTTCAAGAAAACATTTAATTTGAATAATTTTTAATAATAATTTTTCTTATTTTTTTTCCACAGGTTAATCCGAGAATCCGGCTAAATGGTTAGCTTTTATTCAGATGGTAATAAAAGATTTTTTCTCTCTTATAGATCGGTCTTGGTTGGATTTTCTCGCCGATATTTCGGGATCACTGCGCGTTTTATGTTCTAAAGCGATAATGGAACTGTGGTTTTTTTACCTAGATCACTATTACAGGAATTGATTCATATTTATATGTGATCCACTAAAAGTTTCCAATACTAATATTTACGTTTAAAATAAAGAAACCTGATGATTTCTTGCATTACTTTCAAGAAAACATTTAATTTGAATATTTTTTAATAATAATTTTTCTTATTTTTTTTCCACAGGTTAATCCGAGAATCCGGCTAAATGGTTAGCTTTTATTCAGATGGTAATAAAAGATTTTTTCTCTCTTATAGATCGGTCTTGGTTGGATTTTCTTGCCGATATTTCGGGATCACTGTGCGTTTTATGTTCTAAAGCGATAATGAAACTGTGGTTTTTTTACCCATATCACTAGTACAGGAATTGATTCATATTTATATGTGGCCCACTAAAAGTTTCCAATACTAATATTTACGTTTAAAATAAAGAAACCTGATGATTTCTTGCATTACTTTCAAGAAAACATTTAATTTGAATAATTTTTCTTATTTTTAAATTATTTTTTCCACAGGTTAATCCGCAAATCTGGCTAAATAGTTAGCTTTTATTCAGATGGCAATAAAAGAATTTTTCTGCCTCATAGATCGGTCTTGGTTGTTTTTTGTTTTTTTCCGATATCCAATCAGATGATCTAAATCGGTGTATGATAATGTAATAATTTACGATTCCCGTAAACCATGGTTCCACTATACCTGACAACATCCCTCGGGGTGGGAATGTCCTTCATGCCGAGCCCTTCCTCGATGGCGGCCCGCAGCTCGCAGAGGACCTGCTTCTTCGAGAGCCTCTCCATCTTGACCGCCCCCGGGCCGGTGACTTGGACGCCGATCACGTGTTGGCTCCCCGGCACTTGCTTTATTTCTTTTACGTAGGTAGTCCATTCTGAACAGAAAATGGTCTTGTTAGAAGAAATTTAAAAGATCTACTACTGAAACCTCCTTTACTATTTTAAATAATATGTAACACAGCTACTTCCCAATATGCACTATAGTTATTTCCCACTATCTACTATATACTTCCCAATATCTATAGATCACCTAATTACAGAAGGTTATACCAAAAAAAAAAATAAAATACAATACAAAATTCTTATTAAGGACTCATTCAATTTCCCATTTTGAACCTAGGAAGTTAATAAATAAAAAAAAAACATGAAATATCCTAAAAGGTGATTAGGGAAGATACTATAATACGTATTAGTAGAAAAAGACCTTTTCAGTCTCGATAAATAATTACTTTATTTTAATAATAATAATAATAAGGCTTAGCGAACCCGAAGGTTCGATGCCGACACCACCAATCGCTTGTTACACACCTCCCTCCACCGTTCGCCGTCCAAACCCAGTCCCTTCAGATCAGCTTTAATGCAATCTTCCCACCTTCGCTTCGGTCTACCCCTCCGACGCTTACCATTCGGCACAGCAAATATTAACCTTTTAGGAATTCTCTCGTTACTAAGACCAACAACTTTACAAGCCCATTTAATTCGCCTCGATGAAATTACCTCAATTATATTACCCGGATATAGTTCACGCAATTCGGCGTTGTGTAACCGTCTGAACTCTCCGGTTAACTCATCCTTCTTCGGTCCGAATATTCTACGCAATACTTTATTTTCAAAAACCTTAAGACGCTGCTCATCCCTTAATGTAAGCGGCCAAGTTTCGCATCCATAAAGAACTGTAGGCAAGATAATTGTTTTATAGATTCTAATTTTTAAGTTTCGGGACAAGAGGCGCGAACTGAGTAGTTTTGTCACAGAAAAGTAACAAGCATTCCCCGCCTTCAGTCTAACTTTAATCTCTTCTTCAATTTCGTTTTTTCTAGTTATCGTAGAACCTAGATACCTAAATTTATCTACCTGTTCAAACATATTACCATCTATATCGATATCACCAGTAGTATCGCCATTTTTGCAGCTAACCATATATTTTGTTTTATCCACGTTTATTTCGAGTCCTAGTTCTTTACCGGCTTTCATTAACGTTGTCGTATTTAGTTTTATAGTTTCAACGTCTTCGCTTAACAGTACCAGATCATCAGCATAGCCCAGCACGGATGTTGTCCCGCCCAGATCCAACCCTTTCTCGGTACGCATTACCTCCCTAATGGCATGTTCTAATGCCAAATTGAACAGGACAGGCGAAAGGGAATCCCCCTGTTTTAAGCCCGAACGAACCTCAAATTTTTCGGACAAATTATTACCGATTCTAACTTTATTGAGTGTCTCCGTCAAGCACATCCTGACTAGATTTACTAGTTTTTTTGGAATTCCCTGCTCGATTAGAATATTATACAGTTTCTGGCGGTCAATAGAATCGTAAGCCTTTTTAAAATCTATATACAGCTGGTGAACAATACCGTTATACTCCAATTTTTTCTCTAATATTTGCCGTAAAGAAAATATTTGATCAATAGTCGAACGATTCCGTCTAAATCCGCATTGGTAGTCTCCGATAATTTCCTCTGCGTATTCCGTGATTCGACTGGTTAAGATTACAGTGAATATTTTATAACATACCGGAAGGAGTGAAATTCCTCGATAGTTATTACAATCCGTCCTCGGACCCTTTTTGTGAATCGGAATAAGAATAGATTCTTTCCATTCTTCAGGTAATTTCTCGTTCACCCAGATCTTTTCAACCAACCGATGTATTTTAGAAACTCCAGCTTCCCCGCATGCCTTAATTAGTTCAGTAGGAATATTATCGGTTCCCGCTGCTTTATATGATTTTAATTTTCCGATAGCTACTTCAACTTCCTCTTTACTTGGACCTTCTATTAACGGTTCAGCACTCTGGAACTCAGAAGGAGGACACCGATCATAATTTCCCGTATTTAAAATGTTGTCAAAGTGCTCCTTAAACATATTCAATATGTCAACCGGATCGGTCAGAATATTGTTATTATCATCCCTAATTCCAGACGTTACGGGCCCTACATATTTACGTGATCTGTTTATACCTTTGTACATGTCTCTTACGTTATTTTCGATTCTATTAGTTTCTATTTCAATTATTTTATTTTTAAGATACTCCCTTTTTTTATTTTTGAGCAATTTTGTCGTTTCGTTCTTTGAGATTCGGAAGTATTCCAGATTGTCTTCGCTAGGATTATTTAGAGCTTTTAATTTAGCGGCTTTCCTTTTTTCGCACATGTTTAAGCAATCTTCATCAAACCACGGTTTGTTATTCTTATTTTCCTTTTTTCCTAGACACGAGTTACCGACCGCTTTAATATTATCCCTGATCTCTACCCATAACTTGTCAATATCCTCGTGGTCCTCGTCAGGAAGCTCTAAAGCTTCAAACCTATTCTTAACATCTAGCTCGAATTGGTTTCTAATTGATGGATTTTTTAATTTTTCCAAATTAAAATTCTCAAAATCGAAACGGTTTTCTTTTCTCTTTTTTATATTAAGTTTTTGTCGAAGTTTCGCGATTACTAATTCATGATCCGACCCACATTCTGCTCCGCGATAAGACCGTACATTGATTATACTGCTTTGCCAGCTGTGTTGTATCAAGACATGATCGATTTGATTTCGTCGATCGTCGGGACGCACCCCATACGCGGTAATGAGCCCGCGCGAGGACTTTATTTTAAATTTATTCAAATTTTCGCTCGCTTCAGGAATAATCTGATTTTACATTTTTTTTTTCAGATGAAAATTTTAAATTACATGTAAAATCAGATTATCCCTGAAGATGACTGAAGAGGCGAAAATTTGAAATAAAGTTATTATTATTTATCGAGACTGAAAAGCCTTTTTTCTACTAATGAAATATCTTTACATTTTTTAATTTAAGAATTTTCAAACCTTTATTTTAATTATAAGAATTATCTTATAATACTTTTATCTTATTGACCAACGTTTCGAACCTTGTGACCATCATATAGATTTTTTATATTAAATAATTATTTTCTTTTTATAATTTAAAATTATTATTTATTTGTTATTACATTTATCAACTTAACATAATTTTACTATTTCAAACTATTACTACAATAATCTACTTTCTAATTGTTTTTCTCTGTATTATATAAACAAATGAGTGATATTTTATTTTCCACTCAAGGCGAAATGGCCGCACAACACTACCGCCGTGCGGGTTTCCGGACACTGCGCCCTAATCTCAGATAACATTCTAACTCTTCAAGATGTAAATTATCAACTATTCTCTTCTTTAACAATTTCTGTCTTTCATACATCTATTTCATTTGTATAATTTGTAAAATGGAGGTTGGTCCGCCGATAAGCTTACTATAATTGTAAAAAAACAGGCTACTATTGACTAGTCAACTTTAGTTTATAACCTTTCCAAAATCGTGGTCCTCTGAACTTTTGTTAATGGACCAAACAATCACAACAAAAAATTCCTCAGAACCTATTTCTTTTATTGAATCTTGAAGGAGCCTTAAAGATAGATAAAGAAAAATACAGACCAATTAAATAGTCATAGTAAAAACAAATATGTATAAGTTACTTTCTAATTTTGATCAGTTAATAATAAAAAATAAAAATTGATAAAAAAAAACATGAAGTAAAAATAATGAAGAACGAACTAATAATTTATATACATATTTAAAGTAGTATCTATTTACAATTTTATGGGGACTGGATGGATAATGAATGATTGAACAGGCAGCACTTAAAGGTAGGAAGAGTATTGGATTGATGGATGTGGGGAGGAATGGAGTTCCACAGGGATGAGAATAGAATAATACAAGATTTATCAAAAGCAGCGGTTCGGTGGAGCCTTATGTATAAATCAGAAGACCGGGAACGAGTATTGCGAGAACGAACAGAGGATTTGAATTGAAGGAGCTCGGAGATGTATGAGGGACGGTGGGATAGGATGACTTGAAAGAGGAAATATTTACGGCGGTAGGAAGGATAAAGCCACTTCAACTCTGCATAAAAACGGGAAACAGAGGCGTCCCTTGGGATCCCGAAGATGAATCGTACAAAGCAATTTATCAAACGTTTCAGTTTCGCCTCGAGATCCCCAGAGACGCCCCCATATACCGTACAGCAATAGTTAAAGTGGGGAAAAATTAAGGAAGTGACTAGGAGCCTACGGGTTTCAAAAGGAAATAGGTGACGGGAATAATTTAGAGGTTTTAGGGTGGAAATTGTACGACGGGAGATATTAGATATATGTTTTTTCCACGAAAGCGTTTGATCAATGTTGATCAATATAGGATGAAATCCTCAGGTTTCGGAACCAACTTGCAGTTATTGAAGAATATTTAGCGTTGAGAATAGTCTAGAGCTGGCGAGAGGTACTCGTTTGAAGCAGGAATATCTCCTACGCTCGCAACTAGCACACCTCACTATTTATTTAGATTTTATAGGTCGAAAAAAAAACGCTGAAGATTAGAAACTCGACAGATGTAGCCCAGAAAGGACTTGTCTTACGTTTTTGGCTAGAAACACGATTTCCTGCACAATATCATTGTAGTTATTTCATTCTGAAGGCTGCTAGATTTAATTTTTAGCCTTTTAAAAATTGAATAGAAAGTGCCGAAGAAAATTGATACTCCGGGATGCCTGAAATTGGACACACGGATATTTTTCAATTTTAATATAATAAAAAAAAATGAACAATACTGATTATATCTATCTTTTAAAATTGAAAATCTTTACTGATATAACAGAATCGGAATTGTTAAACCATGTACCCTCATGATTGTATACTAAACAAACACATTTTGAAGTTTCCTTGAGGATGCCAAAAACTGCATATTTTGCTCTAGACCCCTCTCAAAAATCCATAGCCCAGTAAAAATATAGGACATCTCTAAAATCCATAATCCTCACACTCTAAAAAATCTATAATAAATGCATATATCGAGCTGTGATTGATTTGTTTTTTATTTTACGACTCTAAAATTTACTTCAAAATAAAAGAACTACGAGACGGACACGATCTGAAGTTGAAGATGTACTCACTGTCCTTGTCTTCGTTCTTCGATATCTTCATCTCCACAGGCCTCGGGGACCAGGTCCAGATGGGGTCGTCGAAGACGAGGTAGGCCATGTTCTGCTGCTCGAAGCCGATGTTCTGGATGGCGGCCGCCTTCTTCGTCGGCAGCGGGGGGTAGAACATCGAGTCCATCGAGCTCTTCAGGCTGCCCAGGCTGCAGCTGATGATCACGAACTCTCCCGGGAATTCGCTGCCGTCCCTGCAGCTGTCAACAATAGCTAATTTCAAACGTTGTTCCAAAAGTCAACTCCGAACAAAGAAAAAGTTGAATTTGTCCTATTAAGTATATATATAACTACTGTTAGTGCAAAAGGTAGTATGTTAATATTTTCAACTTTTATTCTATTTGCGCTAAAGGTGACATTTTGTAGTCTGCAACTGATTTAAGCAGTCTGCTACGATGGAAAATAGCAGATAGCAATACAATATGAAATTATACTAATAAATCAAAAAGTAACAATTAGTTTTTATGCTCTCCTGTAAAACATTCAATTTTTACATACGGTCTTTTGCACTAACAGTAACGAGATACATATTCAGTATGCACTGGATTTTTTTAAATCACGAATTATCAAATATGCAATCAGCAAACATAGAACTCTTTCACATTTTCGTATTCAATGAATAAAACTATCAGACCCATATATGTTGAGGGAATGCTGAATTTCCGAAAACGGCTTCTCACAAAGATTATATAATCATACGAAAAATATTAGACCTTGTAATATAGATATTTTTTATCCAATGAAAACGGTGAGGAAGCTATACTGACCTTACTTGATTCATTATTGGCAGAACAGACGCATGTAGCGGTCCTTGGGCTGCTCAATTTCCTTTGCCCAGTCATCACTGTTGGCTGCGCACCTGATGGATATGCCATTTTTTCTTATGTCTTCTTTCACGCTGTCTATCCATCTTGCCTTTGATCCTTCAGGCTTCTCATGATAAAGCCTAAAGGCTTCTCGCTTCATCCATTCTCAGGACATGTCCTAACCATTTCATTCGCTGAACTCGAGCGAATTGGGAGATAGACAGATCACCGTACATTGAGTATAACCTCATTGTTTGTTCTCAAGCGGGGAACTCCTTCCTCCAGTTTAGGTCCTATTATCCGTCTTAGCATTTTCCTTTCAAACCGATCTATTCGTTCAGCAGATGTCTTTATTAGAGTACATGTTGCCTATGTTGCAGCTGGTCGAATAATCCTTTTGTATATCCTAAACTTCGTTGTACGACTTAACAATCTACTTTTCAGAAGACTCGCTAGAGAAAAGTACGCTCTGTTGGCAGTCATTATTCTAGCTGCTATCTCCTCCTCTTCGTTATTGCTGTTGTTAATTATGGACCCGAGGTAGGTGAAGCTTGATACAACTTGAAAAGTGTGGTTTCATAAAGCATAGTGCTGTGGTGGATGGGCAAGCTTTTTCTTCCTTAAAATAAGGACCTTGGTTTTACTTTCGTTGATGCATAGCCCCATTTTCCCTGCCTCATTCTCCAACATATTGAATGCACTCTTCACTGGTTGAAGTGATCGCCCTGGAATGACAACATCGTCTTATCACGTAGATTTATCACTTCCCTATAAAATTTCCTTTTGTTTGAGACCTCATTCATCAAAATCCATCGCTTCTGAGTTAAGGGATTTAATTAAATGTTCTTACACACAGAACGTGATATGAATCGCTGTAAATTATCCTGCTCTGCGTGACTTCTACAATGCTATCGATAATAATACAACTATATCGACATACTCTATGAGCCTTTTTACCACTATATTATATATATAGTGTACATTATCTTTGATACAATACTCACCGAACGATCACCCTCGGCTTCTGGGTCAAGGTGACGGTCCCCCATCGAATGGACACAGCCTCCTTCCTGTACAAGACCCTGTCCGGGCCGATAGACTCCAGGAGTGGCATCAGAAGTCCTGACTCTCCAAGGGGGACTTTGACCCCGCCGGGGGCTATAGCAAAAGCACCGAAGCTGTTTTCCTCCACCTGGAGTTAAATCTAGTTCTTAAAAATTGCTCGGCTAACGATGATATTGCTATATTAATTTAAATCATAGAGGTTGAAAAAAATATGTAAAGTTGATATATTATACTGATGTAATGTTAAGAGAAATATTTGAATAATTGAAGAAAATAATGTTATTACCTCTTGTACTTTTGATATTATATTAATATTTTTTTATATATATTTAGAATAGAATAGAATTGAATAGAAAATGGAACTTTATTCTGGGACTAAGTCCCCTTAGAATAACAAAGATGAATTAATACAAATTAAAATACAAATCTGGCTAAAAACTAACTTATAAAAATTCTAACATTATATACATTATTTAAAAAGTACTATGTAACCACTAAGAAATAAACAAAAAAAAGTATCAAAATATATATATAAATGAACAAACAATCTTCTCAAAATTACTTATTATTATGATGGAAAAAAAAGAAAATAAAAGAAATTAATTTATATGAAGGGATTTGAATAATAAGGGTTTAAATCAAGTTTGCTCCATTATCAGAAAGTGAATGTTTGTTAAATGTACTTGAATGATAAAACAGAATAAATTGAACCCAAAACATGTTGACAGCAAGGACGTAAATTAAAAACAATAAAAGATATTTTCACTGCTGTTACATAAAGTCACAAAATATATATTAGCTTTGGATATATCCAATATAACAATAATTGTTGAATCTTCAAACCGATCCAAAATTTAAATGTCAGAACTCCGAGTTGTGGGCTATATTTAAAAGAATGTAAACATTTGAATGAAGTATGTAAACAAAGGATGAAGATATAATTAACCCAATAGAACGAGCAAATGGACAAATAAAATTTATATTAAAAATATAAATAAATAATTTCAATATTAAATAAATTAATAATTTAAATATTTTTATAATTTGATTTCTTTTTTACTTATTTTGAAATATTATAATCTGTCACGTGGACAATAATTATAGTGATATATGAACACATTCACAATTTTTATACAGAAAATATAAAATTAACGAAAGTAAAATAATAATCAAAAACTATGTACAATAAAAAATAAAACAATCTAAAGATAAGTAAATTAAAAACATAAAAACATATTCATACCTATATACAATATATACAATCAGGCAGGGAACCCCAAGTCAAGGTTCTCCCTCTAAATATAGAAGGAAAAGTAGGAATCCAAGAGATCCCTGCGCTACTCTCTCAACCACGTCACCGGTGCTAAAGCCAGTGGAGTTTGAGAGAGAGCGCTTTAGTCCCATACACTCATTAAAATAAATTTGATAATTTGAATAAGAAAGTAAACAGAGTATAAAGATATAATAAAACTAATGTTTTGTTTTTTTGAAGGAATGTAATAATAGTTACATTTCTTGAATATTAAAAAAAAAATTAAAAGTTATTTTTATTCAAATAAAGTTTAAAAATAAATTAGTTTTATAATACCTATTGCTTTATTAACAAATAAATTAATTTATTATAGTACAATCTTAATCAAGGATGAAGCACACTTTTACGGGTTACTGAATTTTTGAGGGGGGCACATTTAGACGGGGTTATGATTTTTCGGTTATGATTGAAAAGTTTCAATTCAAGGAACAAGGGAGAAAATATGGACCAAATTGTATATTTGTATAGTATCTACGAGTTTTCTAATTGTACTTTCGCTTGGACTGTTTTTAAGAAGAGGGGAGGAATAAAATTTATTCGGAGAGAGAAGGGAGTTCATGTACCATTGACCTTAATAACTTTATTCTCCGATCCGCACAACACCATTTTTTTCTTTCCGAATCGAGCCACAATCAACATTTTTTATTCCGTTGTAGTTTAATTATTCCCAAAAGCGACCGTATTTATGTTTCAATGTATTTCAATGGATAGTAAAATAATCAGTTATTTTCTGAGATATTTGCTAGAAATAAAGAAATTTTTAATTAATTAATAAATATATTATTTTTCTATCAAAATTGGAATAGAAAATATAGTCATACGCGTTCACCAGAACCTGTCAATCAGAAATTAGTAAAGAAAGATTAGAGTTCACTTGGGAATCATATGCACTTTTTTATATTTTTTCTATGTTTTTAAGAGTGTATAAATAAAGGATTCATAATTATTTTAAGGCTACTCTAGTTTCATTAAGTTTTTAAAAAGGTTATCATCTTATATATATAGAGGTAAGAATCAACAAACATGCAATAGAGCTGCGTGACAAATGGAAAGAAATATCCTAAAAAAGGCAGAGATGGAGCAGGCTTATCAAGGCGGCAAAAGATCTCCAAGGTGCAATGTAATGCCAACAGAAAAAAAAACCCGTCTTATATTATATTAATATTATTTATATAGTTAATATTATGTTAATATTATATTAACTAGTTGGCCCGTGCAAATAAATCGCAGAAAATTTTGTTTAGTGAAGAAATAGCAAAAAAAAATATGAAAATAAGTAGATCCTATGTATTATGTAAGGAAGGAATTAATATTTTTTTCTTGGTCGATTACAATATTCAATTTAACATATAGACCAAAGTATTTCTACAAATTTCTTTGCTAGGACCTACTTCTAGACCCTGACTGGAAAGATAATAAAGACAAAATAAAGCCTCGATCATGGGATTTTCTAAATTATTAAAAAATATGAAATGTAAGAACAAACAAATGCCTTTAAGAAACAATAAAGTTAATATATCAGCCAGGAAAAAAAAGTAGTAGAATAGTAAATGCATATCTTTAAAGAGGAAGAGATTATTAAGGATACTAAAACTAATGGGCTGTATCTTTGTTAATAATTGTCCTATTATTAATAGACCCTCCGTCAATAAAAATTCTTTAAATTATACATATTTCTAATCGATTTTTACAACTTTTTTGTTTGTTTTGTAGGTACTTCAATCGATATTTAGTAACCTTTCTAATATCATGGGCACAATAAAAAAAAAAAAATGCATATTTTTTTAGTTATTCGCAAATAAAGTTTCTTTTCCTTCAGAACTTTCCCCCCATAAATTTCGGAGGGATGGGACTATTTTTCGCATGTGAAGGAGAAGAATATCTTCAAAATGAGTGGCCAATCATTGGATTTGATGAAGAATTGACGAAGTTATCGATTTTTACAATTTTTGTTTTGTTTTTTAGGTACTTCAATCGATATTTAGTAACCTTTCTAATAGGGCACAATAAATAAAAAATGCATATTTTTTCAGTTATTCACAAATAAAGTTTCTTTTCCTTCAGAACTTTCCCCCCATAAATTTCGGAGGGATGGGACTATTTTTCGCATGTGAAGGAGAAGAATATCTTCAAAATGAGTGACCAATCATTGGATTTGATGAATAATTGACGAAGTTATGGCGTACCGACAAAAAACACCTTGTAGAAAGAATATATAGGATTACACGAACAATAATACTTTAAGAGATAGTTTTTAATATTTGTTTCTTTAAAAGATGGTTTTATTTTACCATTTTGGGGAAGGGAGAGCTTTAGCTCCAAAACTCCTCTCTCCGTAGATCCGCCTGTGAATCTTGTAATACAGCTATTTTTTAGTCAATGAAAACTGTGAGGAAGCTATACTGACCTTACTTGGCAGACGTTTTTTTAGTAGCTTTAAATTTTGAAATTGAGGATTCGTCACTTCCTTATAAAATTTCCTTTCGTTTGAAACCTCATTCATCAAAATCAATGGCTTCCGAATTAAGAGATTTAATGAAGAGAAGAATAGTTGGGGTGTTCAGTCAAATAAGAAGGCAAAAATAAATGATATTATTTATTTTGACATTTGCCGACGTTTCGACCTGAAGTTCAGGCCTTCATCAGGGCTAAGAAAAGAACCAGATAACAAGGTATGAGAAACATAAGTAGTGTAGGTAAAAAAAAATTAAAGTAAAATGAAGTTGTCAATGAATTGTCATAATTCTAACAATTTCATTTTACTTTAATTTTTTTTAGCTACACTACTTATGTTTCTCATAACTTGTCATCTGTTTTTTTTCTTAGCCCTGATGAAGGCCTGAACTTCAGGTCGAAACGTCGGCAAATGTCAAAATAAATAATATCATATATTTTTGCCTTCTTATTTGACTGATAACCCCAACTTCATTATTCACGACAGTCAGGGTAATTGGTTACCCAGAGATTTAATGTTTTTACACACAGAACTCGATATGTTCCGGGGATACGAAACCTTATGTCGATATCGCTGTATATAGACTAACTGACCTTGAGTTTTGGCCCCATGAGCGAGGTAGCAGCTGCCAAAATCCTGGCTACTTGGTTACGATATTTCCGTGAATAAGAGCCCCCAGCCTGCTGGAACCTGAACCCAATGTACCTAGAAAAATGGCAAATCATCTTTAGTCGTTATGTTATGTATCTTAAATATTATCTAATTTAACATGGTATTTATTTAAAAATGCATCGCCTAAAATACTGATATAAAATGTTGGCTTTTAGTGAATGGAACACACGGAGGAAGGAGAAGGAGTGTAAGAAGAGGCAAAAAAGTTAAACTTGCCCCTGCAGGCGAAATCGTTACTAATTCCGTAGCTGTATTTGTGCTTTTATCTTCCATGGCGTAATTAGCACCATCAACAATTTTGAAGTGGGCACATTCTGTTGAAGATTTGAATTTTTGAAAGGGGCACATATTTCGACAGGTTCGAATTTTGATAGGGACTAGTGTTGCCCAAAATCGGTGCAAGAACAAGGCCGCCTAACTGTAGCAAGATCAAGACCAGGACTGGTAAAAAAAATCGATGTTTTTAATAAAAAATAGCAAAATAGTTACTAATACTCGACAATCTTAGTTACTATATGTAAATAATTGGTATAACCAATATAGTTTTGCATTTAATTCCTCTAATTTTTCATTCAGGCTTAGTTAGGTTTCTCCTATCTACAAAATACAGTACTGTAAGACTGTTGCGAGACTCTTGTGCAAGACCAAGACCATGACCAAACTGAGTTTGCAAGACCAAGACTCGTCTGGGTCTCGCATTTGGGCAACACTAATGCGGACAGATTTCGAGGGGTTATAAGTTGTCGTATTTGAAAGTTTAAAGCCAGAGATCAAGTGGAAAGACATGGACCACACCACTAGCGGATCCAGGATTTAATTTTGGGGGAGCTTCAGTCCGAAAGCTTTTTTTTTTTTTTTAAAAAATGTCGACAATGACTTTGGAAAAACAGAAAGAAACTAACTATCTATATGAAATGGTGTTTAAGTGATTCCTTAAGTCCTTTTAAATGTAATTACACAAACAATAATACTTTAAGAGATAATTTTTTTAAATTTTTTCCATAAAACATGTATTATATTTTACCATTTTGGAGGGAGGGGAGGGCTTCAGCCCGAAAGCCCTCCCCGTATATCCGTCCGTGGACCACACCACAGCAAGTGCAAATGTATATGATCGACGATTTTCCTACTAATTCTACTATCGCGTGGATTCTTTTTAGGAAGAGTAGGAAAATAAAATTTCTTGGGAAGGAGCAGTTCATGCGCCATCGAGTTTGGCGCGTAGAGGTTCCTCTGTAGCACGAATATCAAGATTTTTAGATGTACTTCTACGAATAGGAATGTACAAGTTCATGGATTGGGATCTTTTGTTTAAAGAGTGAACAGGGGTACATGGAATGGACAAATTGAAGATGTAAGAAGACTTTTTGCCTCCAGAGGATGGTAAAAGAGGCACCAAGGAAGTACTGCGGTCTGAAAAAAGGATAAAGTAACTTAACTTAGCCTACCAACTGTGGAATCCGGACACAAAGCTAATGAAACAATTCATTCATCAAGACTCTTCGTTCTCATCACCAGACAGTCCTCCGCTTATCAGGCAGCCATAGTCAGAGTGGAGGAAAATGAGGAGGATTTAAAGATATTTAAAATATTCAGCCTCAAATCACTGTTAACTGTTCATGGATTGAGACTATCTATATCTTTGAATGGTAATTGGACGGATTAAATAATCTGGAGCTCTATAAAGCGGATTAACAAATCCTAATTAAAGATTGCTATATTCCAATGTATATATACAGAGCGTTTCAAGGTCAAGTGACCAAACTAAAAATATGAACTAAGGACCTCAAAATAAGAAAAAAATTTCCTCTAAAGGTATGTCCGCAAACGCTTTCTTTAAGAGATCTAAACACTTAAAGATTTTCGTTGTTATGAATTATTTACGTTACATGAAATAAATAAAATCTATTTTTTTGTTCTTAACTATTTTATTAATTAAATGTAAACATTAACAATTTTTATTAAATGTTGTTCAAAGTGATTCTCTGAATGATGATGTTCCAAAATGTGATTTTAGATTGAACCATTAGCGGATCCAGGGTTTAATTTTGGGCGGGGGAAGGGTTTCAGCCCCAAAGACCACCTCCCCTCCCCCCCGTAGATAAGCCCGTGGATTGAACTTTCATCCCTAATTATAAGTAGTGTTGCTCAAATGCGAGACCCAGACGAGTCTTGGTCTTGCAAACTCAGTTTCGTCATGGTCTTGGTCTTGCACAAGATTCTCGCAACAGTCTTACAGTACTGTATTTTGTAGATAGGAGAAACCTAACTAAGCCTGAATGAAAAATTAGAGGAATAAAATGCAAAACTATATTGGTTATACCAATTATTTACATATAGTAACTAAGATTGTCGAGTATTAGTAATTATTATGCCTTAATTTTTTATTAAAAACATCGATTTTTTTTACCAGTCCTGGTCTTGGTCTTGCAACAATTAGGCGGCTTTGGTCTTGGTCTTGCAAAATGCAAGACCAAGACCGATTTTGGGCAACACTAATTATAAGATTAGAGCCACACTCTCCAAGTTTATTTAATTACATTAACTAAAGTTCGTCAGCCCGTGACAACAAAGGTATCTTATTTCATACTAAGGTTTTTCCTTTTAAATTGACCATATCCACAGGGATGATGAAAAAAATGAACGTCTGCTATCTTATAGCCGTTGGTATAAAGAGTAGCGGCCAGGTAAAGATAGACCCTAAACAGGTAGCAAACATATATATAGACAGGCGTCTAGATATAGAAACCTACCAACCCTTTAAATTTATTGAATTTACTGTCTTAACACATTAAATAATAGTCAGTAACAACATACCCGTCGAATTAAGGTCGAAAATTTGAATTGAGATTCAAAAAGTTCACTTTTTTCATTTTTTTCGCTTATGTCAGTGAAACTATGCGTTCTAGGGGTAATAATATTCTATGTGAAATTAAAGCTGACAAAGTATGCAAAAGAAATTATTATTTTTTTCATAAAAGATGATCTTGGGAAAGAGACTATAGTACGTATTATTAGAATAAGACATTTTCAGTCTCGATAAACAATAAATTTATTTCAAATTTATCCAAATTTTCGTCTCTTCAGGGATAATCTGATTTTACATTTAATTCAAAATTTTCATTAGAAAAAAACATATACCCCCTATATAGCCCATTTTTGAAGCCTTAAAAACATTATTAACCAATCAACAATATTCTCAAAAATCAACTAATGTCTAATAGTTAGTGTTGCCCAAATGCAAGACTGAGATGAGTCCTGGTCATGCAAACTCAGTCTTGGTCATGGTCTTGGTCTTGCGCAACAGTCTTGCAGTTACTTATTAGCTTATTACTGTAATTTTTTAGATAGGAAAAACCTAACTAAGTCCGAATGAAAAATTAGAGGAGTTAAATGCAAAAGTATATTGGTTATACCAATTATTAACATATAATAACTAAGATTGTCAAGGATTAGTAACTATTTTGCATTATTTTTTATAAAAAAAATCAATTTTTTTTTTACCAGCCCAGGGCTTGGTCTTGCAATAGTTAGGCGGCCTTGGTCTCGGTCTTACAAAGTGCAAGACCAACACCGATTTTGGACAACACTTTGGAAAGATTCTGGTATATGTTTTTTTCAGGTGAAAATTTTGAACTACATGTAAAATCAGATTATCCTTGAAGATGCCTTGAAGAGGAGAAAATTTGAAATAAAGTTATTATTTATGGAGACTGGAAAGGCCTTTTTCTACTAATTAATTTGTTTGCACTATTTTTTCTAACATTCCTCTTGTGGAAGACTTGGCCCGAACTAGATATACCTCTTTTCATTCCGAACTCTTTGGTCACCTCAATCCTCTAGTTTCTAACCTTTCATCCAATACAATTCCTGACAACCCTCCGAGGTGTCTGAAAAGAAGATGGCCAAGGGACCTCCTAAATTAATTTACCTTTGAAGTGTTACCAATGGGAAGCTTCTTCACAAGTACCTTCATGTAATATATTCCTATTTCAAATTTACTAGTTGTATATATGTTTACAGTTGTAAATTTCAATTAAATAATAATAAAAAAATATTTTCTCTAGTTCCCGAGACATCCGTCCTCGTAGTAGCCCTGGAGCCAGGGCCCAAAAATCGACCTGATCGCAGGCGAAGGTTTGATTGTAAATTACGAAAGCATATGTTATTCTGAGTAAAAAAAACCTTGTCTGCCGTTCCAGAGCTCTGATTTCAAAAATGGCGGCTGATTTAAAGAATATTAGGCCAGTAATTTGAGGATCGAAAAATTGGTAATCCATTGCGAAAAATGTGTGAAAAGTTTTTATTTTTTCAACTAGTATATATGGGTTTAGACATGTAAAAAACAAAATTGCTACTATAGGTTTTTCCTCTAGTAATTTGTTAAAACAGTTTTTGACTTTTTTTGACAAATTTGGTAAAACAGCGTTGGTTGACCGTGGTTTTATAAATTACCGCGTAACCAAATTTTAAAGTTTATGTACTCATTTGACGCAAAATTTAACGTCCTTTAATTTTGTTAAAGATTACATTTTTCGCTTTGATGCATCGTTTAGGAGTTATAGATAAAAAACCCAAAATTGATCGAAATAATCTGACTTTTGTAAAAAGTTTTTCCTCGGCGGCCCACGTTAGCAATTTTGTTTTTTACGTATCTAAATACATATATAAAAGTTAAAAAAATAAAAACTTTTCTCAGTTTTTTCGCAATGGATTTCCCCATTCGATCCTCAAATCGTTGGCCAAATATTCTTTAAGTCAGCCGCCACTTTTGAAAACAGCGGCTCTGGAACGGCAGACAAGATCTTTTTTACTCAGAATAACATACACTTTCGTAATTTACAATCAAACCTTCGCCTGCGATCAGGTCGATTTTTGGGACTTGGCTCCAGGGCTATCGTGCTTCGGTAGATAATATAAATTTAAAGGGTCAATAGATTTCACTTTCTATATTAACCTGACCGACATTTTGTATTCTAGCGGCATGTACATTGTTCTCATGAGGCCTGTGGACATGGTCAATTTATAAGGACAAAGTCCCTTCTTTTGCTGCGGGCCGCCGCACTGCCGCTTACCCTTTCGGACGAGTCATGCACTGCTCCTCGTTGATGAGCCTGTTGAGGAAGGTGAAGGTCTTGAAGACGATGGGCAGGGGGAGGGGGTGGCTGAGGAGGCCCGAGCTGGGGTCGCCCTCCGCCGGGGGGGCGAACAGGCCCGAGGACAGCCCCAGCTGCAGCAGCGGGTGGTCCCAGGAGGGGGGGCGCTGCTCCGTCATCTTCAGTCCCAGCTCCACCACCGTGTCCCCCGCCCACCGCGACTTCAGTCGGCCCCCTGCTCTGTCACACAACGATCAATCATCATTTCCAAAAATAATAGATTAAATGTATATATATATATATATATATATATATAATCTATTTTTTTATAAATATATATATATATATATATATATATATATATATTATTAAATTTTAAATGAATAATTAGTAATTGGTTGACTGTCGTGGATAATGAAGAGAAGAATAGTTGGGGTGGTCAGTCAAAACAAAAAGGAAGACAAAAATAAATACTTCTATACTTATAATACTTATAAGTATAATATTATATTATATTATTATATTAATATAATATTATAAGTATAATATAATATTATACTTATAATACTATACTTCTTTTATTTCTTTCTTATTTCAGCTTTCTCAATTTCTTCCCTCCTTCCTTTCATTACTTTTCTCTGTTTTTAACTCTTTATTATATTATACATTGTCTGTACATCTTGATAGACTTTACAATATCTCAATTTTCTATCTAACTACTCCATTCTCAATGTTTTAATTTTACTATTTATTTTCATTACTTATATAACTTTATATTTCTTTTTTATGTTTTACATTTTATTCTAAGATTCCCATTGTAACACATTTGTCACCCTTTTTGATTATGCCTACTTCATCATTCCACACTTTGTAACGGTTTTTATTATTTATCTCTTAGTTCTTAGTCATTATTCTAACAATTTCATTTTACTTTATATTTATCTATTTCATTTTTCTAATATTTTTATTTTATTTTTTTATTTTTTATTATCTTTTTTACCATCATTACTTATGTTTCTCATACCTTGTTATCTGGTTATTTTCTTAGCCCTGATGAAGGCCTGAACTTCAGGTCGAAACGTCGGCATATTTAAAAAATAAATATTATCATTTATTTTTGCCTTCCTTTTTGACTGACCAGCCCAACTATTCTTCTCTTCATAAATTTTAAATGATTTAAGCGACCATATCTTTTTGTCTATGATCATAGAACTATGTTACTTGCTGTGTGTGCGTTCTAATTTCCTGGTTTTAAAACTTTGGCATTCGAATACAATATTGTTTGTTTTTTTTGCCCTATAAATTTCATAAATTGTCTTGTATCGGTTTCACCGAAATATGTATATATTGTATAATTGTAATTGTGTGTATTAGTATATTATAGTATTGGTATTGTTTGTACTGTGTAATATGAAAAAGAATTTGTATATATATAAACATATGTTAAGTATAATTAAGTGCTATGTCCAAAAAAAAAAAAATTGATGAGTATGCTGTGAATCGAGCAACACTATATAGTAGGGCAGCACTGCTTTAAATCTATTTTTTGAATAATATTATAATTTAAATCTCTCTATATTTCTCTCTTGTGGTATAGAGATGAATGGAGTTCATTACATACCTATATTATGAATTACAACAATCAGAAATGATCGTACCTCACAACTGAATCGTTTATTTCTAAAGTTAACCCTTGTCATCATTGACAATATTTCAAGAAACGCTAAAACTATATTTTCTATTCCAGTTGTAATATCAAAACTAATATTTTTTATGAGAAGGAGTTGATCAGGGGGGTGCGGTCAAATAAATACTAAATTATAAAAAAATAGTATTATTAATTTATTAGGCCGAAGTTTAGACCCAGGTTGTAGGTCTTCATCAGGGTTACAAAAGATACAAAATATAAAAGGTACATGGTGAAAATAAAATAAATGAATGAATCGGTTTGTAACCGATCAACTCCTTCTCATACAACGGGATCAACAACAAGAAACAAACCCACAATCTATACGCAGCAGTTCAAGACTCAATGCCAGATCAAACGATACACAACAACTGTCTTCATACTTATTTTCTATTTTTGTTTTTATCTTCTATATATATAATACTTGATATTTTAACTACATTGTCATCCACTATATCTCTCTGATATCATCTTATTATTTCTTTGACAGACAACTGTTTCTTATTTAATATATACTTATAATTCATTTATTTTATTTTCACCAGGTACCTTTTATATTTTGTATCTTTTGTAGCCCTGATGAAGACCTGCAAGGTGGGTCGAAACGTCGGCGTAATAAATTAATAATAATATTTTTATAATTTAGTATTTATTTCACCGCACACCCCCGATCAACTACTTCTCATGTTATATCACGGTCAACCATCCCTACATCACTAATATTTTTTAATAAGAAATTCTTCATTTCTACATAAACATTTCCGAAAATATCTAATTATTTCAATAGTATCATTGAATATTGTTTAAGGTCCCGTTTGGAAATAAATAAACTTCAAGACACATTTTTTTAATAAAATAAAGGTTTATGAGGGTTTTTTTTTTAAAGAAAAAAACGCTGCAAATTATTTCACAATGGTTTATTATTTCTAAACAATTATACATCTAAAGTAACATTACCTTCCTAGTAATAAAGGAAAAGAAATAAAAGCCGATTCCGATTATTGACCTAAAACATTTTTTTTTTTTTGCTTCATTAGTAATTTGCTAAAAAAATTAGCATTACTTTATTAATTCAATTAATTATTCAAAAATCAAAATCCAAAATAAATTATATAAACTTTTGCAGTAGAACATATAAAAAATATCCAGATACCATATCTTTGCTCCTAACTGTCCGATTTCAACGATTTTTTAAAGTAAATTTCATGAACTTTTAAATAACCATACGTCAACAAAAAAAAAAATGTATACTTTGTGAATTATCTAATTGTAACATCGGCATGACATAGATATGAAAAAAATATTGAAGTTGAGATTCTTTTCTTTATTACACTTTTGCAGCCCTAAAAGTATTTTTTTTTTTGTCCATTTTCATGATTTTTTAAACCCCTTTTCTTTCTCTTTAGGTGATGCATTGATGCAACAGAAATGTAGAAAAAAATACTCTAAATTATTTCAGTTTTTATTTTGGCTTGATATCTACAAAATAACCAGAATTACAGATATTTTCCCAAAACATGTTTTCAGCCGAAAAGAAAATTAAAAATGGCCGGCGAGAATAAATTGTGATCCTCAAATTTTTTTTAACTATAGCTTCAAACTCTCAAATAAATATGGAATAACTGGTAAACAAATTATAAAAATCTTAAATGTCGTGCAACAAAATTAATTCAAATTGGGTGATTTCAAATGGATTGACCCTTGAATGATTTAGGAAGAATTTTTTTAATAAAATGAAATTTTTGTTTAGTATAATTGTACAATAATTTTTTTTTTAAAGAATACTTGAGACATGCATGTTTCATCACTGGAAAAATTGTTTCGGAAATTGTTTTGCTCTACTTTTTTGAATTTTGAATTGAAAAAAAAAATGCAGCATCGGATTTATTAGATATTTTTTAATGGAATCGATACTTATATCGATTTTAATAAAATCAATTATGTTTCAATTTGGAAATAAACGACTCAATTGTTAACACTGAATGTAACAACATTTTTTATAGGTCCATATACCAAATGACCTAGAACCTATAAACATTTAGTAATATTGAACCTTCCATAGTATAGAAGGGAAAATATTTAATACATATATATTCAGTTGGTCGATTTAGAAATAAATTTAAGTGTGTGTAAACTGTACTGAGTTTAGTACAGTAATCTTTTTTTTTTTCTTCTTCGTTAAAAATTAAACAAACAAAAAATTCTTAAAAAACATCGAGAGTACAATTAGCTACCTGCAATCAGCCTCCAGTATAACGAGGTTGGTGTGGCCACCCTTTATCAGCCGATCGGCGGCGGTGAGTCCTGAGAACCCCGCACCAAGGATGATAACTCGAGGACCTATGTCTGGCGGAGTCTCTGCCATTTTGTTGTCAGGATCAGGCTTATCTTCCTTACAGGGCTAGGCAACCAACAGCATTAAGATTAGTGTTAAAGAACTAGACAAGTAAACACACATATATGTATTTAGAAGTATCGGTAACCACTCTCAGAAATTGTATTGCTCTCCTCTTCATAAAAACGCCTATACTAGGTAAGGCAAGTATTGTAATCTGGTCAAATTTCCGATATGCAGTTTTCGACGGATCTATACGTTTCAGAGCCTTCCGAGTCCAAAAACACATTTTTAGCTATTGACCTGTCTGTCTGTGCCAAGATTTTCTCAGGAACTACAGAATCGATTTTGTTGCGTATTTTTTTATTTTGTGTGGTTTTGACTACTGATGCCTGTGACAGAAATTTGATGCTCCATGCGCAATAAATGAAAAACATGTTTTTCTATAGACTGTAGCGCGAAAACGGCTCTAACAATTTTGATGAAACTTTTCTATAGTGTTCTAATAATTGCCGTTTCAATTTCGCATATGTACTGAATTCTCAAGAAAATTCCCTACAAAACAATATGAAAATCGTTCATTTCGGACAACTATTAAAGTAGTTATAGCTATTCAATTTCCAACGTAAGATTACGGATTCATATCCTGGTGTCAGAAAGGGGGAATGAGAGAATAAAGATGACTAAGTGAAAGTAAGAAAATCTGTTGCCCCCCCATCACACATGCTTCACTATTTCCTCCACTTTTAACAGAAATTATTGCTTGACAATACTAAGCTATGGCAAAAAGCTTTTGATCAGCAATATTAGAGAGTATTGAAATGTTTTCACTGATCTACCTTAAGCCGGTTCACATTGCTTTAGTTTATCAAATAAATCGTCCTAAAATCTTTTCTTTGATGAATTTTCAGGAAAATAAATCTAGTTCAATTTTTTTTTTGTTTCTTCATGAACAAATGTAAAGATATAAAATTTTTTATGAAATAGGTAGGAAAGTCGTGTGAGTGGACACACCAGATTTTTTTTTTTTTTTTTTTGTTTATTTAATGTAATTTACAACTGTATATAAATACAACTAGTAAATATGCACAAATTAGAAATAATTACATTAACATTCTTGAAGAGATACTACTCAGTGGTCATATCACCATACTCCTCAAGTAAAACTAGAATGTAGAATGTACGTATGTCTACGAATGTTAGGAGATAGCTAGAATTGGATCCCATACATTTTCCAGGTGCCTAGGTATGGTAATACGAGAGGCTGGCTAAGCCCATTTTTATTTTTTTATTATTTTATTGAAATTTACAACTGTAAACATATACCTATGTAAATTTGCTATAGAAATATATTACATGAAGGTACATGTGAAGAAGCTTCCCATTGGTAACACTTCAAAGGTAAATTAATTTAGGAGGTCCCTTGGCCATCTTCTTTTCAGACACCTCGGAGGGTTGTCAGGAATTGTATTGGATGAAAGGGTACAAACTAGAGGATTGGGGTGACCAAAGAGTTTGAAATGAAAAGAGGTATATCTAGTTCGGGCCAAGTCATCCACAAGAGAAATGTTGAGGTCTTTGTGGATAATTTTATTTGTAACATAATAAGGAGCATTTAGGATTTTACGGAAGATTTTGGATTGTAAGGATTGGTACGGGAAGAATTTGATGATTTTGTAGAGCCCCAAAGCTGAATACCATATATCCAAATGGGCCTGATGGTAGTGAAAATGAGTTTTTTTGTAGAATATTGGAAGTTTAGAGCGTTTGTCAAGTAAGTGTTGTAGTAGTCGGAATCTGTTGGCAGTTCCTTGTCTTTTAAGTCCAGTATGAGGATTCCAGGTAAGGCGTTTGTCAAGAAGGACTCCTAGGTAACGGATCTGTTCGACAGGGATCAGTGGAATATTGTTAAAGGATACGGTAGGACAGGATGTTGTAGGTTTACGGCGAAGGGTAAAAGTAATTTGTTGGGATTTGTTTGGATTTAATGCTCCAATTTACACTCCATTTTTCAATGGCTGAAATGTCTGTCTGCAGGGTTTAAGCACAACTTAATAAGACTATTTGGTGAATCTTATTTTTCAAATTTAAAAAGCTCACAATCAGGGAACTCCTATAATAAATGTCCATAATATATAACGTAGTTAAAGAAACATTATTATTTTATATGATTACTTAAGAGATTAGTTGAAATTTTGAAAAAGAAAAATATAAACACATACCTTTAAGAGTACAATTTTATAATTATAATGGTCTCATTTTTAAAGGAAAAAATTAATTGCCAACGATGTATTTTTTCAGTCCGTTAAAATTAGACATCTAAATTTAATCCACATTCTAAAAGCTCCATGATTTATATTCTAAAAAAGGATTTTGGCACAACTGGAGGAGGCTCATTTAGAAAGAGCTGTAGATAGCAATACCTTTCTATTTTTTCTATCCCTTAAAGGAACACCAGTATATTTCTCCACGTGTTTTTGCTCCAACTTAAGATGAATTTAAATAACTAATCTACCAACCAAACCCTACACCATGACCCTAATATCCCATTTGTCCTAGACCTCAAAACGTGTATTTCCGTTCGAAAATGTTCACGATCGCAATACTTTCCCTTACTATATATATAGTAAGTGAAAGTAAAAAATAAATAAAATAGACCAATATTTCACATATATTGTGTAATACTAAGTTAATTATAAGTTAAACTGTCCACCGGAACTGAATTCAATTTATTGATAGATTCATTCGATGAAATTAACGCTGGATTCAGGTCCATGCTTACCTCTCTTAAGCTAGTCCAAACAAAGATATATGCGGACCATTCACGGTCAATCGGAATGACATTCTGATGCACTATTGAGATTATGATTGATCGTGTAAATTTAAGACTGATGTACTGATGGGCGTGACTGACGGATTTTACGAAATCCAGAAATAAAAGCTTCAATCAAGAGAAGTGGAGGGTAAACTGAGGTAAAACTGTAGGGCTCGCTATAAAGATAATTCTACTCTTTCCGTCATTCTTCATTTACTGGCTTAAATAGTAGTATTTATTGCAAGCTAATAAAATTCGAGATTTGTACTAGCCAAGATAAAATGCTTAGAAGTGAAAAATATATAAGATTTTATTTTTATCCGTAATAATAGTAACACATTTTAATTATTCGGTTCACAAACTCTTAATATTAAGGTAAAATTCAGGAAAACAAATATGACACCACTGCAGAACTGTTTACTTGTTTTGTAAAAAATGTATCGATCTAACATAAATATTTCTATTAACTATAACAGATGGAATATACAAGCGTACCTTTATGTCAATGGCGGACCCAGTCCCAGAGACGCAAATGCTCTTCTTCTCATCCGCCGTGCAAGAGGCGAAACTGGGAGGGATGCACTTTATATCTTTGCATGGTATCTCTGGGCATTTGGTCATTGAATCGGAAGTCGTCGAAGGACAAGACCCTGGTCCTCCTCCATTCCCGGTCCCACCGCCTTGCTTACCGGCATTCCAGCTATAGTCAACACAAATCATCAGCTGAGCTCAAAATGTCAACCTTATAACTATATAAAGTTCCGGAAATGCGTGTATATATATATTATTTACTCAGGAACAGTGAGAGGTACTTATTTAATAGCGGGTAGCGTCAAAACCTACCTTCTTATCTAATCTCATTTCACATCATAACCTCCCTTATCTCATCTAACCTAAGTGATTCCCTTGTTTATTTTTTGTTTCTTGTGTAAGCTGTGAGTTAATGTTATTTAATTATGGATGTTGTCACATTGTGAGAATTCAGGTCTTCAAAAGAAGAGGCTATAAAATATTTTTAAGACGCCGGGAGTTCATCAAATGAAGTTGGACGGGAAGATTAAATGGAGATGCTTTCGTAGTTGTAACAAAACCGTTTCTATAAGGAAAGGAACGTGGTTAGAGGGGTCGAGGACTTCTTTTTTAACGGCTTTAAAATTCATTTATGGGTGGTCCCATAATTTAAAAATAATAGAGTGGGAGAAAAGGCCAGCTCGAACTATCCATCGGAACTGCCGTAGCATAGAACAACTTTTTAAGAGAAGTTTGTGCCCATGACATGTTATACAGGTCAAATAAAAAAATGGAGGGCCTGGAAAAGCCGTCGAAGTAGACGAGTCTTTTTCAAAATGAAAATACAAAGAATGTCTATTTTTTGCCTATTTTTATTATTTCATTTATTTTTATATATATGTTGCAATGTTTTTTAGTTATATATTTATAATGTTTTGGTCTATTTTAATATATATGTTGTAAAATAAAAGTATTTTTTTATTATTACATTTGTTTTTAAATTATTTCGTTTTCCTATAATAATATGAATATAATACAATAAATATGAATACGAATAGCTTATCAGTGTTAAGGTTATGAACATTGGCAGATAGCAATCGGACGCTACCCGCTATTAAATAAGTACCCAGTGAGAAATTAGAAGAGTATATTTCTTAAAGTTAGATGTATTTTAAAAATAAATAAATTGATATTTACTTTGAATCAAGGGTGCCAATTCATAGTAATGAATAATTCGTAAACTATGAACATTAAAACATTACTATGAATAATTGGGTCATTGTGAATAATTTTATTTGTTTTTAAGTGATGAAACATTTTTACGAACGTTTTTTTGGATTGTAAGGATTGGATACCAGAGAAATTAGATGATTTAGTATAGGACAGGAAGTCATAGGTTTACGAAGAAGGGTATAGGTGAGTTAGTGGAATTTACTGTGATCCTCCAATTTCTAGATCATTCTTCAAGGTTTATGATAAATTACTGAAGAGTTTGGAATGCAATAGATTGGTCATTATTATCTGATAACGCACTCATAATATATCACAAATTTATATAAGGTGTTTGTTTTACTTTTATTTCTATTTTTATTTACTTATGTGTATATATATATATTTTTTTTTTCTTTACTCTTTTGTTCTTTCTTCTTATTCTTTTGTTATTACTTTATTTATTTATATTTTTGTATATACGGTATGAATGCAATCTCTGAACTCTATTATAAGTGTCCTTAACTGTGACAAATTGTAATATTTCTGAATAAAGTGTTTTTTTTTTAATATATCACAATCATATGCACAGGCGGATCTACGGGTAGGAACTTATGGGCTGAAGTCTCCCTCCCACCAAAATGGTAAAATATTACGATGACTTATGAAAAAAATTATCTCTAAAAGTATTATTGTTCCTGTAATTACATTTAATAGGACTTCAAGAATCATTTCGTATAGATACTTAGCTTCTTTCTTTTTCTTCCAAAGTAACTATCGTTATATTTAAAAATAAAAAGCTTTCGGGCTGAAGTCACCCCAAAATGAAATCGTGGATCCGATAGTGAACATATGTGGTGATTATGTTAATAGCATGTTTTAGAATGTCAGCTGTATAAATTATTTAGAAGAGATTAAGGATAGTAGATCGAGTAACACCAGAGGACTGGGGAAAAAAGAGATGAATAAGCACTATTGTGGTCGACTTTGAATGATTTTTGTCATATAGGCATTATTATAGTATTATGTGGGAGGGAAATTAGGAAGTATGTATGGAAAAGGAGTTGACGGATTTTGTAAAGCAGGCTCGATCAATGGCCTGTTCAATTTCGAGAAATACTACCTTCAATCAGTGCCCTATATGAGGTTGGGAGAGAATATGTCCTACGTTTGAAAAGAACAATTCTTGATCTTAAACGAATGAATTCTTCTTCCAAACAGATAACAGCAATAGTTTTTCTTTAGTTCACCTGTTTGCCACTAGTGGAGTGGCTGTTCGATCTGTTTTTCGTTTGTTTTTTTCCCAACAAAGCAAAAGCTCTTTCTGCTTTCCAACTAACCTATCAGTACATCATGAAAATAAACCAACAGTTTTTTTTTAAAGACATGTTTCAACTGGATGTAATTTTTAGCTCCCTTTATTAATGAAGGCTAGAAATAAATAACAAACCTACATTATAGTTACTACATTACTAATTTTTTTTTTGTTTTTATTGAGAAAAAATACATTTCGCCTCAATCAAGGGCATTGAGTATTTGAGATACAAGAAACTCGTTCATACAATATATACAGTTACAAAAATAATAGAAATTATAACAAAATTAAGAAAAAGAAAGCTTAGTAAAACAGATGAAATAAAATATGATACAACACAAATTAAAAAAAAAAAAATGAATAAATGAGAAAAAAAAAACATTCATGCTTATTTACAATAACTAAATTAACTTAAGCATATTTGTAAGTAAAATTAGTTTATGTTTTTAGATGTCTACATTATTGTCTTACAGACCGAAAATAATTGAACATATTCACACAAATCAATTTAATTGCATAAATAAAACAAAACACTATTATGTTCTATAAAAATTGAAAAATTGTTTAAACCACAGTTAAAATAATCATGATGACCAAGCAGCAAATTTTAAACTTCAAACATATAAGAAAGTCAAAATATTATTAAAATAAAAAATGTTCTACGTGCAAAAAATAATTTATAGTTTTAATTATTAAAAAGAAATTTTTAAGATTAAACATTCATGTAATAATATAAATAAATTCAAAGGTTATCAATTTCAAGCTCAAACAATGCCAAACTTCATACATATCACGATTCATTTATTTCCAGACTTTTTATTAAACGAATAGGTATAACTCCATGAATCATTGCATTGTTCTATGAACTATTTTTTTTTTTTCAAGAGTTCTTAAGAACTGTTGTTTTTGGTCAAAGGACAGTTCATTTACATTTTTCAAAAGCAGAAGAAAGCCAACCTTTACTTGTACCACATGGCAGCCAGTTGCATGATAACAGTGCAAGTATGCAGTGTTATCATTCAATATGTTTTGTTTTTTTAATTTTCAAAACGGAAAACACTTAAAAATTGGAAATCCAGCACTCAATGTACTTAATCTAAAAACAAGTTATAAACTCATATGGCCGCCTTTTGTTTTAAATGATCATAGCACAAGTTACTCCAATAAAATGTTTGACGGAGTATGTTTTCATGGGGCTATAGTTTTTAAAGGGAACCGTATTTTCGTGGGGTATCAATTTAGAGTTACTTACAAACTAGCGAAAGCCATGTAACAGACTACAAGTGTAATAGTAGTAAAATACAATTTTTAATCAAATTTTACTTTCTTTAAAACTATTTTTGTGTAAAGAGAAATAAAATTTTGGTTACGGGATTCATGCAGCATTGCTCAACGAAATGTTGAGCAAATATCAGATTATCTTTAGAATTCTTTTGTTATTATTAAACAATGAAAAATAGAAAGTAATATCCACTACGATTATTAAACTATAAACCAGTCACTGTACAGAAAAAGGTTTGAGATTCCTAATTTAGAGTATTAGACTCTCATACCCAACAAACAAGTAATTCCTTTAAAAACTAAAGTGCAGCACATAAATTTTACTATTTTATAATAGAAAAGACTTTGCTTGGTTTAAGTCAATATTATTTTTAGATTAATATGGAGCTGTAGTGTTTCCTAATCAAGTAGGTTACAAAGCTCATTAAAAACTAAATTTCATTAACTGAAGATGCTTTATACACAAGAAAATATGGCAAAATCATTATTTAAAAACAAAAAAACACTGTTAACAGGAAATCATAAACTGAAAAAATTATTATATTACCATTGTATAGCTCTTATAAACTTATAGCAGTTTATATAAACTCACTAAATAGATAAATTAATTCTAGATTTCTATACAGACAAAGAGGTTCGTAATGGGGTGAGGTACAAAACACAGATCAATTATTGCCCATCAATGTGCATTAGTATGGAAGTTAAAAATGATATAGGTATTTCTTTACGTGCATCATTCTCACATTTTATTTATTTCTACACTCTTTCATGAGTGCAATAATAATCTTAAATACTTTCTAAGAAATTAAGAGTGAATACATTTGTTTCCTAAAGAAAGGATAAATATGTTCTAATTTGTTTTAACTTTTATTATTCTGTATACTTCATGTTAAAACTGATAAACTATACAATATTAATAGTTAGATTCTAGCAATCAAAACACTTCATTAATAAGTTCCTAACAAAAACAGCTCAATCAATTTAAACCTTAATAATTTTCATTTACTGAAAACAAATTTAATTTCAATTGATAGGAATAGAAAGGTAAATTGATAATGGCTACAAGTTCACAGAATATCCACTTTGGATGTAAATAAAATTAAACAATTTTGTTGAAATAATTTATTTATCTTTCTGCATTTTAAAAACATCTTAAAAAATTAAACAATACATGAAATTACTATCATTAAAATAAAATTGCCGATGAAAAAGTGGTTAAAACTGACAATGATACATTTATATTTAAGGCTAATAAAAGTTAAATAAAAACTTTTGTAGATTGATATAGTCTTACCCAATTGTAGTAGACAAAGTTTTAAATTCTTTCTTGATGAAACCAAAATATGGTATCTTAGTCATTATTAAAGAGTACAATACTAATTTCAAATAAGAAATCCAGGTTAATTCTGTTGCAAATGGCACATAAATCAAAACAAAATCATGGTTACCAACTTAACAAGATGCTACAAATGGAACTAAAAATTATTAAAAAAAAAAAAAAGAAAGAAAAAACTAATTTGTATATATGTAAATACATATATATATATATTTGGGAAACCAAAACCTAAGGGTTATAAAAAAGGTTATAAAAATGTAAAGATAACATTTTTTTGATTGTTATAAATTAATAAAAGTTTTTATTAATTACATAATTTATTTTTAACAGTGATATAAATTATTTATATAACTATATTTGAATCACATGATTTTTTTTTTCTATCATAATTTAGTTTAGTACTTTTCTTAGATTCTTTCTTTACATATATAACGAATTTTCTTTTACAATTATTTTTGTACAGTTTTTACAGTTTGAAATCTTAAATAATAATTATTATTCTCTTAAAGAAACTAGTATTAACAAGTAGAATTTACAAACATAAAAAAAGTTTCAAAACTGATCATATTTCCAAATACAATCGCTTTTAAAAAATCTGTTTTTAAATATTAATTCTTAGAAAATATACACAATTAGTCAATTTAGTAAAAATAAATTGTTGCAGGTACATCTTTAATATAAATGAAATAATATAATATTTCAAAATACTCAATAGATTTCAAGAAAAGAAATATACTACAAATTGGAATGAAGGTATTGTACATAGATTTTTAGATAAAAAGAATATTGACTCAAGAGTTTTGCATCATTCTTGGTGCAAAGAGAAAACTAAATGTAATTTTACAAAAGAAAAAACATACATTAAAATATACAACACCTGTACAAAATATTTACAAATATTTTCAGTATTTAAGTAGGTGATTTACTTGCTTTGCAATAAAATAAACTGCGAGATCATTATAGAAAATGCAAATTAAAAAATATTGCTGTACAGTGTATATACATTTTCCAGCTTTTTAGCTGTCGACATGCTAATAACAAAGCTTAACTACTATTTGAAGAGGCTCTACGAGATCGTCTTCTAGGTGGGGAAAGTGACCGTCTTCTTGGTGATGGTGTTCTGCTTGCCCTTCGTTTCCTTTCACGAGCCTTACGTTGCTCAAAATTTCTAATTTCTTCATCCCATTCAGATTGTACATTTCTATCACGGCCGTGTGTTCCTCTAAATCGTGGAGGGGGACCACCTCCTCCCCGCGGAGGCCTAAAGCCACCACCACCTCCTCGAAACCCACCTCGGCCACGGTCAAATCCTCCTCTGAATCTTGGAGGTCGATTTCCTCGTATTGGTGGTCTATGTTGCATCATTCCTCTGTTATGATGTCCATTATCCCATTTTCTTCTAGGAGGATGGGATATTGGTGGAGGTGGTGGTCTCCTTTCCTTAAACTTTTCCTTCCTTTTCCTCTCTTTATCAACTACAGGAGGAGGAGGAGGAGGCGGAGCAGGAGCCGGAGGAAATTTATAATGCGTAGGAGGAGGTGGGTAGATAGGCTGAGGGGCTACAGCTACGGGTACAGGTGGAGGTGCGGCATAAAAATATGTTGGCTGTTTAAATTCTTTCTTTTCTTCTGATTCCATTTCTGCTGCTTTCCTTATTAGTTCTGAATCAGAAAGTTGTGATAAGGCAGACTTCGGTTTAGGAGGATCAGGTCGCTGGCGGGGATCCCTACTGGTACGTTCACTTTTAACGTCTTTCTCTTCTTCCTTCGAGTCTTCTTCTTCTTCTTCATAAAAGGCTTGGCTGGTATAAGCTTTTACAATAGGATCTGACTTGACATCCATAGTAGGAGTTCCCTTTATAGATGCAAGAATATCTTGAAGATTTGGAGGAAGCTTAATCTCATTAGTATCCAGAAAGGGAATTGCTTCAGACCCTTGTCTTGGTGGAGTAAATGAAGAAGATGGGCTATATGGTGCTTCTTCATCCATAGCCACTGGAACCTGAAAAATACATTAAATTACAAATTATAATATGACATAACAACAGTTTAAAGCAGAATATATACACTATTTACTTGATCTTTCATCAAGTAAGTTCTCCTAATAAATTAGGTAATTGTGTGAATAAAAATTATTAAAAGGTAAAGATTTATATACATTTTTTTAAATTATAAAAAGTTGCATATTTAGCTATAAACTTAAAATAACAGTATGTCTTGGAGCTTTAGGGTGAACTGGAGGAAAGACCAGAAGAACATCATAGTGTGTATTGCTTCCAAATAAGAAGATTAGAATCTAGTGGGGATGTGAATTGGTAAATTACATTTTTTAAATATTTTTCCTTTCTTTAATAATCATCTCAAAAACCTTATAAACTGAAAATTAAAAGGTGTGGTAAGGCAGAGATTTGATGGGATATTCTGTTTGTGACATGGGCATAGAAGAACATTAACAAGTTTCAAAACTAAAAAATATTTGTAAAAAATTTCAAGTTCAGAAAATGTATTTGGAAATAATATTTACCTGACTACCGGCTGCAGCTTGAGCAATGCTCTGTATCTGCTGCCTTTTTTGTTCGATCATCCGATTGACTTCTTCCAAATTCCGCTGAATTTCAGGATTGACTAGAATAGCTTCTGCTTGATTGTCCTCTGGAGAATACAAATCATCCTCTCCAGGACTATAAGGTTCATCATCATCTACAAAAGATCAGAAATTGTAAAAATAACAGAATAACATTTAATGAAGCATTTGAGTATATATTAAGAGGTTTAAATAATAATTTAAAATCATATAAAATGATGTATTTTAAATGTTATTTATAAAGAAGAAAGTATAAATGATTTCATTACCTGGCAGGGGAGGGGTGAGTCCTGGAGGATGTGAGTAAGGTTTCGAAAATGGAGGAAGAGGAGGCGGTGTTGTTGGAGGAGTACCACCATCGGCAGGAAGTGGAGGAGTATAAGATCTTTCTAATTTGTTATTACTGCTGGAAACCAAGGTTGATGATTTCTTACTTCTGTTTAAAAAAAAAATGAAATGAAAAATTTATACATAAATATATTTGAACAAAAACTTATTAAACCAAATTTATTTCTTAAGTGCAAGAATTAGATAAAACAGACATGCTCTTAATGTTAAGATTTATTATTAAAACACAAAATAATAAGTTTGTTAATATAAAGTTCAAAAGTTCATAATGAAAAATCATCTAGAAAGTTAATATAAAAAAGAATGAGTATTTTATTTTTCAATTGCAATTGTGTTACAACTGTACTGCAAAAGAAAGTAAATTAAAATTCTTTTTTAAAAATAGTACAAGAAAGACAAAATGATTAAACTTTTACATGCATTAACCATGGTTAAAAAGGTAATAAAATACAATTTGAGGAATGTACACATATTAAAGTTGTTACAAACAATGAAACCATGAAGCAGAGAATAAGTTGAGCCTACCTATCTAATAGTTTGGTCCTAAATTGACAAACATGAGAAGCATTCCAAAGTTAATTGTTTATTTATTTCTTATTAGAAAAGTTTGTAGGATCATAGTTATTATAGTCCGTGGTACAGACCCTTTTTTTTATCAAATTATTAACATCTGGCTCATACTTCGTAAATAACTTCATCTCATCGTAACCTACAAATATTTTATTTACGAAAATTCTCAGAATTGGGGTGTTTTCAATTTGGAGGTCGGCAAACTTAGTCTATTTAATTAGGTATTAAAAACTCGTAAATACCCATTTGCTTTCCACTTTAATTGTAAGATAACTTGAGAACAAAGTCGAGAAAAAAGGTGGCCTTCAGAAATATTGAGCTGTTTGGCCTATATAACCTTATTATTTTGACAATTTGGAGTATAGGTCATGCCAAACGGCTCAATATTTTTGAAGGTCACCTTTTTATCGACTTTGTGCTCAAGTTGTCTTACGATTTAAGTAGAAAGCAAATGTGTATTTACGAGTTTTTAGTACCTAATTAAATAGACAAAGTTTGCCGACCTCCAAATTGAAAACGCCCTAATTCCGAGAATTTTCTTAGATAAAATAATTGTAGGTTACAATAAGATGAAGCTATTTACGAAGTTTCAGCCAGATGTTAATAATTTGATAGTCTGTACCACAACTGTTATAAGTATACAAGAAGAAACATTTTTTTTCTTTTTTTGTATTTGTTCTCAATGTTGCAAGTTACTCTTCCTCGCCCTACTGTGTCGCATTTATATTGAAAAATAAATTGAATGTACAGTCAATTTTGTAAATAAAGTTTTGTGTTGATATTTTTCATGTTTATTTAATTCTGCTTAATTGTTCTTTACTTTCTGGATGAACCTTAAAACTATTTCAGGATAAAATATAATTAAACCAGATTAAATAACTTTGATGCATTTCAAGTGTTATTGTAAGGTTTTTAAATTTTAATGTATTATTTATAATTTTTCTATAATTGTATATGTTGACTACTGTTATTTATTTCATCTTGATATTGATTATAATATTTTGATGTTACCTGATGAGTGTCTGAAGACCCAAACTGGTTGCAAAGGAAATAAAGAGTAATATAAGAACGTATTTTTATTCTGATTACCTCCAGTGACATTAAGCCATCATTTATAAATTTAATAAGACATTTCAAGCATAACAACATACTATATTTTATGTAAATTAAAAGCGATTTCATTTTATATTTAAACCTAAATGATCTAAACTGCCAATTTAGATGATACTACTATTAGGTGACATTACTCAGAAAGATTAGCTGATTGGTAAGGAATAATAAACATAAAATATAACAAACTTAATTTAAATAAATTAATAAAATGGCATTGATTAGTAAAGATAGATTTTTTACTTTGCTAAAGTTATCTTTCTATAGAATGAGCCAATATCACTTCAGATGAAATATGTCGGCATGCTCTAAATACCACTGAGGTTTCATTAGGAATAATTTAACAGATAGATAGAAACATTCTAATCTGGAACAAGGTCTGTTAAGAATAACAAGCACGTACAAATAAACAGAAACAATATTTGACAAAAACTAGATAAACTAAACTTCATACAATATCATCATAAAAATATAAAATCTTCTCAGAAATAAAGACGTCTGTAATGAAGAAAAAAAGAAAAGAAAAATAACGATAAAAACACTATCAATAGATTCTTGAGGTTAAAACTTAAGGGGACCCTACACAGTCATTCGAAATTGAATTCCGAGGCACTAATGACGATCCACATGATCGTGTAGCATAGAGATTGAAGTACTGATGGAAGTGTCTGGCGGATTTCCGAACATCCGGAAATCAAAGGTTCATGCAAGAGAAGTGGAGTGGAGACTGAGGTAAAAGTAGTGGGGAGATTAACCATACTACTAGATAAGTTAGTTTACCTAGGCCTCACAACCATTATAAATTCCTGTTTATCATTAAAAGTAAATAGTTAAATAGTTTTTCATATCCCTTGTTTATATTTTATAAACCATCTTCAACAAATTAAAAAAAAAAAAGTGGAAACTTCACAATTTACTAAAAAAAAAAAAAATTAATCTTTAACTGTTGTGTATATTTGTCAGTTCTTTTCCTATTTTTCTAAACAAATTTATTATTTTCGTAATACATTTCCATAATTTTTGTAAGTAGTAGACATATATTTTACTAACTTTTGTCTACTAGATACTAACTATTTTACTACTAGATAGGTTAGTTTACCTGGGCCTCACAAACACTGTACATTCCTGATTTTTAAGTAAATAATTTCATAAAAAAAATTGTTTATTTCCCTGGTTTATATTTTTATAAACCATTTTCAACTATTTTTCCTTTAAATAGTCAAATGGACAATAAATTAAAAAAAAAATTGGAAACTTCACAATTTATTTATAGAAAAAAAATCGTTAACTGTTGTGTTTATTTGTCACTAATTGTTCCATTTTTCTTAACAAATTGATTACTTTAGCAATACTTTTCCAAAATTTTTGTAAGTAGTTACTTATATTTTTTTAACTTTGGTCTGGCACTAGGAAATAATTATTGTATCTCCATTTTGACAATGTCCAAATAAGCTTATCTACACTGTTTCTTTTTTTACAACTAAGCTAAAAAGGCGTCAGCAATGATAAGTAATGATTGAACGTGTAGGGGTCTTCATGATCAAAGCGATCCCGAGCAATCTTTGTGATTCTTGTAACTTTCAATCGCGGATGATCGTGTAAGGGTCGCTTTAAACTACTATTAATTTCTTTAAAATTCCATTCAAAAAATGTTATAGTAAAATAATAGTTTAAGAGTCTGAGAAATTTGGCTATATCACAATTTTTTTTTTCAATTTCTTTTTTACATTCTCAACATTAGTTAAATGATTGAAAAAATAAAAAATATTGAATTATAAGGCTCAAGTAAAAAAGTAGTAGACAACATAAGATAAATAGATCATAGCAAGCAACTACCAACGAAAGAATTAATAGCATCTAAAAAAACAAAAAACAATCTTGCCTATTTAGAAAACTATTTTTATTTACAAATATTTACATACCTGCTTGACAATGCTAAGCTAGAAGTGGATCCCCTGTGAGGATGAAACAAATAGTTTAGAATAAAACAGCATATATAACAGCTTTAATTAAAATAAGTTAACATACTTCTTTGTTCGGATGATGATGCCAAGAAGGAGATGAGTTCGATAATCATCAAAGCCGGGACCATCCAAAGGAAGAAGAACCTGAAAATAGAAAAATAAAAACCATGTAGACCCTTTTCAATTAATTGTATTATCTGTTTAATATTATTTCACAATAAATCCCTTTTTTATTTTCCTATCTATACTAGGTAAGGAAAGTATTGCAATTGGGTCAAATTTCCAATAAGCGGTTTTCGACGGATCTATAAGTTTCAGAGCCCCCTGAGTCCGAAAAACTCATTTTTAGCCATTGGTATGTCAGTGCCAAGATTTTCTCGGAAACTACTGAACCGATTTTGTTGCTTCTTTTTTAATTTGGAGGGTTTTGACTACTGATGCCTGTGACACAAATTGAGTGCTCCATCCGCAATAGCTGCTGCCCAATAAATGAAAAACATGTTTTTCTATAGACTGTAGCGCGAAAACGGCTATAACGATTTGATGAAACTTTCCTATAATGTTCTAATAATTGTCCTTTCAATTTTCGTATAATGACTAAATTCCTGAGAAAATTCAGGAAAAAAATTATAAAGAACAGAAAAATGTTTTGGGGCCTAACTCACTAAGTATATATTCATAGGTAAAATTTATAATGAAACTTTTGAAAGGTAATTAAATTACCAACAAAACAGAAAAAAAAAAATCATCGGAATTGAACCAATATTAGCGATGACCTATACGTTCAGAGTCCCTGAAAAACACCGTTTAGCCTGTTTTTTTAAAAGATAATGAAATTCCCTATAAAACTATATAAAAATTGTTCATTTCCGACAACTATTCACGAAGTTACAGCTATTCAATTTCTAAAGTAAGATTAAGGGTACATATAATATCCTGGTGTCAGAAAGGAATGGAAGAGAGAAATAAGATAACTTAGTGAAATTAAGAAAATCTGTTGCCTGCGTCACCTCCCCCCGCCTCCCGACCGATTCCTTCTCATAAATTTAGATAAAATTAAAAAAACTTAAAAAATTATAATGGGACTTGCAAAATGCTCGTGACATCCAACTGTCTCTTATGATGAGAATGGCCCATATATGGCCCCCTCTTTAGACATCAAAAAAGAGATATACCTTACAATATTATGTTAAAAAATTATTTACCTGAGGTATTGGACTGTGACTCGCAAGAGGGAGGACATAGAAGTCTTTGACAGTTTTGGAAACTTGGCCAATTACCGCCATTCGATTTCTGCTGTTTAGGTAAGAATATAAGGAAAGGTAATTCATCTTCTCTTCTTCTGCTTCAGAATGGAACCTGATAACGATGATGTCCTTTGTGCCTGCCTTCTTCATTCGAGAAACATATTCCCAAACAGAATCTGGTTGAATCCTTCCCACACAGTCTAGCTGATCAGACAGTTCCTCGCCCAAGTCTTCGCAGCTCCCAGATACCTTAAATAAAACAAACGTGTTTTATATTTTTTCTAAACAATCTAATTTGCTTAACTACAAATACAAACAAAAAATGCATTATTAGAATAATTATGTTAATTAACTAATAACAAGTGAAATAAAATCAGAATCAGAATTACTTTGCTTGACTATTTACACCTAGATCACAGACAATTTATCATTAAAACAACAAGTTAAACAAATCCTTTAAAATCAAAAAGCAATAATGGGGAAGGTCAGTAATCTCTTAATTGATTAGTTAGTTGCACTACTGAGTCACAATAGTTTAATTCATGAAACATAACAGCCCAGCAACCAAATAACTGAAGTTATGAATGAAAAAACCTCCCTTCCCTGTTAATAATTTGTCTGGATTAAGGTAATATTTCACAGGTACTGCCCACAGCAGCGACCGCTTTTTCATGCTTGTCTATTTTGCTGAAACTACTCACCGTCACGGCCAAATCTTATCAATTTAGCGTCCTAGTTTGATATAATTTTAAATAAAAATGTTAGCCTTAAATTTAATGGTTTTTATTTGTATCGGAAGGATAGCAATAGATTTGATGGCAGTTTCGATCTTATTTAATTAATATATGCCATTTTTTCTGGTTACCAGATATACTATTTCTAAAATTGTATTGACAGAAAAACATTTCTTCAAAATTTTTTTTACACTAGAATCAAAGTTAGGTTGTTTAAAATTTTTGCATTTTAACCATCATCGTTATAACTAAGTGGGAGATTGCTGTACAGTTTATATCGCATATTCAGAATGAAGGGGGGAGTTACTTCTCCAAAAGTGTTTTAGATAAAATTCATATTTAAAAATACCATAATCAAAACATCTCTACCTATTTCAAAATAGGTAGGTATCTTCTAGATCACCCTATAGGTGTACTATTTTAACTTAATATCTGAGGTTTGCGATTTGGAATTAAGTGTTCCAACTAAAAAAAAATATATATATATAAGCCCCTTTCATTTTGGATGCGTGATATGAACATTATAAACAGATATGGAATAGATAGGAATCTATTCTGGATCGTAATAATTTTTAAATATTTCTCAGAATGTTTTTTGACATATTAAAAAAAAGCCATAGATGAAAATATCTCTACTTTTTCATTGAAGTTGAATAATAAGGTTAGTTATGTCTGTACTATGAAATGTTAACAATTATCCACATATTAATTCCTACCTTCTACAAAATGATTGTTTCTTGTAATATTTTGAATATAAAATTTTCATTGTATTAAAAATATTCATGGTATTAATAAAATGATAAAGCATTAATTGAAGAACTGAGGATTTATATCCGATTTTAAATTTATTTCTAATTATTAGTTTGATAAGTAACAGTAATTAATACATAATTGATTAGTAATAAATATCATATATTTGCAATGAAATCACAGCAAGAAATATTTTACCGTTTTATCAATAGGTAATCAGTAAATCAGCACTTTAATTAAAAAATACAAATTGATTTTTCAATGTTTGGATTCAAATATTTACCTGAAGTTAAATTTTTCTGGATTATTTAATGTCATTTGGATTTAAGTATATTTGAATTTTTCTGTAAAATACTTTTGATGGAATAAATAAACAAGTTATCTTGTTACTTCACTCCTTAAAAAATTATTTATTATAGCTTTGTTTAAATTTTAAACAATATTTCATTTAATTTTGCCTGACTTCATGAAAAAAAAAAAAAAATTAAATGTATCAAAGTGACCGTTATCATCAAAACAATGCTCCGATATGATAACGTAACCTTTAACTGCCGACAATTTCACTGCTTCAGGGGCAGTCGGATAGGAGCAGTCTAGATATGATGTCATACCTAGACTGCCAAGCAGCGCCAATGAAATAGGTTCCTTTCTATTCCACTAAAGCAGTGCTCAACCGCCAGCAGTCGCTGCTATGGGCAGTGCCAGCGAAACAGTACCTTTATCAAGATGCAACTGCATTTATTTTCATGAAAATGAATATAAACCTTAATGAAATGTTTTAAATTTAATTACCTCATAAGCACTTGTATAGAGCTTTGTGACCTCCGACATGTTGAGAATTCCTCTCCAGACGGGCGGTTTTTCTTCTTCCAAAGGAGGAGTAGAAATGTTGACCGTCGAAGACGGTTCACGATCAGAAAGGTCACTATCAGGTTGGGATGGAGGTGGTGGTGGAATTGATATGTGCTGTGATATAACCTCCTCAATTTCCTTCAGGGTTTCCTCGGCTTTGTCATCCCGCTTATCCTTTTCTTTCTCTTTAGGCTTTTCATCTTTTTCTTTCCTCTTCTTATCTCGGTCACGGCTTCTGGATCTCGATCGCCTTCTTGACCTGCTCCTATCCCTTCGATTTCTATCTTCCTTTTTCTTTTTCCTGTCACTCGACCTCGAAGAATGCTCTTCTTTCTTTTTGTCATTTTTCTTTTCTGGTGACTTTTCCTCTTCTTTAGTTTCCGAAGCCATAGTTTTCTCAAGTTCATAATCATCTGCTGTACGGTTAAGAGCTGATTCCAACTCGGATATATTGATTGCTTTAGTTTCAATAACTTCTTCCCCTTTCCGACTTTTCAGGACAACAGTTTTGGCTTGATGAATCAAATCTAGTTCATTTTTTTTTATTATCTCTAGCTGATGCTTGGCTTCTTTTTCACGCCATTGCGCAAGCTCCTGGGAGGCAAGTTCTTCAGGAGACAACCTCACTAACTGGGTAGGGCTGATTGATTTCTCAACAATTTTTTTGTACAGAGTTAAATTCTTAGGATCTTTAATATTGAAAACGAGGCTTCTATATTTTGATTTGTACTTGGTCCCAGTGTCTTTAAAAAGGGCAAACAGCTCTTCCTCGATAGAAGTGACTAGTTCTTTAATCTGGAAAAATGAAAAAAAAAAATTGATAAATATATGAAAAAAAAATAAAATTATAGAAGAAGTTATAATTGTATTTATCAAACTAAAAACAAAACATCTTAAAATATTTTGGACATATAATGATCAGGATACTTCAAATATATAAAAAAAAATCTGCACATCACGCAACATTCATTTACCACCCTCTCAGCAGAAATAAGTATTTTCAGACAAAGTGAAGTGAAAGTAAAAATTATAGACTCTATATTTATTTATATTTTATTGTGGGTATTTTTATTTGTAAAAGTACCCTCATATATACAAATTATAACATTTATTTCGCTGTAATCTATACAATTAAATATTAAATAATACCAACAATAGCATTTATGAAAACCACATGTATATTTATATAATATTGTCAGAGTCCGTATTATATTAATCTCATGATACGAATAGCAGCGTGTTCTAATCTTTCGGGCAAGCTTGGATGCGCTCGTATTCCTTTGAGTCCTCAATCACAACTGTTCACCGTTACGAACACTTATTTCTCCTGTAGTTAATTATCAAATTCTTTCATATTTTATATTTAAAAATTTATCATATTAGAAATTAATGTAAAATGGTCAATTGTTTCAAATAAAAAAAATTAAAGGTACTTTAGAAGAAGCTAATATTGAAAATTAGCCATTTAAGCCCTGTCAGAGAGCACCAATCAGAGTAAAAACTATATTTTATTTAATAGTGCTTAATTTTACACTGATATGATGAATTTAATCAAAATCGTTAGAGGGGTTTTCGAGATAATCGTAAAAATGTGTTTAGTCCATTATGCAATTTCACTTCCGTACGACTTTTCCATTTTTGAGCTAGGCTTAACACACATACAAAGACACACACACACAGACCATTTTGCGGGACTTGGTTATTTGGAATCAGAGTACCTCAAAACGTGTATTTCCGTTAAAAACTCAGATTCAAAAATTTTCACAATCGCAATACTTATCCTTACCATATATTACATATATAAGTAAGTGAAAGTAATAAAATAATGTGCAATACCAGAATTTAATCTAAGTAGTCTGAACATTCTAGTAATCTAAACACGAAAAAAAAAAAAAAAAAAATAGAGAAAGAGAAGAAATGGTGGATGAAAAGAAATTTCATTTAGAAAAGAAAAAAAGGGATGCAGAGGACAAATTTGAAATGGAAGACTGCAGCCCACCTGCCATTGCGAATTTTAAGGAAGTTACTTCAAGCACACCATTCAAGTGGTTGTCTGACAATCCTTTAATTTCTTTTATAGAAACAGACTAATAGTGAGGCATGAAGATGCAGGTATTAAATACTTTCCTACAGCAAATAGTTCAAATTACTGAGATTGCACAGTATGGTTCGCGTTTTTGAAAATTGAGACAATTTTCGTATTTCTTTTTTCATTGGTGAATAATCAGAACCTAAATGTTATTGGTTAGGCATGTTAACTGGTATGGAGATTTGAATTGTGCCATACAGCTTTGGCAATATCGATCGTCCACAAATATGATAAAACAAATGGATAACTGCTAAAAACTCTCAATAAATAATTTAAAACTTTATCCATTAAGTTAATTTCAGGAATGTATACCTCATCATTGGAGATGTTGACAGAGTCGTCTTGTTTCACCCTTTGATTCAATAGTTCTTGAAGGGTTCTTTTTACATTCGCTCTGACTGGTTCCACAGACTGGGTAGATGGAGCAGGTGCAGTTTCTTCAGGGGGCTTTGCGGTTTCGCTGGTAGAATCTTTCCTTTTTTTCTTTTCTTCTTTCTTCTTTTCATCTTTGTCCTTCGTACTACTAACTGAATCCCTACGTTTATCTTCTTTGGATGATGACCTCTCAATAGGTTTTTTACTGTCGACAGAAGGACGTTTACCAACAGGTTCTGCAGGAGATTGTGCAACAATTTTCGCTGCTGACTTTTTAGGTTTGCTTTCATCTTCTTCTTTTCCTTTCCCTTTGGTTATTGGCTAAAAACAAAAGAAATAGATTAGAAAAATTATGTTCAAATTAAATTAAAGCGAAGATGAGGGAGAGACTTTAATTCAATAAAATATAAATCTAAAAATTTAGATTTTAAATGTAATTTGAGTAGAAGATTCTAACATACATATTAAATATAATGGGTAAAGAATAATCTATAATAATAAAATTAATAAACAGACAATTAATGAATAGTAAATAATACTCTTTCATTGATTTGTTTAACTCATAATTTTTTTTAAACTAAAAAACTATTAAAAAAATTAGTGATTAAAAGTGTAGAGCTAAGCCATTTAAAGTAATAAGGTAATTTACAATTATTATTATTATTAAGTAGAAGGAAAAAATATTATTCATGCTTCAATAAATAATGATTATTCAATGGCTCATGAAGGATCTAGCGATCAAGCAATAACGGTAGTATCTGATTCTCAACATCACGGTATTTACAGTACGATCAGCAATATGCTCTTAACAATAGCTTGACCTACTAATACTCATTTTTGTAGATATGATTTGTAGCATCTGCAAAACCAATGTTCAATTGATGACATGACACAGTCTAAAAACTTTATTTCAAGAGTAAATTATTAGGACATAATAAACTGCATAATTAAAATAATATATACAAAAACCAAATATCAACAAAGCTTGCTCAACATTGAATGCTGGTGCTCAATATTGAAATACATATACTATTTCACTTTGTATTTAAATAAACAACAAATAACTATTGTTTAAAAAAAAAACAACAAGGTCATTTCAAAGTTAAAATATTTATTAAAGAATTAATGTTTCATGAATAAAGTAAAAGAATGATCGTTTGATGAACAATAATAATTTTTAAAAAAATGTAAGCACTATATTTGTCAACCCATATTCGGTTTACAATATATCGTTGAAAAGATGAATATCGAGGAATTATAGTTAAAGCGTGTTTTCTGAATGACAAGTACTTTGGTGTTTTTTGACCTTATTTCAATGAACCGTACAACCAAAATCTGACAGATAAAACTATCCAAAAATTTATTATAATCTGTTTTTAATTCCAAAACTTTCAGGTAACTACTCTGAGAATCCATGAATATCAAAATATATTTTAGTAATTTATAGTAACAATTCGAATAAACATCAATATAAAAATATGTTAGAATGAAGCTAAAAAAGCAAACAGTTCTGTTCAACTTTCATGAAAGAAATGTAAAGAAAAAATATACATAAGTGTAAAACACAAACATGAAATAAAATAATTTATTGAATTTTTACAAATATATATACAACTTTTTATAGAAAAATTCTAAAATAAGAAATACTACATGTCAATAAAGTATACTTTCAATTAAACAGACAATTTTTTTTTTCCCCCTACCCTCCAGGAATTTCTTTATTACAATATATATAAATGTTATATATACATAATTTTTTTATTTCCTTTTATTGCCCAAGGGCATTTTAAGGTAAAAGGGCTATGCACGCTGTATGCGTACTTTGCATCTGTGGCCAGAGGCCTTTTATCATACCACTGGGCAGAAACAGTCAATCGAATAATAATTAGTATTTTAATAAGTTCCAAAAATTTGTAAGTAATGAGAAAGGCAAGCCAAAACAATTTTTTTTTTTTTTTCATTTTTAATTAACTACAACATAGTTTCACATAGTTCCAAAATGATTAATTAATTAATGCTTACAAAATTCAGCTAAAAACATTTATATCATGGAATAAAATTTTACATAATTAGGACACGAATAACTGAAATTGAATGATAAATTTAGCAAAATATAAGTTAAATTACTTTAAACAAACAAAAAGAAAAGTAAAACTATGTTGAATTATCTGTTTTAAAAACTACATGTTTCACCTGCTGCACAGTCATGGGTTGAGCCTGGATAATCTGAATCTTATGAGGTGCCGATGGCTTTGGGGCAAATCCGATTTCTTTGGTGCCAGATGCGGTTATTTTTTGAGTGAGAACTGATTGCTTTAAATTTCCACCTTTTTCATTTCCACCCTAAAATTACATACATATAATATTATTAATGCATATAAATATAAATCATATAATATTAGTTACAGAAACTAGTCTTGATAAGTTTTAGTTGTGAAAACATAAATAAATACAATTATAAATATTTTAATTGCGGGTTGATGGTTGACCGTAGTGAATAATTGAAGAGAAGGACGGTTAGAGTGATCAGTCCAAATAAATGATTAGCAAAAATAAATAATAATATTTATTTTTACATTTGCCAACAGTTCAGCCCGAAGTTCAGGTCTTCATCGGGGCTAAGAAAAGAACCAGAGAAGAATAATAACAATAACAGAGAACTAAGAAATAAATAATAATAACAGCAACAAAGTAAGGACTAATGAAATAAACGTAGTCAAAGTAAGGTAACATAAGAAATAAAATATGGTAATCTTAGAATAAAATGTAAAACAGGGAAAAGGAATATGAAGTTATATAAGGCAACAACAGATATAAATATATTATTTATAGTATATAGAATAAAGGAAATATATAGATATAAATATATTATTTCCTTAAATAATTTCATATTCCTTTTCTCTGTTTTACATTTTATTCTAAGATTACCATATTTTATTTCTTATGTTACCTTATTTTGACTATATTTATTTCATTAGTCCGTACTTTGTTGCCGTAACTTTGGAACTGAAGATTCTCTAAAACACCAGCAATCATTAATGGTTTAATGGCAGCAATAGGGTAGAGACTAAATCGTAGAAATTGTCAGGATTTATGACAACAGTTATATCAAATTATTAGATTAAAACCAAAGAACGAATTCATATAAATTCTGTAAAATAATAAATACCTGTTTAATAACTGACGGTTTTGCTGGTTGTGTTAGCTTTGCAGATTGCTGCGGCTTAACTTGAATTTGTGAAGGTTGCTGCTGCGGCTGTTTAGTTTGAGCTGGTTGTTGTTTGGCTTGAGGAGGTTGCTGTTGCTGTACTTGCTTCGTTTGAGGCGGCTGCTGTTGTTTCAATTGATTGGAAGCTTTCGGTTGGATTGGCTTCGCCTGAGTTACTTGTTGCTTAGCTGCCGTCGGTTGCTGCGGTTTAGATGGAGCCGATTCTTGCTGCTGTTGGATTTGCTTAGAAGGTATAGACTGTTTCTGCTGAGCACCTTCAGGCGACTGGGCCTGGGCAGGCTTCTTGTAGAATTTATTCGGAGGGAGAACACTCGGTTTAGCGATTTCATAGGTTTGATGTTCAAGCAACCAATCAGCAAGTATCTGAACAGTAGGTGCTGCATTACCTACGTTCAAAGTAAAAATAATTGAATTAACAAACATCAAACTGAATTAATTTTTAATTGATGTTGTTTTTACTTTTATCTAATGTATCCTAAATTATTCTAACGAGGGCAGGGACCATTTTACTCTTCCTTGAGAAGCAAAGAGATGCTACAGGATCAATATTATATATTAATAGTTTCTAAACGTAAAACATAATTTTGTGTCTCCAAACTTTCATAAGTCATAAATAAAAACCTACACTCCTTATGAAACATTTTGAAAAAAATAACAGAGAAGAGATATTAAATGGTTTAAAGAAAAAATAGCACAGACCAGTTAGGGAAACAAATGTCAGACTATTGTTAAGATTTTCATGTTTCATAAATAATTTAAAGTCACATTTTATACCGAAACTATTGGATTCCTTAAGTTGACTATTTTCTTTTTTCTTAAATTAACCATCAGGATTTAATAAGTCAACCATAATAAAGACTGAATAATGAAAATCATAAGTCCTGCCAGACTTGAGATAATATTAGAGCATCAATGTAAAAAAGTCAGCTTTTTATTTTCAAAAGCCAAGACTTAATGCCCTACATTAAACCCTTCAGGATTTGTTATATAAGTTTAAAAATGATGTCATAACAACTGATTTATAAATTAATTCCTTTATTAAATGTTGTTTTTAAGTTTTATTTCGGCTTTTAATTTATGAAAGATTTTTTGGGTAATATGTATGATGTATCATTTTTATTTTCTTTTACAAAATGTGGAAAAAAAAAAACAACAAAGAAATCTGAGAAAAATGAAATAGGGAAGGTAATTTCCTGAAGGAGCTATAATATCTATTCATATCTCTGGGAAATGAATTAGTCATACATCTAACCTTAGCTCAAACTGTTAAGTAATCCAACAACAAATCAGCAGTTTGCTTTGCAAAGTAAGTAGATGTCACATCAGGAGGAAAGTATAAAATAGTTCGCAACAAACCAGATAATCAACAGAGGTAGCTAATAAATTTATTAGTTTACAATGAATATTCTAATAATTATACTTTAAAAATCCTAAAAAAAAAATGTTGAATTAAGTAATGAATAAGCCCAAATATTTTTTTAGCAATTATTGATACTTTAAGAAAAAAGCTGAAACTGCAAAATAAATTGAATTAACAATAATTGCAATAAGTTCTCAAGCCAAGAGGTTAGAACATTAGAAACAAGAGGTAAAACAAAATTAATATTCTTTGAAGAAAATTCAGGATACGAAACAACAATAACAGAGAAGAAAACAGACAATAACATGCTATGATCATAATAAAAAATAGAACTGAAGTGAGTTGCTGTTAAGTTTTTACTCTCTGCAAGGAAAAGAGGAAAAATTATTTTTTGAAGTTTTAACAAATAAATAAAAGTAATAATAGCGACATTACCAGTAAGGCAAAGTTAAAAGATCAAAAATCATAAACTAGCATAACATTTTAGCGTATTCTGTTGTAAGGAGTATAAAAAAAAAAAAATTATATAATATAATAAAAACTAGATGTTCATTAATAAAAAAAATTGTGAAACAATAATCTTAAATTCATTATGACTATTGAAAAATCTTTTAACATTACCTTTTTAGTTAAAGATAATAAAATAAATAAAAGCTTTCTTTAATTTGCAAAGATCAATAAAAGGTATAGAAAATATTTCTTATTGTTAGAAAGTTCAGTAATGAATTAATTATCAAACATATTACGACATTCAATTGAGTAAAATTTATTCTTTTGTCAGATTAACAAACAGCAACAATAAATCAATAAGAAAAACAAAAGATGTTTTAAAATCAAAATAAAAATTTAAACTAATGCCAGAGCTGGTAAAACAAACATTCAATATAAAACTAATGTAAACGACATTTTCAATAAATTATAAATTGCTTTACATCTTTTTATATCAGTTTAAAACAATCTTTTTTTTTTTCAAACAAAAACAAACAGATCATTTTAGTGGAAATATATAAATACAAGCATTCATCCACAAATTTTCAAAATAAAAGTTGATTTATACAAATCTAAATACACTGGTTTCAGAATGATAATTGGATGAATACTTAAAAAAAAATAGTCAAAATAAATACGCAATAAAATATTTCAGTTTCTGATCAGCAGATTAGACAAATAAAAAGAAATGCGATCCAGCAGTTTCCACATAGTAACATAAACTTATCTTACAAGCACAAAACAATACAAATTCATGAAAAATTATACAATAAAAAAAATTCAAAAACCATAAAAATAATTGCGAGATAAATTGGTTGGAGATTACGGCCACAGATGAAAAACAATACAAATAAGACATATGAGAATCCGAACCGACACTATGGTCCAAGTTTTAGATCTTTGTCGGGGTTAAAAGGTTCTGACAGCAACAATTAAAATTGGAAATAAATTATTAACAAAACATGGAAAAATAATTTAAATTAAAGAACTACAAGACCTAAACAAAATATTTAATTTTGGGGAGGATTTTAGAAAAACAATTAAAGACTGAATGACATCAAAAACTACCAATAAGTAACAAACCAGAAAAATTAGAAAACTTTATACAAACTAAATGCTAACAGCAAACAGCCGTCTAAATTACGCAATCATTAATATTTATTATCTATATTAACAATTGTGGCATTTAGCCAGCGCTCTTCAGGTTGTCTACAAAGAAATTTAGCTTGCCTAAAATTGTCCAAATAATTTTTTTTTTGTTTATAGCTTATCCTGTTATTGATGTGTTCAGTGTTTGTGATTGTGTATCATGTGATGGTAAGAAAAAAAAATCATCATCAAAATTAAAAACTGATGCATGTATATCTTAATATTTTAGACCTTACAATCAACAATAATTTTTATTTTTCCTATTAATTCATGTTAATTAACTTAAATTTTCATAAAATAATTATTTTAAATCAGTATGAAAATAATTAATAAATTTGTTATAAAAATTAAAATATTGATGAATGATGAATATTAATAAGGTTTTGTTTACCGGCAAGAAGCTTCCCACTTTTTTTCTCGTATACGACGACTCTTGAGGAAAGTTGAAGACCGTCTGTTTCTTTCTTTAAGAGGGCAAGCATTGTTAAAGCATGTTTTCTCACACATAAATCCGTGCAGTAATTTGAATCCACTTTAGCAGGTTTTTTACAAACAATGCATTCTAAAGATGAAATTGTCCTGAAAAGAGGTATTAATATTTAAACTTGATTTGAATGCTAAAATTATCTTTTTAAGTCAAGCATAATTTGTAAAAAAAAGAGAAAAACAATATGTTTAACTGATCATCATAATAAAACATTGAATCATAGTTAGCTAATAATAAAATTCAACCTCCTTAGCTAAATATACACGTAATTCCATAATATAAATATTAAGTTACCTAGAAGGCTGTTCCAATTTGTTTTGATAGCTTTGAATATAACAAATAAATACATTAGATACAGTAAAATAATAATTCAAAACAATTTGAGTTTAGTTCATAATTAAAATTGTAAAACTTGTAAATATAATGAAACAACGGGTCAAAAAATATATTTATAATGGCCCATATTGTTAATGACATATTTGAACATGAATTTCTATGAAGAGGATAGATTAACATATATTTTAAGGGAGAGCTAATTAAAAATATATATATATGTATATATTTGTTGATATCATATCCAGACCTTCACCAGGAAAAATAAAGAGAAAATTACAAGTCAATTCAAATGCAAGATTCCACAATTTTTTTAACCAAACTTATAATATTAAACAATATGGAAGTCAGACCCATAAATTGGTTCTTGAACTTATGTATTTTATCACAGGTGAATCTAAGCAATTTATTTCATAATAACTAGCCCTCCCCCCCCAAAAAAAAAATCTTGAACGATGACTTTCTTGTATTATTAGTTTTTTGGAATAGCAAAAACAAAAAACATTGATTTTGTGAACACAATAGGAATTAAAATTTAAAAACTTAATACCAACAGTCATGTTATAAGAGTACTTAATTACTTTCTTTAACAATGTTTACATCAGATAATACAACTGTCTCACCAGAATTGTATCTAAATTGAAAAGATTTAAACAAAAAAATAAATAAATACAAATAAAAATGGAACTGGAATTGTCGAAAATCTAGAAAGAGCAAAAAAAATCATCCAAATAAATAGGTACGTTTAATTTTTTTATGTCATTAATACAACTCTACTACAGATAACTTAATTTCATAAGTAATGAATTATTATGCTCACAAGTTTTTCTCAACCCAAATATACTTCAATTAAAAAGTTAATGAATAAATAAGAGGAATTTTGAAAAATATTAATCTGAAATTCTACTCATTATTACAATATACTCCAATTAAAAAAAAACTTTACAACTTTAAGAAAATATTAAGCTAGCATTGATTACTAAAAACTGTTTAATAGTACAAAATAATAGATTAGAATGATCTATGGCAAGGAAAGTATCTTGTAGTAGATAAGGTAATGAAAGCAGCATTTTTTATCTGTAAAGATAACAAAAACTGATTAGAAAACGGTTCTTCAATCAATTTTATGAAAGTACAGACAGAACACTGGCAAATTGGCTATTTAATTTAATCGATATATCCGTTATGAATTAATTTTTCAATACTGATGAAATAGAATTGACAAATAAACAAAGTATTATAGCTAACAGCAGTTATAAAATCTGTTTTATAAATTTAAAAAATAATCAAGAAATAAAAATTGTCATATGTTCACATGTTTTCATTTTTGGGTAGAGGGAGGAAATATAACCTCATTGCACAATATAATTTATTAAATACAAAAAGATTTAATTCTGAAATTTTATGAAATACAAAGATTAACTTTGAAAAAAAAAATAATGAATGAAATTTCCTTACTGTTGACCAGATGATAACTTAGCAGAAGGTGGTGTTGTTGCAGGTTTAGAAATTTCTTGAGCTTTTTTGTTATTTTGCGCTTTTGCTTGAGCACAATTAGGGCAAGACCATTCAATGCCCTTCGATTCCATTTGCTGACCTGTAATTTACCATTAATTAGTTCTCTCTTCATAAAGGTCCTCTTCTTCAATTTTAAAATTTTGTCTCCTTTACTAATGTTATTTCAAATTGATGGCCTAAATGCTCTTTATTATTATCAATGAATCACTTTGAGCACTTCAACGGTAAAATAACATTTTGTTTTACAATATCGTAGTTTATAAACACTTTTACCTTAGTTTTATTTCAATTTAAAAAATAGTATTGCCAATTTTCGTAATTCCATCTTCTCTCATAGATGACATTTTTTTTAGTAATCAACTGATTTTAAACAAGAGGATGTCTCACAGAAAAAAAAGAAACATATTTAAAAAAGTGCCAAAACTTTATATGTAAAAATAAATTTATTTATTACATTATGAGATATTACAGGCTCACAATAAAGGAAATAAATTAAGACAGAGGTAAAATAAAAATTATAATTATAACAGAAATAATGTAACAAAATGCTAATTTTTAGCATTTTAACGTAGGTTTCTTTGAACCTACCAAGAGCTTTAGTAATTCCGACACATTTTCCATGGAACCATTCTTCACACCCATCACAGCATATCATAAACCTGAAAAAAAAGTGATATTTTAGATTTAACAAAACCTAAATTCTAACCTATCATCTAAATCAACATATTGTTTCAAATTTCACTTTATTTTAAGAGTAAAATAATAGTTTCATGAGACTCATGTAAGTATAACTACGGGTCTATAGAAAACTAGGAAGGATACTCCATTATCAACTAAACCCTATTCTTGGAATATGCTGTTCTATAACTAATTGGCCTATTCTTTGACTTTTATCAAGTAATCATTTTTCATTATTTTTATCAAGTTCAAACGTACACAGGAAATATTATTCATCGCGATATTTTATAAAGAGAAAATAAAGTAAGTCGACCAGGATGGGAACCAACTAAAATATCTTACTTCAAATACCAAGAATTTAAAACAACTGTGTCACCAATGTTTTCTTAGAAAACAAGAGTTTTACATTTTGAGCTTGTACCAGTTCGAAATGTGTAAACTGAGCTAACTTTATAAATGTTTGTTTATAAAACAATCCACACCTTTTTTTTAGTTAAAGCAACTATCAATTAATCATAAATACAAAATTAATAATTTTTATACTAAAATTAAAGAAAATAAAGCAAAGAGTTTTAAAAGAAATATATATATAAGAAAGTAATTTGTTTTTATTTATAAAATCATTATTTTTTTTGTCATCAACGAATATGATTAAACTTGAAAGCTTTTTCAATGAATACTCACTCACACATATCAAATATTTTTCATTAATTTTACACCGTCTTGATTAATAGTCCAAACATTGTTAACATTTTCTGGATCACTTTGATAACTCTTGCCTAATGTTGATGTTCTATTATAAACAATGTTTAACATTACAAAATTATCTCATTAAAATAAGGGCAAAATTAAACTAAAGCAGAAATCTCTGTGGTTTAGCTTAACTGACCTTATCAGTAAGAGAGAAACTAAGAATTATTGGATTATCATTATCTTTTCTAAGTTATTTTATTGAGGCTACATTCCTAGTAGCATGTGTGTGTAAAGAATTTTGGGAAATATTCAGCATCTCGAATATTGGTTCCACTTATAATTCCAAGGAGTAGAGAAGAAAAAATGTTTATAATTTAAAGACGCCATAATTAAACACAATAGGAAAATAACAAATACAGAAAATCATCACCTAGACAATTATTTCACAGATGATATATTAAAGTAAGACAATCATCTAAGAAATGATGTATTAAAATCATCAAAACTACTAAAAATTAAAAAGTGGTTCATATCTTAATTCCTGTACTAACTTATATTATAGTATTATAGGAAACCAATGTTAAAAAAACTCTTTCAGGGATATTTTACACACAATAAATTCTCTCCTATCAAAACGTTTGCTTTCTTCTTTATATCCAGTGTATTATTAGTTACCACCAAATATGAGCACAGCTAATATGGTTTCTAATTGAAGTTTTTTAACGAATAGGGTTATCCACATAAGAAAGGTTCACATTGTTGAGAGTAGTCAATTTAGCTTCTTCTTTTTTCAGATAGTTTATTTTATTAATTTACATCGATAATAATGGTATATTACTTAAGAACATAGTATATACTTTAATGATAAATTACATCAAAAATCAAATTATTTAGCAAACATTCACTTTCTCGATAAAAAGCAACACTGCAGACTTACATCATCACCCTAACTCCCTCCAATGTTGCAATAAAAAAAAAAAAAAATTAAGACATCACTATGGAATAAATTTTCTAAGCAAAATATCCAATTTATGGTAACGATTTAAGGCGTCAATATTGGGCGATAACATAAAATATGTCACATGCAGCAAGTAGTCAAATATTAATTTAATGGAATTGCAATTACAACAGTGATTTTAAGAGGAAGCCAAAACCATATAGTTTTTAAGACAAGATTTATCTCTTCTTTAACAAAGCCACATTCCTAAAAAATTATCCCTTTTCACATTATTGTAGATCGAAATGGTCATGTCAATAAAATTGATTTAAAGATGCTTTGTGAGAAAAAGTTAAAAAATATGTCAAACAATTGGTTTTTTTTTATTGTTTTTCTTTTTTCTTTTTTTTTTTTTTTGAACAGGTGATTTAAGGAACAGCTAGAAAAGTGAAAAATAACTCATATGGAAATATATTTGAGTCATTTATTTCCTAAGTGAATCCTAATCATTATTAACATTTTTTTAGGAAACCAAGAAAAACTATATTCTAAGAAAACTAAAATTTTTTAAAAAATAAATTAAGAAATTCTTTATTAGTAGAACATTATTCCGAAAATCACTGATTATTGCAGTAGTGATTAAAAAACATTGAAACATGAATATTATTGAACTTCAAGACCGTTTTTTGAACAAAAAAAAGTTGATTGTGTTTGTTTTCGAGAGAAAAAAAGTTATAAAAAATTAACTTTTTGCTTACAGAATCCAATAAAACGGTAAAAAAAGCTTTTGATGATTTTTTACTCTCAAGGATACTTAAGAAATGCAGGTTTCATAACATTCCTTTAAAAAAAGGCCAGTTTTGGAAATAAAATTATTTTCGCATAAGGTTCGTTGGGTAGGTTTACATATGAATCGATACTTATCTAAATTTCCATAAAAATTTATTAGGGTTAGCTTTCAAAATAAACAGTTCATTCCATTTCATTCAACGTCCTTCTAAATCATAGCAATATTTTATCATGATATAAGAAATTTTCCATAAATAATAATCATTTCATTCTGAACAAACCCACTTATGAATTAGACAAAATCTTTTTATATTATTTCTCAGCAGTGTTTTTTTTTGTCAGTACATCATATTATCGGATTATTGCAAAAAGTCATGAAGTGATTTATGTAACTATAAATTACTAACAGCTATGATGAATTTTCTCTTTCTCAATCAGAAAAATGTGGATATGTTGTAACTATATTTGATATATTAAAGGCTTGTGTCATTCAAGTGCACTTCTTGTATTTTTTTTATCAATTAAAGTCCAAATTAACCAAAAAATTCAATTCCATTAAAAATGTACTCAGTGAGTGACTTTTTGCAATATTCCGATAATCTCTTCCTAATTAATTCATAAACTCCAATGAATAAGGTAACATTTTGAAGATTGCTTTCTTCACCAGTGCCATAAAATAAGCCCAAATCCCAGAAAATAACAGAAAAAGTTATGAAATTTAAGACTTTATTAGTTCATAAATTGAATTTAAGGGCAATTGATTATCATTATAATCATTCCCCCTTCTACCGCGGTTCGATGTGAAGGTTGTGTTTATAAAGTCAGACCCAGCTGACTCTCACCTGCATCAACTTTATTCTCCTACTCCAATCCATTCCGCACTTCCTAAATGCCTCCTTTACTGTCTTCCCAGGAGATGTGAGGCCTTCCTCTGGACTTTTCCCTTCCAAGTAGGTCTCATAAGTCTTCCAGGCGCTTCTATTTGGATGCATTGTAAGAAGATGTCCAAACCACCTTAGTTTGTGCTCCTCCAGAATGGTCTCCGCTGATTTCACTTCAAAATTAACCTGTATGGTGGCGTTCCGTATCTTATCTCTCCGTGTCTTTCATTCAATTTTACGCAGATACCTCATTTCCATGGCTTATATATGGCTTTTGTGTTTCATGGTGAGGATCCAGAGGGCTAGTTTGGTCCGCTTTGACAACTCTCTTCTTCCCAGGAAACCCCGTCTGACCATTACTGAACATCCTCCCTGCCGCTCCAATTCTTTGGGCCACTTCTTCCTCTTCTTCTCTATGTTGTAGCCACTCTCATTGAAATGAGCTCCCAGATATTTAAAGCTCTCAACCTGCTCTAATCTCTGTCCACCAACCCTTAGTACCCTCATTATCCTTCGGGGATTCTTTCCAATTCTCATGCATATAGTCTTCCCAGGATTAATCTTCATATTTACTGTGAATAATTTCTCTTGGAGGACATTTATGTTATGCTGAAGGTCTCGATCATTGGCAGCTAGTAAGACGAGGTCGTCAGCGAAGGCAATAGGGAATATCTGGCAGGGTGCAATTTCTGTATCCTAGCTGGAATTTCCTCATGATAGGCTTGGTCCTCCTTAGTGCCAAGTACAGAACCATGATGAACAGCAATGGACTCAGGCTACCTTTTACACCAACCTCCCTATTCACCAGACTTAGCTTCAAGTGACTACCACTTATTCCGGTCTCTGCAAAACTCCATAAATGGAAAGAAATTCCAAAAGGAAGAGGACATCAAAAACCACTTGGACCAGTTTTTCAACAATAAACTCCAGACATTCTATGAACATGGCATTATGCAGTAAGTGGAAAGATGGGAAAAAGTCATAATAAATAATGGTCAATATATTGTAGATTAAAATAAATTTTATGTCTATAATACAGTCAGTTTTATTGTACCCTGAAAAAAACGAAAGGATTTGTTTGCCAACCCAATATATACTGGTGTAAAATGCTATGATAAAGCGAGTTCTAACATATGGCTGTGAGACATGGACACTAACCGGCACTCTAGAAAAAAGGATTGAAAGATTTTAGAGAAAAATCCTCCGCACGATAACCGGAGTGATCTGGGATCAGAGTATTAACACATGGAGAAGAAAGACCAATAAAGAACTGATTACAGAAACTGGCCAATCAATATCCCATGATATGAAGGCACAGAGGATAAGATGGGTGGGGATTGTAGCTAGTAGCAATCCATCTGGAAGTCTCTACACAACAATGAACGCCTCGATAGAAGGCAGAAGATCATGTGGAAGGCCAAAAAGCAAATGGATAGATGGAATGAAGCAATAGAGCTGTGTGCAGATAAGTGGAAAGAAATAGCCCAAGACAGGCAGACTTCTAAAGGCGGCAAAAGATAATAAAGTCTGCAATGTCAATAGAAAAAAAATAAAACAAAAAATACTATACTGAAGTGATAAAACTGGAGTTAAGGTGGTGAGCAGAGGTGTACCTTCAGCTAGAGAAGACCTAGAGACTTGTCCTCAATCAAAACCATGGGAGTAGCCAAGAGGTCTAAGAAACTGTAAGTGGGGACCTTGAGGATGCTACTGCCAAGATCATCCGTGTGTGGTGAAGAACCACAGCCTGACCGATGTGGCCCTGATTTCGACTGAACACGGTGGATCTAGACCAGGAAGTCGATAGATATTCCTGGTACCAGGCAGCAGTGATACCGGTACAGGCATGGAGCCGAAAATGGTACTAGTCGGCTGGGTCCTGACCAGAAAATCAACTACGAGGGAACAGACCCTGAAAATGATGCAGGAGATGTTGGCCAAAATGTGCACATAGTCCTCTCACATCTTTTAAGATGGTCAAGGAAAACTGGACATCACGCATTACCTCCCAAAATTGGAAAGAACGAAGAAGAAGAAGTGATAAAACTAATCTAATCTTGTGTCATTTTTGACTAGCTCAATTGATAACTCATCAACAATCAACTTATCAAACAAAAGAGAATTTCATGGAGATGTGCCAAATTCTAATTTTAAAACTTAAAACCCCTTCCTACAACTAAAATAAATATCATTAAAAATATTTGGAGGTTTCAAATCGCAGATGCTTCAAAAGTCGACGGATTGAGATGGGATGAATTGTGATTTATATATTTCAAAATGGACATCAAAATCCTTGCGTATTAAAGCCCAAAAAAACTATCATTTTTTAGATACTCCTTAATCCTTAACAAAGCCTCTGAGGTGGTATGGTTGCCAAAGGATACTTGTCACACATTTAGGTTTAAAATGTTCAAACAATTATACTTAAAATAATGAACTGGTCACAACAACTATCATTCTCTTCATTAATAACTACAGTCAACCATGAACCCACAATTATACTAAAAATAGTCTTTAGAGGCGCTAAAAATTTATTGAAAAGGCAAATGGAGGAGAACAACTTGATCTCTTAGGATATTCAGAAAATACAGAAAGAATTTTTTTTTAATTTTTAATAAACTACTGGATGGCAGTAGCACAGAGACGCTTAGTAATCAGAACCCTTTTTTTTATGGGTTGTAGCACTATTAAAGAAGATATGACTTCTATACCCTCTGTAATAGACTTTTAAACTCTTAATAAATGAAAGACTTACAAAGATTCTTCTAAACAAAACAAATAGATCTTGAGGGATCACAACAATGGTTTAGCGTAAGTTCAAGGATAACTGTGTCCTATTTTTAACTATTATGAGGAGGAAAAGGTAGGAAAGCTGAAAGCACCTTTGTGCCTCTGCGATCGAATACTTTTTATCCCCTAAACTCTCCACTTAAGAATTTTATTAAGCGAATCATTCCAAACTTTTTTATTTCATTTATCTAACTTTTATATGATTGAAATGATTTATTTTTATAACATGACCTTCTATACAATTTTTAAAAATCAAATATGAACTTTTAAACCTTTATTTATATAAAATTGGACGTTTATACATTCGAATGAGTCAAAAACTAAAATAATGGTTACCTCATTTTTAAAAAAACTACAAGCTAATCACTTATTAAGTAAACTGTTCCTTTAACAGTTGTGGTAAAATACGAAGCTTCAAAAATTTTAGGCATCGAATAGACTATTTTAATATGTATACAAAAATAAACATTTTTCGCTGATGTCTCTTATATCAGAGAGAATGATAGCAAGCAATCTAATGTGAGATTTCTCACTGGAGTATATTATTAATGAATAATTAAGCAATGTATAGTCATACAATTAATAATATATATGGTGTGTATATAGTGCGTTCTCATAACTTTCACTTACCACCCTACTTAAAAAATTGAGTAAATTATAAAAATTACTTTCAATATAAATAAAACAAAAGAAAAATATAAGGAAGGAGATGGTCCAGGGTGGCGGTCATAAATAGACTAAATAGTGGCAAAATTGTTTTATTAAAAGCCAACGTTTCGACGACTTTGCAGGTCTTCTTCAGGGCTAGAATGGACAAGATACAAAAAGATATAGAGAATTGTGGAAGTTACATTATATTTAGACAAAAAATTATAAACAATGTGAATAAACTTATTAAAATTATAAACAGTAAGCACATTAAAATTTATTAATTTTTTGGTTTTCTTTTTTTCTTTTCTTTCTCAACATCCCTTAATGTCCATTATTTATATTATATCCTTTTTCCTTTTCTTCCGATCACTCCTGTAGATCTGTAGGAGTATATTCACAATTGCATATATTATATTATATATTATACTACAACAATTGTTACCACCTATTTACTTCTGTTTAGGATCTTATAACTTAACGTACTGTTATATTTTAAAGTACTTACTGTTTATAATTTTAGTAAGTTTATTCTCAGTGTTTATAATTTTTTGTCTAAATATTATGTAACTTCCACAATTCTATATATCTTTTTATATCTTGTCCATTCTAGCCATGCAGAAGACCTACAAAGTCGGGTCGAAATGTTGGCTTTTAATAAAATAGTTTTGCCACTATTTAGTCTATTTATGACTGCCACCACGGACCATCTCCTTCCTTAATAATACAATGGCCAACTATTAAGTATTAAAAAGAAAAAATATGTCAATTCTGTGCACAAAATATATTTGTTAAAACAAGCTGAAAAAAAAAACATTTAGTTTTCTAAGAAATTCTCTTTAGTTTCGATGGAAACATTTATTTTTCATTAAATTATATAAACTTAGACATTACAAACTACAAAAATTGAAAGGCCTTAGTTTATCGTCACACTCCATCAACTTAAACTATTTTGAATGTTAGATATTATTTTTCTAAAATCTTTGTCTTCAGCAGTACTACTCTTATTTCCACAAATAAGTTAATTGTCAAATTCTTTTATAGTTCATAATTATCAATTTGGCATTACTAAAAACAATGAGAGACCTGCAATTATTTCTAACAATCGAAAGCATCCCATGGGCACGAGGTGTGTAGATGGTCAATAGAAACTCTTAGGATAGAGGAATCACTGAAGCAGCCTCCCAAATTGATTGAACGACATGATGAAAGATTCAATGTCTTACTCACTAATGCCATAAGTTGAAAATCAGGTATTTAAGAACAAATCAAGTTAGGACACAGCGGGTGGGTTAAAATTGGTTGTAAATGAGGTTAAGAGGTATGATGGCACTGCAAGAGATTCGCTGGTTAGGAGAGTATTCAATAAGGAAAAATAAGTACTCTAATTGGTACCTAGGGAGTAGAAGTTATTGTTTAGGCATCAGATTTCTAATTAGGAATAAATTGCTATCAGCTTTGAATGGTATACCTTTTAATTTTAGTAATAGGATTTTGGTGGCCATACTTCAGAGGCAATGGCTCAAAATCGCATTGCTTAATGATTGATTAATACATAGTCCAATCAAAGACTGTGATGATGAAGTCATATATGAATTTTACTATAAAATGGAGTGGTTTTACTACGATAAACTATAGCAAAACTGCAACTTAAGGAGATTTGAACGCAAGGATGGATAGGAAAGAATTTTATTTTCCAGTCATCAGTAAATGAAAGTGAAAGTTTATTAATTAACATGAATTTATAATCAAAATAAGACACTTCTAAGATAAAATGAAGGTGGAAAACTTCAAATCTGTGCATAAAAAATATGCCTGAAATTTTCATTAACAACCAAGCCAGCTAGCGACTGATTTCAAAACCATGAATGATGTTTACACCGCAGAATATTAAGGACTAGTGCAAAAATGTGAGATATAAATGCCATCCGAGAATAATTTATTATTTTGGGACTGAGAATTCCTTAAGAGGCAAATAAAAAAATTGTATAGCATTATATATGATCAAATAAATGTAGATTAATTAATAAAATTATATTACATCTATTCATATGTTTTAATAGCACAAAATTTTCAGATTTTATATGATACGACCAATTACCTTGCTAATCGTAAGTTTATTTTAAATTCCTAAATGAGATTTTAAAGATTTATTTGTTTTTCAAACAGAAATTTTTTCCAATTATTGATTAATAAAGACAACGAAATTAACTATTAAAGTGATACTAGTAAATGTAAAATAATGAACCTGTTATTATGAGGCTTTTTACAAATACACCACAGCCTGTCAGGATCGTCCTCGGAATTCCAACTCTCTTCATCAGTTTCGGCTTCTTCATCCTCGAAATCAGAAACAAAGTCTTCTTTGATTGGAACTTTCCTGAAAGAGTAGAAATTTTAGATTTATATTATGGTAAAATATGCTGTAAAACAAACTTGAATAAGTAACAACCAAGTTGTAAAGTAAATTAAAAAATATGCGATGCATGTATCACACAACTTTCACTCACCACTTCTTAGCAGAAATAAGTATTTTCAGACAAAGGGAAAGTGACAGTAAAAAAATAAACGCTATATTGATTTATATTTTATTGTGGGTATTTTTATTTTTATAAGTGCCCTTATATATACACATTTTTACAATTTAAGCTCATGTATGGAAGTGTGTTTTAATCTTACAGGTGAGCTCGGGTCAGCTCTTATTCCTTTGGTTCCTCAATTTCAATTATTATCCGTTACGATCTCTTATTTCACCTTTAGTTAATTATAAAATTCTTTCATATTTTATATTTAACTATTTTTGATATCAAAGATTAATGTGAAATGGTTAATTATTACAAATCAAAAAAATTGAAGGTACTTAGAAAGCTGATATGATATGATGAATTTAATCAAAATCGAGCCGTTTTCGAGAAAATCACAAAAATGTGTTTAGTCCATTATATAAAGTGACACTTCCGGTTAACCGATTTTGACAAAAAAGTTGTAATATCTCTAGTATATAAAAGCATTAAATATGCAATTTCACTTGCGTACAACTTTTCATTTTTGAGCTAGACTGTTAAAACACACACACAGACGCACAAGGTTATTTCATTACAGCTGGTAATATCATGAATTACTAAAGGATTAACAACTAAAATAATAACAACAAATATTAAATTATATATTGGTTTAATTTCGCTCATTACATAAAAGTATTCATTTTTTTAAATGTCTTTCTTTACATGTTATAACATATTTTTAATTTACTCTAGCTGACTTTACGTATTGAACCATTTTTGTGGCATTTAATGGTTGAATGGTATTTAACGACGGTTAAATTAATGATAGTTAAATAACTTGAAATACTAAGAAGGTACGTATTAATATTAACCAGTATTGACTAATAATAAAAGTGACTATATTATAATATATTTTAATTGAACTCACTTTTCTCTTTCGGTGACTTTCTTTGCTTCAGTTGAATGCCTCTTTTCAGAAACAGCTCCACTTACTTGCTGCCTCTTTTCTCTTTGTGAATGCGCATTCCTCTGTAATATTAAAATTATATTTTACAAAATAAAATAACAAGTATATTTCTGAATTGTTAATACATTTCAATTTTCTATTTACAAAAAAAACTCTTTTATTTTCTACAAATATTTTTATAATTTATTACAGTATAATCATTTAAGGAAAATAACTTTTAAAACTTGTTCCAATTAATATTAATCTTATTTGAGCTAACCTTGCCCATGTCTGCTCTCATACTTATTTTTTATATCATTTCTTTATGTTTACATTTGACAAGTCATAAAATAAAATATTTACATTTAACATTGCGTAAAATTCATTTCATATATTTCTATCCTTAAACTAGCCTGTCTAAAAAAAACATTTTAGAATAAAAATTTAATTACAACTTTCACATAGCAGAATATTAAATAAATAATCAAATAGTTCTAGATAATATTTAATTATTTGAAACTATTATCGTTGCTAAAGTTATTAAAGGTTAACACATGTTTTAGCAACCTGTAAACACTGCATAAAAAACTTTTAGAGTAGCGCACTTCTCTTGCGAAAGAACAATAAAATAGATTTTAAACAATTCCAGAATAACAATTCGATGCATTATATAGTTTTATTTTTCAAGATCACAAATTGTAAAATTTCCTACAGTTTGGAAATTTCATTTAGTTTCCATAGAAAGACTGGGTTTTAGTTAAATAATATTAGTTTTCAGAAATTGTCTTCACTACCTTTTGCCGAATGTATATGTTAAGATATAAATGTTTCTAAAATCTATTGCTTTTGAACGATGTATTTTATATATATGTTGCTAATCTTATTTATGGAAATTCGTTTAAAAACTAAGAAAATACTTCTCCTTATGTTAATTATTGAAGAAACTTAGTCGACTGCTCTACATATCATGGGTGATAAATATTCAGGACGCAGTCCTTATAATGTTTTTATTAGTGCCGACATTTCAACCCAAACATGTGGGTTATCATCAGGGCGTGGTTCCAGCACTGAAGATATTCAAGAGTACTTGAATATCTTCAGTGCTCAAAACACGCCTTGATGATGACCCACATGCATGGCTTGAAACATCGGCACTAATAAAAACCTTATAATGACTGCGTCCTGAATATTTATCACCCATGATTTGTTAATTATTAATTTTTTTTATGGTTTATTTATATTTAGACCGTTTTTATTAATGTTAACAATGACAGGCTATTAAATATTTCAAATACAGTATATCACAGGTGCTTTAGAAAAAGCCATTTGGAAAATTCATCATTTAAGTCTTGTTAGAATGTACCAATGAGGAAAAGACCTACCTGATATTAAAAGCCACTAAATTGTACATTGACATATCAAATTGAATCTAAGTTAGAGTCATTTAAGGAAAATTATATAAATATATTATATTAGGTGACTATTAACACTTCTTGTTAGCAAATTTAAGAAAGAAAAAAAAAGGCTGAAACATTCCACGAATATATATATATATATATATACACCTTAAAAATGTTTTTAAGTTACAAAATTTCAATTTTGTATGAATTATCATTATTAAGTTAGGGTGTTCACACAAATGCATGCACACACCACTGCTGAGACTTGGTTATATTGACTCAAGAGACCTCAAACAAAATGCGCATTTCTGTTTAAAACTGTTTCAAATTTTTTCAATGCAATACTTTTCCTTACTACAAATTTCAGGTATATACATATATATATATATATATATATATATATATATATATATATATATATATATATATATAAATAAACAAAAAACATGATGTGTTAAATACGAGCATGGGCAAGATCAGCCCAAATGTAATAAGAATAAAATAAATTCAATGAAGTTTTAAGATGGTTGTTATTTTCCTGAAATGATTATGATTATATTAAAGATTTCTCAAAAGACGAAATCATAAATATAAGATAGTATTTATCACAAAAAATTCATTAGAAAATACAAAATCTAATAGAATCAACTTATGCATTTAAAACTAAAAAATATAAATCTTGTATAGAAAAAAAAATCTAATTGTAAGGATAAATTAAAGAAGTTTAATTAAAAAAGTATAAGATAACATTAGTAAAGTATTCATAATTGTATAAATATTATAATATTTACAATCCAAATATAAATTAATAAAAAAAAAAAAAAAAAAAAGTCAAATGAAAATAATGAATTTTTGTTAATATGGAACTTGTACATTTCTTGGCAATAATACGTCACAAACATTATCAAAACTAAAAAAAAGAACACCATTCTGGTTTTAAAACCAAACACATATTGTAACATACTAACACAATAGGAAAGTATATTTTTCAAAGTCCATTTTATATAAATGAGCTCGAGGAAGGTATAAGGCTTCTTGGAACATTGGATAATAGAACTCTGGTAGAGGTAGGTAATGAACTTCAAGGAATCACGAGGAGCTCTTTGGAAGGAAACTTGGATTACATAGGAGATGGGATTAAACAATGAAACGCCTGCGTTGAAGTTGTTCACTCATTGATCTGGGAAAATTTATGACCATGCTACAAAGTAGGAAACGTACAGATTGTTGTTGTTGCTGCTGCTGCTGCTGATTCTGTTGCTGAACTGAATTCGGCTGTTGAGCAGCAGCTTTTTTAGTTGCAGATCTTGTTGTGGGAAGTTCGATTGGAGGCAATTTCCTAATCCTAGGAGTCTGAGCATCAACAGAAATTTGATTTTGCGTCTGGGATTGTTGCATTTGTTGTTGAGGTTGTGATGTAGCAGAGCCAGGAGTTCTAGCAGGATCTGACTTTTCCTTGCCAGGATATGACTAATAAAAAAAATAAAAAAAAGTAATAATAAAAGAAAGGAAAATGATAATCGATGCGAATATCATAATATAATAACAGCAATATAAGAGATAGTATAAAACGGGTTAAATTGAATGAAGCAATCAGAAGAAGTTAGGTGAAATATCAACTACAATGGTTTGAACAATGAAAAGTAAATAATTTTTTTGAAATTTGACGAAAGCGATAAGCATAATTAAATAGAAGACTTGACTAATTTGTTTTTATGCAACAAGTTTATTGATGAATCTATGTACATGAAAAATATGTACCATTACAACCCATAAAGATTTTGGGTCCACAACTATGTAAAGGAGTACTGTTTCCTGGTCAACAATGGTGCAGGGAGGTGATGTGACCGAGATCATGCACTATAATAAAACAGATTTTTCCTCATATTTCATTGTTAAATAGAGTTCACTACATTTTACGCCAGGTTATAGACACTGAGTATGTCCCAAGAGGGTCTTCTGACAGTGTCAATCCATGACTAAAGAAACAGAATAAATAAGTATCTGGCACAGCCAGATTTGAACCCTGGGAGCTTAGGAGTCCAATGCCCTACTCACTAAGTTACCCCGCTCTCCATGTATATAAACTACTATATAATTTATACTTATTGTTTTTAATTTATTGAAATTAATCGGTTTAAGCAGAAGAAAATAATAAAATAAGTACAAGCAATTATTAACTGAAACTGGTTAACAAAGTTTAACTGGACTATTTTAAAGTACTATTAATTATGCCTAAAAATTGATCTAAAAAATTACTTTCTTATCTCCTCAAACAAATGACACATTAGAACCAATTAATTCATATTAGATAAATTATAACTCTAACCCAGGCACAATTAGTGTTTATTTCTCATTTAACATTACTTTTTATTAAGAATTTAAATAAAGAAAAGTAAAAATTTTACCAGAACCAAGAATTTTATTACAAAAAAGTTCCTTAAAAAGTGTATTTAAAAATTATTTTTTTTAAAAAGGTTTCACAGAAACTGTTAAAATGGAACTTTTCAAAAAAGTTCCATAAAAGTTTCAACCTCTGGTGGATTAAATTATTTCATTGTTAAAAAAATTATTAAAATTAAAAACATTTTAAACCGGAATTAGACATATTTCTGATATATCTATACAGAATTTAAAAAATAATATCTTATGAGATAATTATTTTACCTGAAAATTATTTCCTGAATGGGAGACGGAGGAGTGGTTGATTTATATATTTAGGATGGACCAATAGTTGACAAAACTTTTATCTGGAGATGATTTAAGTAATTAATTAAGGTATTTTTTCAGAACTCATCAGAAAATTTAAAAGAAGACATCAAACAATATTTAAGCAGTTCAATATTATGTATCAAAGCTTACATATCACAGATATGAATATATCAATATTATGAATTTTTCCTATAATGAAAATAAAAATAATCATTGTTGATAGAAAAAGAATACTTTGAAGTCGTATCTGATATAAAATTTAAATTTTTTAAAATATATTTCATTATCAACAGACCAAAAAATTATGAAATACTGTACTTCCCCTCCTCTCCTGTCCAACCTACACAAAGAGTAATCTCTGATAGTCTAATATCACTTCGTGAAACGTGTCTAGTGGCACTTTATTCCCGCATATTGCATATCAAATAGAACAATGTAGTGCAGGTTCAATAGTAACAGCGAGATAAAGAGCGAAGCGAGGGGGGTAATAGCATTAAAAGTTATTAGCAGTTATAAAACCATTTCATATAATGAGCTCCTTATAATGACAGATATTGTACCCATTGACTTGAAAGCTCAACATTCTAAGATAAAACATTCTTAAAAACAATATATATATTTTTTTATTTTCACATTAATTCACAGATAATTTTTTTATCTATTAAAAAAATATTTATTTAACATACAATAAATTAGAAAATGTGCTTTGTACTATACATGATTATCAACATGGAAAAAAAAATTATTCAAACTACTCATTATTTATTTTTTTTTAAATTCACACTCTCTAATCTTCTGAATATATCAAATATTCTTTCTTGAATTAAATATATATATATATTAAAATTTTAGTCCATTAATCATAGACTATCATACATATATACAATAAAACATTGTTGGCTAAAAAATTATTAGCAGAACAACGAATAAATTTATTATATGTATCATTAACAATGGATATACAATTACTCTTATTCGACACAAAATTTAGACCAAATCTATTGTGAACTGAATACTTCTGATAAAAGTTTATTCTTTTTTTTAGTATGAGTATTTATTTTTATTATATCCATTTCCCCTTTCTAAAGATTTCATTCTATTATTATTTATTTATTAATAGGCAATGTAATTATTTAAGTGTTATTGTAAAATCACTCCTATTTTCCTTTGCATTTGTCAATTGAAATAATAAATATTTATTGCACTAAGAGCAAAAGGAACAAAATTACGTAGATTCTAACACACTGAGAAATTTTATACCAAAATACAAGGCAGTCGTCGCACCCCACAATACTGTTCACACTGATAGGGTTAAAAATTGATCAAAATCCAACAAATAAGTTTAAAATTGATTTCTACCAATTTGTATATCACATAACTTTCATATTAGAGGTTTTCAAACAATAAATTAAAGAAAAAACAACAATTATAAAGTTATTATGTGAAACAATCGATGTAAGCGTTAATATTGAATTAAAGTTAATATTGAAAACATTAGTTTATAATAATTAAAGTACATGTAATTTAATAGTAAAATATGAAACATTCAGTAATTATTAGATAAACTGCTTTTCTATGTTTTTATTTCATGCCTTTACAGAATGAGTATAACAACATACTTAATATGAACAGTCATAAGAATTATCATAAAAACAAGCTCATTCATCAAATGCTGATAAACTGAATGTTCCATTTTATTTTAAAATAATAAATTGCACAGATTTTAGAAATAAAATTTGTTATAGATAATTTATTTATAAGCAGATTTAAAAAAAAAGTTAATTTCAAAACATATGCTTAACCCTCTAAAGGTAACACTTGAGAGTGAAACAATAACAGTAACGCTGGGACAATCTGACCCGGAAATAATTCCCTTTCATTTTTATGCTATTTTAAAGGTTTTAGGATAAATAACATCATTATATATATATATTTAGTAATATTTATTACTTAAGTAATTTTCTCAAAACAATAAAAAACATAAAACTGAACAATAAAAAAATTCTTGAAGTACAACACAAATTAATATAAAACAATAATAAAATATATTAAATTTCACATTATATTATAAAGTATCCCATAATTTAGTCTCTTTTGTAAGAATATGTGCATACAAAAATTTGATGCTCTCCACATATACACCTGTGTCATTTTTTTTGGGCGATCTTTTTATCTTTACCCTTATCACAAAGGTCGCACCTCTTATGCTTTTTTTTTTTTTTTTTTTTGTGACAATTGTTCTGGAAGTACTTTTTATATAACCCTTAGTTTCATAATGGTACTCCGAAGCTCTCTTGGGATAAATTTACATTGGAGAATAATAGAACAATAATAGAAATATTTTTAAATAAACAGTAAGGGTGGGTAAAACTGAACCAAAATTCGAAAAGGACGTAAGGAAGTAGCATTATTTCGAATAGATTAACAATGCAACTTACCACAATAGAACCATTTTGAAGACAATTATTTCAACGATGAATAGGAGGGTATGTGGAGTTTGATGGGAGAAATCCTAGAAGTGCATGCTTAATACACCAAAATGTACCGCTCGGGTCAGACTTGACCCGAGTGTTACCGTTTGGGGGTCATGATTATTTTAATATAACTAATTAATTTTTAATTTAATTTAATTAGTTAATATTTATTTTTTAAATTTAGACAAGGATTAATATAAAATATTTATAACAAGCAATATGAATCGAAAAACATAAACAATTACCATTGACTGAGAATCATCATTGGTAAGATCGTCAAGTAATAATGCTTCGGCAATCAATCGGGAATCATCTTTTGCTGCTACTTCTGCATGAATTGAATCTAGCAAACTTTCGGGTGTCATTTCATCACCTTAAATTGAAAAAAAAAAAAAAGCTAACAATTTTTTCAACAAAAATGAACCTTACCATACAAATTAAAATGAACATATAAGTGCTATAAACTAAATTAAAAACATAGTGTATATTAAAATGAATAAAAACTAGTCACATTTTTGTTGATGATGATTCTTTAATATGGTACTGCATACAAAAAGTTATTTTTATTACGCCTGAATAGTGAATATAATCTTTCCTAAGAGGGAGCCAGTTTCAAGTTATTTTTTTATAATAAGCATTGCGGCAAAGTTTTGATATACGGTAATTATGATAATTCGTACTATGATACCGGTACTAAGTACCGTATTATGATAATACGGTAATTCGTCCAGTTATAAATTTTATCTGATATAACCTGTATGAGCAATCACCACAATAGCTGCATTACTTAGTGTTGTTTTATGAAATACTTAATAATTTCTATTTTAATGATTTATATACAATTAGAATATAATTTTTTTTTCTAGAAAATATTAATCTATTGATATAACATAACTTATTCCTTTTTTTTTTTAATTAACAAAACTCAATTATTGTGTTGGTAATATTGCATTATGTATCTTATAACTATTTACATGCTCATACACCAACTTATTTTATTTTTATTTATTGTATTTTATCCCATGCCTTGTCTTTCTCTTTCGGCCATGCGACGTCTAGCAGCTCAGTAAACTTCAACTTCAGTCCTGGCGTTTGTTATAACGTCCTGTAGTCCGGGACTATTCAGCAGATGCAGAGCTTTAATGGATGCTTGTCGACACACAGTAGACATGTTGTTGATTCAACAACTCCAATACGGTGGAGATGACTCTGGAATTGTTATTTATAATCTTCATTCTAAACTGTGCAACTTCTTGAGCAACACTTCTTCAGAGGTATATCGGCACTCGTCCATTTTCATCAAGTAATGAAGACCATTACTTATCCTTCAATTCCAAAAGCCATTTCTGTTCTGACTCTTCCGAGAGTAATGTTTTAATTACCTTTTTTTCATCAAGATAGGAATTGACATATTTGGGTGCCACCTCCGTTTGCTAATTGGTCAACTTTTACATTACCTGACAACTCACAGTGTCCTGGTCATCAGCAGGAAGCCTCGAAATGGCAATTATTATAGCATGAAAATCAATTAGGACTACAACTTTTTTATCAGTTCCAAGACGAGAAGAACTGTTTGTACTTCGCTATTCAAGTTACTTGCTTGCTTCCTCACAGGCTCAGACATTTGGAAATCTTCTGCATGAATACCAGCTCCTCCATACTTTCTTGCATCACTTTCAGAGCCGTCTGTATAGACATGAAATCATAGGACCCCCATACCCTCTCTTATAATTTCGAGTGTTAAATTCTTTAGTTCCATCTTAGAGGAGCAAATTTCATTTTATAGTTTTAAAATAGTTTTTTAAGTGAAATCTCAAATCTACCAAGGATAACATTATCATCATATTCTACAAATTATGAACCATTCACCAATGAAACGTATTCAAACTCTTTAAAAAGACATTTTATATCATGTGTACATTTTTTTTAATGTAGTATTAATAGAAAAGTAAAATAACATTTTTAAACTGTGTTGACTTGCTAAATGACACAGCAATGCTTATTTTATGTGAGAATATAAACAATAAATAAGTAAGTTAGCTGACTTTTCTACATATCATGGGTGATAGGAGGCAGTCAGTTTTTAAGATTTAAAAATCTTAAAAACTGACTATCTATCACCCATGATATAAACAATATTATTTTAAATATTAACTGAATTCATTTTTTTTTTTTCATTATTAAAATACCCAACAACAAAAAAACTAAGTTAAACGTAAATAGATTCGTGTTTTAAATGATAATATAACGCAATGTATCCATGTATTTCTTACACGGATATATTTAAAAACACACAATCAGTGGTATAGTCATTAAAAATTCAATTCGTATGTTTCATATTTTGTATAGTTTAAAGAATGAAAAAAATATTAGGATTCTTATTAAATAAATACACAAGTATAATTTTAATTAAAAATGCTTCTATAAATATTAAAATTCATTAATTTATTCATCAAACAGTAAATAAATCTAAACCTATCTAATATAAAATGTAAATGAACAATTCATGTCATTTCATTAATAAAGAGCTAAAGTTATGAAAAAAAAAAAATTAAGATGGTCTTCAAAAGAGTTTTAAAAATTTAATTACAGTTTTTAAAGTTGTAGATATATTTAGTAAATAAAAAAAAATAAAAAATTAGAGGCACCTCAACAATAATTAATTTTAAGAAATATTTACTGATTTAGAAACATACTACTAAATAATAATAATACAATTAAAGAAGATATTTAAAATTTGACTTACAATTGATTATAGGCTTGAAGGGCGGATGGGTAGGTTGCACCTGAACTTTTGGTTCAACCTGTGTTGGTGTTTGTGGAGCGGAACCATCGGCAGGCTTATCTGTGCTAACTCTTCGGATGATATCCGGCGTCGAAAAGAGCTCAGGACCTAGCGCTTCAGCCGGCGGTGAAGCTAACACTGCCTTTTTTTCCTTTTTCTTTTTTGATGAGGGGTCTTCATTCGTCACCAACTCCTTGGCGGCTACTGTCATATGAACGTATTTTTGTGTTAATAATCCTTCTTGAAGGAAATTCAAACAAATATGTTGCATTGAAAAAAAAATTAGCTGCACACAAAATTCCAATGAGTTGAAAGAAAATCTAGTAATTTATAAAACAAAGAAAAAAAAAAATGTTCTTTGAAAAAATATCAGAAATCTTATTTTACACATAAAAAGTTATAAGAAACGATTTTATTGCTTTCAAAATATACCACCATAATGCAGAACATTACTGAGCATAAATGCAGAATGAATCTTTATTATGATGCTAGGTCACAGTCATATGAAAACAATTAAAAACATATGTTTTGTTTACATTAAAACAATGAAGCAGTTTAAGACCTCTTAGCCTACCTATTCAATTGATTAGAAATTAAAAAAAAAATAATAATAAACCAAATTTATTTTTTAACAACCATTTCCTTATAAAAAAATATTTAAAGTATTTACAATAATCATGAAAAAATGAGTAATCAACACTGTGATTATAATAGCTTACAACTCTTAAAAAGAAAAATATAATAGCATGTATCTAAATATTTATTGCTATACATACAATAAAAAATTATACTTTGTCACTAAATATAAAAAATTATGTTAAAAAAATAAATAATGCATCACAAAATAAAATTTGATTTTAATTCATAACTGAATTTCTTTAATAATCACAGATAAAAATTATATAAATCAGACCAAGAGCCCACGAAGTGCATAGGGAGCAGCTCTGGAGCCTGAATCTGTTCCCGAAGAAGACAGTAAAGTACAATTAAATGGTTAAATAGAACCATCAAATGACTATTAATACAGTTTCAATATAGTCAAGAAGAGAAAGCAAAACATAATACTCTGAAAGCAAAAGATCAATATTCTGCTGAGAGAACCATGTATACCAACAATAGGCAACAAAAACCTTCCAACTCTAAGTAAATTTTACAATGCTAAAAAATAAATTCATAAAATAATACAGATTTAATTAGTAGTGTTTTTACCATTTAGTGCAATCCTAACTTATTTATAGATTAGAGATATCAATATACTTTCAAATCTCTCTTTATACATAGAGGTGGAGTTATATGGTTTAAACAGACTGATTCAGCGACGAGGCTTTTATTTCCTACCATTGGTATGTTGATTGACCATACAGAATGAATTCAGCAATTGTTTGCAGGTAAGAATAAACACCCTACAAACACACTGTAAGCTAACGATAGAACACACCATTTTGTTTCAGCACAAAACAAACCATTTTCATTTTTCTTGATACTTTTTAGTCCTGACAACACAAACAAATGTAGTAGAATTAGAAAAAAAAAATGCTGCAGAAAACAGGCGGAAGAAATGCATCACAAACTAGATGTATCAATGTAAATTATATATAGTTTTAATGAACTTTTTTAAAAAAAAAAGAATAATACATATATAAGCGGGGAAAAAAAATTATTAAAATATGATGAGCTAATTGAAACAACAATTAAATCCATATGTTATAATTATGCAAAACATTATAATAACAACATTTATTTGATAACAATAATAACTTTTGCTAATGGTTATTATCCATATTTAATGAAACAAAATTATTATTAAAAAAATATCCAGGACTGAAGTTGAAGTATCTTGAAGAGAAATTGATTAACAATGCACCATGTAAAAAGACTCGGAGTGTTGCAAATGCTAAACAAATTATAACAGAATAGAAATGACTATGAGGATATTACAGCAGCTGAATGTGTCAAAGAACAAACTGTCATTCTTAAGTTAAGAACAGAAGTCAAATACTTATTTTATTATTAATCAAAGACAAAATCTCAACCAGACCTGCCCAAAAAGGTATTTTAAAATACCAAGTATTTTGTGTTTCTTTCTAAAATACAATTTTAACCATCAAATCTTTAATTTGTTAACATAGTAATTGAAATAATAGGTAATTAAAATTGAGTTTTAGAAAAATAAAATACTTTTCGTTCAGGTCTGATCTTAGCCCTTCGATCAGAACTAAAAGTAGGCAGTTAACTGAAAGAAAACTGCCTTTTTGGTCTGGTTGAAGTTTCTAAAATCATTAATTCCAACAAATATTAATCTTCATATCCTCATTTTGAAATATATTAATAGCTTTATCAATAACACCTTATTTGGGTAATTACTTTTATCTAAATCAAACCAATGAAAACACAGAGAAATATTTAAATTCAATAAAGGTTCAGCAAATGCTCATAAAAATATAAATGAAGTTATTAATAACCTTTCATTTACAAAAAGATGTTAAATACCAAATTAATAAAAGTTTGTTCACAAATCTGGTATAAAATAGATCTGTCTAGGTAAATAAATCCAAAAGATTTTAAATTACACAAAACTTATAATTTGAATAAAATAGTATATTTCATAAGCTATAAGTGAGTCATTATACGGTGACAAAATATTCCTGATACAGCCATCACTATAATCATAAAATAAAATATATTTCTAGAAGTCATTTAGTAGAATTTTTACAAGTTTTTTATTATTTTAAGCCACAGATCTAACTAACAATTTACTTTCAGTTATAAAAAAAAAACTACACTCAACTTATAACAATCAGGATTCAACAAAATGAATACATATTGAAAGAATTAACAAGTAAAAATTTTATTTGAATTAATATCTTTAATTCAATTTATTCTTCATACAGGAGAGTGAGACATTATTATTTTTAAATTTGATTATAATAATGAGTAAATAATAAACATTTAGTGAAGGCTTTGCAAATATGCTTGGATATAAATGGTATTAAATCTTAATAAAATCAGTTCAATACATTAGAGACAGTTCTAAGCCGATTGTAACATTTTTTTTTTTAAAGGTTACAATTGAAATGGAAAAGTTAGTAATTGAATTGATAACAATTAACTTTGAAAAGGATTGAATTGACTTGGAAATGTTACATTGACAATTTTTATCTTGACCATTTCAATTGGCACCTTTTAACAGTTGCAATTACAATTGGGAAGGTTACATTTGAATGGAAAAGGTTATGATTGATTTGAGAAAATGATATAAAACAATTAAAATGTAAAAGGTTACAATTGTCTTGATAATGCTATATTACAATAATATAAATTATATATAACAAATAAATAAACAATTGTGGAGGAACATGCTAACAAAAGTTGACATTTGACAGGTTTTCAATGTTTTAGTTTATTCCAGCTTCACTTCTGTAATAAATATTTTTCTTCATACATGGGAAAGATTGTTTAATTTCAAGAACATTAAACACCTCCAAATGGTTGAACAAATAGTTATTACTATCACTTTGCAAACATAAGAAGAGATCTCATGGCAACTTATGATGACTTCTTAATTGAGATAACTCCTGATTTGTGATCAATGAATTTAAGTAGCCAAGTTTTAAAATATTTGTAATATGCTCCAATAAAAAAATAATTAATCAATCCACATTCTTAAATAAACATAATCGCATAAATCAAACCAGTAATATAAATAAAATTAAATTAAAAAAAAAAAGATTTGAGAAAATACTTTTTATTTTTGTTACTAAAAATATTTGAACTGATGAGCAAGGTATTTCTATTTCATCCTCTTCCATTTAATGTAGAATTGACAAAGAAATATTTTGAATAAATTTCTGAGGGATGTTTCTTTTTTCTTTAAGTGATCAAGATAAAATTGTTTCTTATGAATCTTGTTAACAGATTGTTCAAGACGTTTAATCTGGTACAGACTTGAATTACACAAGGCCACTTAAAATATTGGGTTGAACAGTTTTCCAGTAATCGAGGAAGCGTAGCTCCAATTTTTTTATGGTTGGCCAGGACAATAAGAATTAAACTTATGAAGAATTTCTTATCACTGACCAATGTAAACATCAATTTTTTAAAAATTATTTTCAATGATACATAAAACAAATATAAAGAATTTTTTTTTCTAGATGAAATTATCTTTTAATTTACTAAAATTTTAATCAGATCTTAGTAGATAAATAAAGAAAAATATAATAAAACATGGCTTTATTGTTGGCGTGTTTTATTTTAATAGCTGTCAAATGAAAATTTCTAGAAATTTAAAAGGAGTATTGCTTGAGTAGAAAATCATTCTGTAGTAATTAAAAAATAATACATAGATAATATATATTAAAAAAAAATTTTTCATAAGCAGTGTTGAGCGAGATTCACTGTAATGCTCTTATAATATCAAACAATTTATGAATTAATTGTAATATGAATGTATTATCAGATATTTTAGTGGAGCAATAAATAACTCATCCCCACTAAATCTAATGGAAGGGAGAAATTAGTGAGCAAATAACGAGACAACTGATTCTTAAATTTATGTTTTTCTTGAGAGAAATTATGATCAGCATTGTTCTCTATCAGATCGGTAATCAAACGAATAACAGCTATTGAGAGCGTCAATCAAACAATTATGGATTTTCTTCTGAGAAACATAACAATGTTCAGTTAGGATTTTATCTTAGTCAGTGCTTAACCCACTAGGACAATTTTAAACTGGGGGAATATTTTTTTCTTTAAATTGCGAAATCAAACTATTTACTTCTACTACAACAGAATTTGTAGTTAACAGCGTAAAAAAAAAAAAAAAAAAAATGATTCAGGAGTTATTTCTATTACTAGAATTATTGATGATAATCTGTTTAAATTGATAACGTCCCGTTTGTTTTATTTCCAGACTTCCTTCAGTTGGTTAGAGTGTTTATTTGATTAAAAATCCTTATTTATTCCGATAGGGACAAGAAGGGTGGAATTCATACCTCAAAGATCCATTTTTTTTTTTTTTTTAATAATAATAATACTTTATTTCTGTGTGATATGTACTTTCCAAAGCTTTATTACATTCAAAAGTATTACTATATCTGTATATGTAACCTCTCTGAGAACACACAATCAAATCTTACCTCTATTTCCTTCAAATTCCAACATCTCAGTAATAAATAACATATTATCTCTAAAACATAATTAAAAACTAACTTTTATCATTAGAACTTTTTTCTTCTTTTGTATTTGAACTTTACATATAAGAAAGTGACCTTTAATGAAATTTAGTTATGAAATAAAGATATATATCATTTTGACAAAACAACATCAGGTAAATGCTGAATCTTAATAATACTGCAAAAAGTTTACTGTTTTTTAAATTAATCTTCAATATATTACAAAAATAATAATTGAATTAAAAGTGTTAATCGATGTTTTAAAAATCAATTCATTAAATCTGTAAATACTTAGATAAAATTACAAATGTAGAACTGAGAAACGTTAACAATTTAAATTATACTAAAGATTTCAATGAATAACTTACAAGCGATTAAGCACAGATTTATAAATTGAGTTCATTTTTCAAAGAATTAGATACTTAAAAACAATGGAAATATAAAGTGCAACAATAATAAACTCAAAAAGTACATTTAACTGGTGATTTTGAAATAATCAAATCATAGATATATTTGTTATACTAATATTTCCGTTTTATTAAATACCATGATTCTTTCTTTCAGAATGATGGATCAAAAAAATTTATTAAAAATAAATAAATCTCAATTACAATACTTCATGAAACGCCCACGATCAGTATGTTTTGATAAATTATTATTCATACAAAGTACATAACACAAAAATTATAATGAATAAGTTCAATTCAACAGTAAAATATGAAATTAACAAGAAAAATAACAATAGATATTTTCCTTTTAATTGCTTAAATAATTGAGATTTATTGAAATAAATAAAAAAGAAACTATTTCTTCAAATTTGGAAAACTGATATAACCAGGCTAGGAACAAAAAAAAAAAAAAAAATTAACTGAAGTACAAAGATATTTTTATTTTATCAGGTCAGGTAGTGATTTATGTCATGATCCAACAATTATCACAGAGGCAGCATTGAATATCTTAATGTATAAGAGATTCGTGTCAAGAGCGATGTAATATTTTAATTCATTTCATTTTTATATTAATAAGAAATATGAATTATAGAATCAACAATCCACAATTTATCAGTAAAATATTTTCAAAACAGTGAACTTTCATCATAGTCTAGTAATATTTCAAGATTCAAAAATAAATACATAGAGATAAATACACAATTTTAGCCACATAAATTATTATAAGGCTTTGAAGGACAGAATATAATAATAATAATAATAATTAAAAAAATATTTAAGGAACAAGGACCATTAGAAGGTCCTTTAAATTTTTTATTAATTATTTTATCACAGGTACACTAGCATAACAATATAACAAAACAAAACAAATTAAAAACAAGAGAAAGGGCTTATAATACATTATTAACAAAACTCATTACTGAGCCAATAAAAGTATTCATGTCCAATAGAAAGATAAATAATAGCTAAAAAAAAAACATCTTTGGTACTGATGAGCAGTCTCATAAATAAAATAATTCCAAAAGCTTTCATGATTCAGCTATTCCTATGCAACAAATACAAATTCTTCTTTTAGCTCTATTTCTTTTAGTAAACAATACACCTAAAATGGAAACATCACTCATATAAATTACAATACCAACTTGAGGTAACAGACAGAATAATTAAATTACTTCAAAAAGAGAGGAAAAACGGAAAAAAAATTATAGACCAATCACATTCAAAAGCAACAGACAATAACAGAATAGATACAACTGTCATCATCGATTCTTCTATTGCTGCAATATAAAATATCATCAGTCTCCGTTACAATTTAACAAAAAATACTTATACCTCTGAAGAAGCCAGCCGTTTAGAATGGGTGACATTATAGTTTTTTGAATAAGAAGGGAAAAAAAAAACAAATAAATAAAAAACTGAAGATATAACAGCATTGAAATAATACATTAGTGTGGTATTTTTTGAAAATTGATTTGCCAAAAAGTTTAAAATATTTATCAAGCATATTATATTAAAAAGTAGACAAGACATAAAAAAAAAAAAAAAAATTATTTTTTTTTCCTCTATGTCTAAAAGCAGAATTAAACTCATATGAAATTGATGAAAATATAAACATTAAAAAATTGTTTAAAGTATACTGACCACGGGTGGGTGTTGTGGGTTCAACAGCCTTCGGAGCTAGTACCTGCTTCACCGTCTTATTGCCCTCAGGTTGCTGCTGAGGTTGAATGATAGCGTACTGCTCAGGGCTGTTCTCTTCGGAATGAAGCCTCACTTTATTACTCTTTCCAGAGGTAGAAATTATCTCCGATTTAGTACCAATTTTACGTATTATCACAGTTGGCATGGCTGGTTTTTTCTTAACTGTCAGCACTTCCTGTTCCACCTGAGGTTGTGATGTTGATTGTGGCTGAAATAAAATTATTTACAAATGATAGTTGAGGTTCAATTATGTTACTCTAGAATAGATATATGCAAACATTAACACTTTAATGACTGCACGTCTACTCAGGCAAATGTAGTCAGTCAGGGACTGGTAATATTTCTGAAGAATTAATTTAAACAAATTTTATCAATAACTCTTAATAACCAATGACTCTCGGTGGTAGCATCACACATATGTTGTTTGAATGGAAGCCAACGGTTGGCTCGGCCACTACACATGTATGAGCAGCCGCTAAAGTGTTAATATTGATAGTTGGTTTCAAGGTATTTTTTCAGTAGATAAAAGTTCCCAAATTGTGATATTATAAGAATATAAAATTAATCAAGAATGCTTATATACATTACTAAAATAAGAAAGACGCTAACAAAAGAAATATCAGTAATTGTTATAGTTGAAGAGAAATTCGTTGGGTGTTCAGTCAAATACAATGTAAAAATAAATAAATTATATTTATACGAGATTTTAACTAGTAATACATATTCATTTATTATAGGCACTTCAAGTCCTGCAAAAATTTGGGACTCTTTTATTACAAATCTGCAATACCCTTCAGTGCTTCATTAAATGTAAAGAAATATAATTAAATATAGTATAATAAGGCCCTAACCATGATTTTAAGATAAAAATTTGAAATTTTTTAAAATATTAATTATAATGCCAAGATTCATTTGGAATCTCATTCCATCGGAATGTGAACACTTTTACGTTATCCAATCTCAGATTTCATTCTAGCATCCTTTTGGAATGATTATGGTACAGATTAAAGTTTCTACGTGTGTAGCTATTTTTAGTTTAAATTAGTAAAATTGTGCATATAATAAAAAAAAAATAATTAGAAAACAGAAATGGATTTTTATTTATTAATATTTTTCTGAAACTTGGGGAAAGGGAATATTTGAGGAACATTAAGAAAAATGTATGAATTTTTCAAATATATGAACCAAAAAGTTGTTTTATTAAAAAATAAAATTAAAACAAAAAAATCTATAATATAAAATTTAGAATGAATTAAAAAACCAAACAGTAAAAACTTTATATAAATTAATTCAAAAATAGGAATTTAAAAACAGCAATTTTTACTTTATCAGTTGATAGTTGAGTCAGACATTCCTTAATCAACATGCCACTTTTGGAAAGATTTGTTGACATGGAACCGAAGTGGCCATTATACTCAACATTTATTTGGCAATAATGAGTTCTCCAGACCAAACCACCACTTAATAACATCCTCGTTGTCGTATAAAATATCCTTTTCTAGGAACATGTTCGATTCAGGTGTCCCATCATTTCAAGAATGTTGCTCTCAAGCTATCATGAAAGTTCCTAAAACCTCCAGTACGGTTTTTTTTTTTCTCTTTTCTTGATTTCTCTGTGCTCCTCTCTGTTTATCTTCATTTTCCTCTGCCTCAATGATATTTCAGTCGTTTTAAATAGTTTTAGTATTATGCATATTTACTTTATTATTTTCTATTGTAGTTCATGTGTTGTTCATGTAACAAAGATGGAACGGAACGAGAACTGAAACGAATTCCAGTGGTGGAATATTCCGTTCCATTCCGACCTGTAATCAGAATTGCCATCCCTAATGAAGGGTTTTATGACTTTTTTTAACCCTCATTTTGATCAAATGAGATTAGGTTGTATAATTTATTATATTTTGCATGACAATGCAGCATCTAATCTATTCTTGGTGATCATCCTTTCTTTTTTCCAACCATTCCTCACCTTTTCCGTTATATGGGGGTTTCCCTGAACCAGGAGAAAGGGTGGGGATTAATGGCAGAGTTAAAACCCCACCTGGCACTGGGACGTGATCTCATAATTATTTTATCTTATAAATTTCGGTTAATGAGGTTGCCTGGGCAACGGGTAGTGCTATGCATACGTGTTAGCCTGCTTGGCCAACCTTAGCTTTCTTTAAGTAGAGATGTAAACAGTTTTCTGTTCATTTAATTGCAGCCTTAGTTCTTTAGATGTGGTTTTAAATTTTACAAGAACCTCTCCTAACACTTTTTCAATTCTTGACATTAATAAAGCATTTAATCCCTGTTAGAGAACATCAATGAGAATAAAACCTACATTATATTAAAAACTGCTTAATACTAATAATACATTTGAGTTTAATCAAAATAGTTAAAGAGCCGTTTTTAAGAAAATCGTATAAATGTGTTAAATCGATTATATAAAATGGCACTTCCGGTAAGCCGATTTTGACGAAAAAATTGCTGTAACATCTAAGGTGCATCCAAATCTTAAATATGCAATTTCACTTTCATATGACTTTTCATTTTTGAGCCAGACTGTTCATATACATACACCTAGAGACCTCAAAACGTATATTCCCGATGAAAACTTAGATTCAAATTCTTTTACTATCGCAATACTGACCATTCTTGTATATTACATAAATAGGTAAATGAAAGTAATAATTAAAGTAAATAGGTAAATAAAGTAATAAAATATAAAACTAGTTCCTTCCCATTGTGCTTCTATAATAAATAATAAATGCTGTAATGAGTGATCACAACATCTAACAATTTAAAAAATTAGGTTCCATCATTTAATTCAAGGTGTCTAAAAACTTTTTGGCATTTGGACCACGTAAAGACCCTGACCAAGTCTCATAAGCCACAGATTTTGATGAAAAATCTTGTTTAGTAAATGACACATCACTTGTGAAATAAGCTTTTTCATGTTTTTAGAGTAATTTTTTTTATTTTACCTTATATTCTAAGTAACTTTAGCATGCTGGATTGGAAGACTCATGGGCCAGATCCAGGTTGTTAGGAGACCCAGGATTTAAATAATTAAACGCATCCATTTAAGTGAAAATGCCTCAACAGTTGGTAATATGGTGTAATACAATATAGTAACCTTCACGGGTCAGTATAACTGGTAAAACCTAATTTTATTCTTCAAGAAAAAATGCAACTTCATATTTAAATGAGTCTAACTAAATAAAAATAAATTTTATTTATTTAATTTTATAATAAAATTAAATAAATATATCAGGAAAACATCCTCAGAATAAATAAATTAACAGGAAATAGTTAAAGATAAAAAATATTTTTTATTTAAAAAAAAAAACCTGTACCACTAAAATCCGTGAAGGGTCTTACGTTCAGCACTATGTACCATTTCCATCCTAAAACGTCTTAATTATTCCCGTCACCTATTTCCTTTTGAAACCTGTCACTTCCTTAATTTTTTCCCACTTTGACTATTGCTGTACGGTATATGGGAGCCTCTCTGGGGATCTCGAGGCGAAACTAAAACATTTGATAAATTGCTTTGTACGATTCATCTTCGGGATCCCAAGGGAAGCCTCTGTTTCCCATTTTTACGTGGAGTTAAAGTGGCTTTATCCTTCCTACCGTCGTATTTCCTGGCATCCTTCCTCTTTCAAGTCATCCAATCCCACCGTCCCTCATACATTTCCGAGCTCCTTCAATTCAAATTCTCTGTTTGTTCCCGCAATACTCGTTCCCGCTCTTCTGATTTATACATAAGGGCCCACCGAACCGCTGCTTTCGATAAATCGTTCATTATCCGATCCTCATCTCTATGGAACTCCATCCCTTCCCATATCCGTCAATCTAATACCCTTCCTACCTTTAAATCCCGCCTGTTCAATCATTTCTTATCCATCCAGTCCCCATAAAATCGTAAATAGATACTACTGAAAATATGTACATAAATTATTAGTTCGTTCTTCATTATTTGTACTCCAATTTTTGTTTATCTATTTTTTTATTTCTTTTATTATCAACTGATCAAAATTGGAAAACAACTTATATGTATATGTATATATATATATATATATATATATATATATTATTTTTTTTAACCAAGACTGTTCAATTAATCTGTATTTTTATTTATGTATCTCTGAGGCTCCTTAGCCCTCATTTCTGTCTTCCTGTATTATTCTAAAAGGACTCGTCCCAGAATAAATAAAGTATTATTATTATTATTATGTAAGGGAGTACTGTTTCTTAAAGTAATCTGACTGAGATTACACTTAACCACTAGGTTTTTCCTATTTATTAAGAGTACCGACTTTATAGAGGCTGGATGTGGCCTAGGAGGATCTCCCAACCCCAGAGTCAATCGACAACCAATGAAACAAAATAAATAATTAACTACCTTCAACCAGATTTGAAACTGGGGTCTTGAGCTTTGGAAGTCAGTGCCTTACCCAATGAGTTACTCTATTCCTATTTTCCATTGTATAATAATGAACATCATGTACCACTTTAGCCTTTAACGATTATGGGTACAGTGCTCGGTAAAGAATGGTTGGTTTCTTAGTAGATAGTAATATAAGGAGGTGGATGTGTTCCGATTTCACATCAATCACTAGCAATATCCTCATGCACCAATAATGAAGGGTACCGATGTTAAACGAGCTGAGGTGGATTTAGGAGGTTTTCCAATCCACTGCTGCTTTAACAGAATAAATAAATTATCTGCCGCAGCCAACCAGAAGCTTGGAACTCTGCCATAAAAATATCCAAAATAATATAATGAAAAATACCTTAGCAGGAGATGCTAGTATAGGTGATTGAGTGGGTTGGGACTGAGGTGGTGTCAATTCCATTGCTTGAAGCGCAGCGCTGACTTCATCGCCGCTGGCGATATTACTCCTCCTACCTCTACCTCCTCTACCACCTCTGCCTCCTCGACCGCCTCTCGTTATAGGTACCTATAATTAATAACTAGCTTCAAAAGAATGAAACTTAAAATAAAATTAGTCTACAGCTGTAGAAAATTCTAAAAAATTACATTTACCAATATCATAAAAAAATAGTTTTTTTTTTTAAATTCAAAAGGTGTAAATTTCATTTGTTAAATAAGTTTGAAATAATAAACAAATCATTAAAAAGGTTTTAAGAAATGAATTAAATTATAAATAATATTTCTACCAGCCTGATAATAAACAATTGAATAATATAGGGGATATAACTTAATCCTACTAAACCAAGCACTCTATTTCGGAAATCTGACCTCAAATTTTAATTCAACAGCCCTAGTGAGTAGTAGTGAGTTTGAGATAAACAGGATTGGTTTAAATTTTACCCAATAATGATATATTCCATAATTTAGGTCTATATAAATGCTTACAAATTTATTTAAAATACAAAGAGAAGAATTATAATTGATATAAAATAACAGTAAACAATTTTATAGAATAATAAATAAAGATCATAACATTTATATATAGATACCTTTCTTTGAATAACAATCGGTGTAGAGGTTATTAAGGTTGGAGTTCCTCCAGTATCTTGTGCAATACCTAAATAAAGAAGTAATAATTAAAAACTTGCGTCTTCAGCTTTAATACAAAATAAATACGAGAAACAAATTAAAGAAAACTATTTATAATTAATAAAAATAATTTATGTGTTAATAATGGTGATACAACGTCTGTTATGCTTACAAAAATGCAAATATTAACAATAACAAGGATAGTAATATTCCCCAGATATTACACCTAATATTTTTTCTTTTTTATCCATAATTTCGCTATGCATCAAATTGCATTTCTTATTATATTTGATCAAATGAATTATTGAAGGAAGTAAGTCGACTGTTCTACATATCATAGATGAAAAATGATCAAGACGTAGTCATTTAAAGATTTTTATTGTTGCTGACATTTCAACCTAAACATGTGTGTCATAACATGCCCTGATGATGGCACATGTTTGAGTTGAAACATCAGCAACAATACAAATATTAAAATGACTGCATCCTGACTATTTTTCACCCATATATTTGATTGAATGACTAATATGAATACAATATCTAAATGATTCTGTAGGATGACTAAAAATAAATTTTCCTTGATTTAATCGTAGCATTACCAGCCCTTCTTTAAGCAAATTATTTTTATGAATTCGAAGACTGAATTTGTAATTTTTTTTTTTAGCCATGGTAGAAAATGTTTTAGTAATGAAAATCGACTAAGAGGCTTAAACTTAAGACTACAATTTCCAAGGCTATAAATATACCCTAAATGTAATTACGATAAAAGCCTTGTCTTACTGATAGGTGTAGATGTATGGAGGGCCTGATGTAGGGTTTGCTGCTTCAGCTGCGTTGGTGTTTGAGGAAGTTTAGTTAGTATAGTTCTCCTATGTATTACCTTAGGAGTCTGTTCTTCCTCACCTGATAAAACAATAATAGTATAATAAAAATTCTAACAGAAAAATAGAATAGGGTAACGCTTCGATAAATTAAAAAAAAATTAACTCTAATACTCACTGTTAATGGTTTGTGCGATAACACGAGGATGGGATGGCGAAGCAACAACAAAGGTTTTTTGCGGCGACGCTTGGATCACCTTCACTGGACTCTGGGTAACAGGGCTTGAAGGAACCACCTAATAATTTATACATAAATAAATATTATACAAAGAAAAAATAGAAGTGTTTAATAAATATTTAGGACTACTAAAACATTAGTCTAAACAAAAACCTGATATTTCTAACTAATGAATTGCTTTGAAAAGTTCAGTACTGGTATCAAACATAAACATGCTTTGACATTACGTTCTCTTTTCCATAGTACCTGCTTATTTATAGATAGAATCTTAAAAATACAGCTACTTTCTTTACAATCTCACAAACCATTTGAAAGACTAGTTCACAGCTAAACACCTCCCCACAGCAAAAAGCTCTCCTTAATCCCCTCGAATCCCACTCAATCTGCCTTGCTAAAAGTCGGCCAAGATCTTCAATTCTCTGCAGACAAACAGAAAATATGTGTCCTTGTTCTTGATTTTTCAAAAGCTTTTGATTCAGTTAATCATGAAGTTCTCCTTTCCAAACTCCAAAATCTCTCCTTCTTGAATAATGTTTTAATATGGGTTCATTCTCATCACTTACGGGATCATTGTCTCATACATCCCAAACATTCGTCATTCCAGATAAAGCTCCTTCCTCATCCCTCTTATTAACTCTTGGTGTTCAGGGATTTTCCCTTTTACCAACCCTTTTCTTCATGTATATCAATGACCTGCAGATCTACGAAACCTTCCATCCATCAGAGATGATTGAACCGACCCAAGGGATTTAAGAAGATATAAACAATATCAATGGATGGGTAGCTAAAAAAGACTTGAGACTGATAATTGAATAGAATAAAGTCATTCTCATTGGGTCTAAGCATCTTCTTATTCCCTAATCTACCATAATGGCCAACCTATTTGCACACTTCCCTTAGAAACTCCTAGATAATATTTGATCAACACCTGTCCTGGAATTACCATGTTTCCCAATTGATCATAAATTCTATCGCTACTCTTAAACAGTTTCAGAGATTCCACAATTCTATTCCTCTTAAAATCTGTCAGCTTTTCGTTCCCTTTCTTATTTTTCCCAACTACGATTATAGTTGCCTTGTCAACGGTGAAATTGAGGTTAGATTGAAAAAGCTAATGAATTGTTTCATTAGTTCACCGGGGAACCTTATCATGGACTTCATTTAAAAACCAATTGTTCCTCTATCTCTTCAGTCACCAATCTCCCAGATATTTATAAGAAATAAATATGTTACCAATCTTATTCAAATGTCACACGGTCATCTATTTACCTATAAACTCATGTTAAATGTATATTTAGGGTAGAACTTAATTTTTATTCTTTTGTTAGGCAATCACAACTTATAAGCTAATTATTATTTGACAGCCATTAAATGTGTTGGTGAAAAATTATATAAGCCATAAAAGAGCTCTAACTCTGGTATTAATCCTTAACCTTTCATCTGAACTAGGAAAAACCCTGTATAGCCGAAAAGGTGAGGAAGGGGAGGACAAAAAAAAGTTCTATAATTTCTTAAATAATTGCCTGGCAACCAGATAACCGAAGTTATGAGATTAAAAAAAGTACGAGTTTGCGTCCCAGTACCAGAGGAAATTTTGAATCTCCCCCCTCACCCTAAGGCCCGGGAAAATCCCGTATAGCCTGAAAGGGGAGGTAGGGAAGAAACAGAAAAAAAAATCCATAATTTCAATAAAATCTTTAATAGTTTTCACTGATAGACGTCTAGAATAAGCAAAATTATTATAGCAAATAATCCTTATTTATTAGTTTTTTAGCTTATTTATTTGTTTGTAATTATTCGAATTATCAATGGAGAGTTCAAATTAATTTGTTTGATTGTTGAATTACGTTTTGAGCTATAAATTTACATTTTAATATTTTATTTCCAGAAACAAATTGGAAAAAAACTCTTAATAGAAATGAATTGATAATCATGATGTCTATAGAGTGGAGAATAAAAAAAGGCGGAACTTTAAAGTAAAACCTAGAACAGAATGAACAATTTGTCAGAGGATTCAAAGATATGCAAGTCGTGAGGGTAGATTATAAAATTTAAAAAAAAAATACACAAAAATAAAAATAAAAATGTATGAGTACCTACTTTTTACAATTTAATTATTTTCATTTTATTTAGTAACTTTTTACCTTATTATTGTTTTTTTTTGGCAATAAATTTTCTGAATTTGTAACGAGTTAGACAAAAATTTCTGACATCAGAATGAGATTTCTAATTTTTCTGGTTTTCCCTGACTGTAAGACACTGAATATATACACGTAAATGTAAAGCTCATAACTCTAGACACATAGTCTATTAACATTATATATATATATATATATATATATATATATATATATATATATATATATATACGATTGTAATTAGGTGTTTCTATGGCCTGCCAACAAATGTCTAAGTGGGTAGTCCTTATATCTAAGTATTGTACAGTCTTTCCCCGTTAACTGCTCATACAGAGCAAGGTGGATATCAGATCAACAAATACGTCATGCAATGTACTCCTTACAGGACCTGGAGTCAGGCATAAATAAAGATGCCTTATATTTTTTCTTGCAATAATTTTACAAATTAAAACATTAGACAGGAAGAACTTTTACCACTTGGTGGACGACTGCATTGCCTCCTCTGCCACCCCTTGTCATTAAGCCTCGACCCCTTCCACGGCTACGTCCACCCTAAAAAAAAAAAAAGTTAAATATAAATATAGAATAGAAAATTAAACTTTATTCTGGGACTCAGTCCCTTTAGAATAACAATTATGAGTTAATACAAAGTAAAGTACAAATCTGGCCCATATACAATAAAAATATACAAATAAAAATAGAAAAATCTATTGATAATACAGGTAATCATGTATTAACCAACTTAACTGGCCAAAAAAAAACAACTTTTTAACAACAATTTGGGAATCAACGACTTTCAATAACTGATTTATTAGAATTAAATTAATAAATACCCTAGTGAGAGGCCGATGATGAGATGGTGGCTGAGCCTGTGCAGGTTGGTTCTGTACCTGCGCCTGAGGTTGCTGATATGCGGGGATAGCTGAAGTATAACTATGGTCATTATGAACAACAGACGGTGATACCTCATCTTTCCCTTCCAAGATATCTAAAAAGTAACAAATAGCAAATAAATATACACATTGGACGTCGGGCAACACAAAAGTTTTCATCAAAAAAATATTACCTAATACAGAATTTAGGTTATTATCTTCGACTAGATTAGTTCCTAAAATTTCTTTAGCTTGCTCAGACTGAAGGACAGATTCAAGCCTAGCAATGTGCTCGGGCTCCATTTGTGAAAAAGGATCCACCACCTCACTGCTTCCATCGACTCCATCTATAAATTATTGAATAAATATTAAAAATCACATGACAATACATATTTAAATATCATAACATAATTCACAATTTATATATATTTTTAAAAAGGGTGAGTAGCAGAGACATTCAAATGATATTGATCGGCCTAGAAAACAATACTACAGATCAAATTTTAACTTATTTAATCTAAAGGGAACTGCTGGAAGTACCCTTAGACAGTAGGAAAAAATATAGTACTTAAAATTATAACACATCCCTACCAAAAACCTCCATAATAACATATAAATGGAATAATCTGAACTATACTAGCTTCAATTATAGTCAAAATAAACTAACTTTGAGTATCAAACATACTCAGAAAGGAAGAAGAAAAATAATATATTTTTTTAATAGCAACATCTCACCAAGCCATACTCAAGAAAACGGCATGTGTCTCTTTTAGAGCTATAGGTTTATTTATAATAATTCTACGAATGGGTTCTAGGGATTATGAAAAGAATAAAAAATGCACACTCTAACACCTCCGAAGACCTTCAATACAATATGAAAGCCCATTATTTTTTAGGAAAAAAGGATAATAGTAAAAATTGATAAAAACGTGAAAAGTAATAAGGATATTTAACCAGCTGATCTTAAAACATATTCATCTGCATCATGAAAATTTAACATTTGAATATTACAGAAAATAATTGATCCTTGTTCTTTTAATTCTAAAAAAAAAATAAAATTTCAATTTTTACCAAACACAGATAAAGAAATACCGGAATTTTGAGGTTGGGGATGCAAAAAATTACTGAAAGAATATGTGTTATCTTAGAAACATGACCGAATTGTCTAAAAATTTAAGCTGACACCATCATTGTTTGAGAAGAAATAGCAAACTATATAAATATATACATTTTTCTAGGGAATTTTATAAAATGCATCTCATATTACAACACTTTCCTCTTATTAATACTTCAATTACTTTAAACCAAATCATACCAGGCTGAAGTATTTCTGATTCTGTCGGTTCAGGATAGAATCCCTCGACAGTAAGGTTGACGTGAGGCCCTCCTCCATCCCCATCTCCATCTTCTTGAGAGTCTTCAGGTGAGAGATTATCTCCAACTCTCACTACACTTAAATTACCACCATGTTGATTGGCTGAAAACATATTAAAAAAAAAAAATTGTAAACACATTTCAAATACATGATTTGTTAACTGATAAAATTGTAAGCAATTAAATTAACCATCATATTTAATCAAAACATTTTTTTAGACTAAAGAAAAGAATGAAATGATTTGGAAACAGAAAACAATGGCTGCATTAATCTATGATCATTAGATGAGATTGCCACATCAATTTGGTGCAACTCATTTTTTATATAAAATCAATTTTATACCTTTCATTTCAGATTGTGTGATGCTATCTAAGAAATCTAATTTCAGTACGTTCACTAACAACCATATGTCTGTTATTCTAACATAGTCTGTATCATAATTTAATGCACCATTGTTGAAATATTAGCTCAACGGAATGTATAACTCAATTTAAGAAAGACAAGTTATGTCATATTAAATAATAATAAAAAAAAAAAAAAAACCTGTACCACTACAACCCATGAAGGGTCTGGGGTTCAGTGCTATTTAGGGAAAGCACTGTTTCAAGGTCAATGGTTGTGCGAGGAGGTGATTTGACCGAGATCACGCTCAACCGTCAAGTTTTCCCCCTTAATCAATTATTTAATTAAGGGTACCTACTTTGTAGAGGCTGGGTGTGCCCCAGGAGGGTCTCTCTGCCCTGGGTCGCCCCACGGCCAATGAAACAGATAAATAAATTTTCTGCCATGAGCCGGGGTTCGAACCTGGGACCTTTTCATTGGAAGCTCAGTGCCCCACTGACCTTACCACTGATATGGGGAGTGGGGTACCACTGAGCTACCCTACTCCCCATATTAAATAATAATAGTAATAAAAATTATTTTCAGCTCAACACTACGTTCGTACACCACTTTAGTCTTTTTTTTTTTTGTTCTCCCCTTCCTCGCTGTTAAGGCTATTCGGGGTTTTCCCGGGGCAGGGATTTAAAAGATGCCTTGGCACCGGAACGCAAACTCATGACTATTTTTATAACATTTACCATATATCAGGTTGCCAAGCAACGGTGTGCTGTGCCCATTCGGCCACCCCGCCCACTACCACTTTCCAATCTGAATCAATTTTCAATTTATTTAACTAAACTTGATGTTTTATAATGTCAATGTTTGCAATTACATGATTCCTGTCCAATCACCTCCCCACACAATCGCAGGTCTTGAAACAGTCCTTCCTAACAAAGTACTGAATCCATGACCTTTCATGAGTTATAGTGGGAACAGGTTTTTTGTTTGGTTTTTAAACTAAACTTAATTAATTTATTATCTATAATTCTGCAATACATATACACCAATGCCTCTATTTAGATGAATTATTGTCCTCAAAAAATACCACATAAATCAAAATTGCATATATTGAAGGTTTGTTAATAGACTTCATTTTCCAGCCCTCACGTTTTCAATTATATACCTAATTATAAAATATTTTTTAAAAAACCTATAATTTTTTTTTTTTATAACTGTACCACTACAACCCATGAAAGATCTTGGGTTCAATACTTAAGAAGTACTGTTTCAAGGCCAACAGTCGTGCAGGGAGGTGATCGAGCCAAGAATACTTTAAACACTTTCAAGTATTTCTAAATTTTGAACACACTCAGCCAGTCCACATTTCAGAAAGGGAGTGATCGAAGTGATTTTGACACACATAAACAAGACATGATGCCACTTCACACTAGCTAAAGCTCAATTGGAGTTAAATTGAAATAGCACATTTGAAGTAAACAACAAGTCTAAAGGTCATTTATTAAATAAATCAAAACTTCATACCAATTAACTTTTGCAAAGTTTCAGGGTCAACTGTAATAGTTCCATCAGCATTGACAATAATAATTAACTGATCATCTTTATCTTCAGTAGTGTCTATGAATGTACTGGATGACATTTTTCAACCTAGAAACATCAATCATCTATATAAACTGACAATTACATCAAATATTTTGAATACACAACATATAAAGATATAATATTAAAATGTACCTGTGAATGATTAGAATCTTTAAATCATCTCCATAATTGAAAAATGGCTTGAGAACAGAACAACACAGACAGAAGCATTGTAGTTAAGAGTAGGTAACAACACAAGAACTATTTACCAATAGCTCATTTTCAACTTCTAGCTTCTTAATTCCAATAATTACAGGGCAGAACAACTCTGAAATTCAGCTAACAGCATTTCAACATAAAAAAGGAGGGATTTTTGGTTTGGCTTTAGCGGCCATGTTGATAGGAGCATGACCATAACACTAACAACAAAGCAAGCTTTAAATTACTCACCCAAGGTTTAAATTCAAATTCATGATTTTCACACAATTTTCATAGTCACAAAGTAGATAGACATCCTGATAGAGGAAAATCTAGACTCTAAAACGACAAAATTCATTTTCAAAACACTACTATTTCTAGAATGCTATTTTAATTGTATCACGGCCACTGTAATCAGTATGTTATTGATAAATATGCCAAGGTACATTTCACTTATTTTTAACAATATTCGGTATAAAAACTGTATAGCATTGGTAATTTCCTGTGTTATATTTTTTTGCAAAGCCATTGATTAAATAAAACATCTAACTAATTTCTAATATTTTTATTTTTCTCATATCTATTCGTCAGCGATACAGGGACTCAAAACGTTGTACGTGTCGGTTTGTTTTTTCGGACAGGGATGATACATTGTCAAAGACATGGCATCTCTTATTAAATTTAATATTATTTGCACTTTTGGTATGATTTTTTGTTGTTAAATCTAGTATATATGAAACTCATTTGAATCTAATGTTGTTCCAATAACCATTTCTTTACTTATATCTTACCGGCATTTTTAACAAGTTCATACATTAAATGTTAATTTTGTTGTTTTCTTATTATTCAATAGTAGATAGTAGTTTTTTTATTGGGCATATAAATGGTAATCATTTAATTTTAATTCCAGGACTTTTAAGTACTCTGTTGGCCACACTTTGCTTTGGTTTAGAAACACCATATATATCTGTTCAAGACAAGGAGAGATTAAAAAATGTTTTTACTGTTGGCCTGACTACCAAGGATGCAGCTTCTATACATTACTCTGTTTTGGGTTACAAACTGTTGAACCAGAAAATTCCTGACTCAAAGGTTAACAATCAGTTGCCTTATTCTATATTTTCTACTCTTGAGATTTGTGAATACTACTAATTGTTATAGGAGTCTCATGAATTAATATATTGATACTGATAACAATTATTGTTATCTAACTTTAATATACTGTAATTCATTCCCAAATTTTAAGTCATAACATCAGACAAATGAGTTGATCCGACAGCAATCAGTTGTAAATTCAGGAAAACCTAATCAATATCTGTTTATCTTATCACATCTCTTATCAGTTGTGTTAAACATTAATTTTCTTTGTTGTGCCGTCTATGCAATGCGGTATCAATGAATCTGAACCAATTGTTGAAAGGTGTTTGGAAAAACAGTAATTACTTTTCAATTTAGAAAAACCTATTAGGATATCTGTTAATCTTATCGCATCTCTTATCAGTTATGCTATCAATTCATTTTCTTTACACTGTGCAACTTGAATAGAATCTGAACCAATTTCTGAAAGAGGGTGTTTAGGAAAAACCACCTACATTAAAACCAGATAAAGTTGACACATACATGTATACTCTCTTGGAAACCTTGAATTTCTATGTTTAATAAGAATTCTATTTTATGTTTTTATTTTTGTTTGCTTCGAATTGTAGAGGCTTCTCTCAGCTGTTGTAGAAAGATTTCTATTAAATGCTGTTGTCAAAATAACATGTTTCATCTTCATGTCTCACTTGTCATTATTTTTTACTTTTACTTACCTATATATGCAATATATAATAAGGGTAAGTATCGTGGTCGTCAACATTTTCGAGTCTGAGTTTTCAACAAAATTACATGTTTCTAGGTCTGCTGAGTCCAAATAACCAAGTCCCGCAAAATGGTCTATGTGTGTATCTATGTTATCAGTCTAGCTCAAAAACGAGAAGTCATATGAGAGTGAAACTTCAAATTTAAGGTTTTAATAAGCTTTCGATGTTACAGCAACATTTTCAGCAAACAGGAAGTGGTACTTTATATAATCGGTTTTACAATTTTCTCAAAAATGGCTCTAACGATTTTGATTAAATTCAGTATATCAGTCTTTTATTAAGCAGTTTTTAATATAATGTAAGTTTTATTCTCATTGATGTTTTCTATCAGGGCTTAAATGGCTAATTTTCAATATTGGCTTCCTCTATAGTACCTTTATTTTTTTTTATTTGAAATAATTAACCATTGCACATTAATCTTTGACATAAGAAATAGTTAAATATAAAATATGAAGGAATTTGATAATTAACTAAAGAAGAAATCAGTGTAATAAGTAATAGAGGAATCAAAGGAATACGAGCTCGCCCGAAAGATTACAACAGGTTTCCATGCGTAACATGAGCTGTTTATAATACAGACTCCGACAATATTATGTATATATACATATGCGGTTTTCATAAACATTACTGTTGGTATTATTTAATATTTAATGGTATAGATTAAAGTGATATCAATTAAAATCTGGTGGGCGCAACACACAACTTTCACTTGCCGCTCAACTTTGAATAGAAATTATTTTCTTGCCATGTTGGGCTATTATAAAATTTTTTAATTGCATTTTTAACTGAGCTAAAGCTAAAAGATTGCAGCTAACAAATCATAAATACTATTACAATGACAAAAGTCCTACTTATTATACCATTGTTTGATAATGGATAATAATTTTTACTTTTGCTTTCCCTTTGTCTGAAAATATTTCTACTAAGAAGAGGGTGGTAAGTGAAAGTCATGTGATGTGCGCACTCGATTTTTTAAATATTTATGTGGAGTATAATTTAACATGGGAGAAGGAAAATTCGTCTAGGCAGTGCAGGGGGTGTCTTTTGTTAAAAATTTCTTTCTTGCTATCCATCTTTTTTCTTTCCTCCACCTGGTAACCTTTTTTTACCGACATTCGGGTCTATTTAGATACTTGCATTAATGAATTATAGATTATTCGCATCTTATTATGGTAATTTATATTCCAGCATATCGAGTTTATTAACCTTTTTGTTGTTTAGAATACTTCCAACCTACAATGCATCAACGGTAGCTATGAGTTTTAAGTATTTTTTATTTTAATTTAAAGATAAAATCAATTTTTATTTGTTCAATCTCTATTTGCAATTACTCTTGTTGGACCAAACAATTATTATGACAACTTTCAAATTAAACAATTTTTATGTTTCCATTGAAAACAATTATAGTGAAGGTGAGAATTAAATTAAAATAAATAATAGTAATTCTAGTGAGGAAACATTAAATCAATTTGTAAAGATCAACATAATTTGTAAACTTATTGTATTTTTGTTGGCCTCAATAAAAATTGAGGAGATTCTTTCTTCTTACACTAGAAGTAAAAAAAAAAACAAGAGATCCTTTTCATAAGGGGCTTGACTAATACTATTTTTATAGAATCAATTGTTTTTCTAATAGGAATTTCAAGTTTGTTACACAGTAGAAGTTGGTAGGGAACATGGTCAAACACAAAAAGTTTTATTTTCTTGTTTGTTGGCATTTCGACTTAAGTTTTAGACCTTCAGGGCTGAGTAAAAAATATTTCTATGTATTATAGTTTAACATACTTTAATCCCATGGTCAACAATATCTCCACCAAATTTAGCATCTGTTTGTAAAGGATAGCAAAATATAGAATAATATAATAAATAAATGTTTTTATATTGTCAATAAGATGCAAATATATCTCAAAATTGCCCCTCCAGTTGAAGAACCTTATATTACAGTTAATGCTGATAAAATAAATGAATTGCTAAAGCTAAATATAAATATTGTCATTTTTAAAAATTTTCTTTTTCTGTTGGTAATAGTATATTGTTTAATTGTTCTAGGAAATATGCAAGGTGCTTACCGATTCCTTAAGCAAAGAAGGAGCCGATACCTATTTTTATGTATCTTCAACATGGAAAGAAGCAGGTTGCCCTGGCACACTTCCTCCGTCTATTTCTAAGGTAAAGTTCAATGATATTTCGATGATAAATAAATCTTACCATTTATTCATTTATTAACTAGCTGATGTACCCGTCGTTGAAGGGTGCATAGTTAAAATTTGAGAATCTTTTTTTGAGATGGATTTTGAATTATGGGAGGAGGAGGGTCCAAATTCAATTTTATAAAATTGGGTCGGGTGGAGGGAGGGGGTTGTTTTGAAATTTTTTATAGCGGAGCTTATGGAAGTCTAGGCTTCACAATATTCACGGTATTCCGGAATTTTCCCGTTGAGTTGTGATTATTTTTTCTATCAGTTAAGTAGTACAACTTTTAAATGTGGCTCGCAGTAGAGTAGGTTATAATTAGAATCAATGTAACTGCCTAACCGGGATCTCTAAACAAATTACTCAAGAATTCATAACTTTGGTTCTACTCAATATTTTGTTTTCATTTAAAGCCTATATTTTGAGTCAAGCAAACCTAAAACATTGCCGAGCTCACCCCTGACAAAATTTTGTGGGATAATGCGGACATCCAGACAGACAAAAAAATGTTTAAAAGTGGATATGGTGTGTGTAATGTTTAAAATGGAAAGATATGAAACGAGTTGATTCTATTCAATGTACAGACAAAACCTTTATTTTATTTATATAGTATAGATGTTCTTTAAGCTATAAACATATGTTTATTATTAACATATATTATCAACATTAACATTGGTTATACTCAATATTTTGTTTTCATTTAAAGCCTATGTTTTAAGTAAGGCAAACCTTAATATATTGATGATGTATTGATATTGGTAACCATTGATGAGCTTACCTATGACAAAATTTCGTTATAATCTGGACATACAGACAAACAACAATTTTTTTAAAAGTGGGTTTGGTGTTTGCAATGTATGAAACGGAAAGATATCATAAAACAGGTTGATTCTATTGTGCATACAAAATCTCTTTATATAGATATAGGTGACCAAGATTTGGTATCGATTCCTATTAGGTCAATATATATTTTAAGAAATGTGTGTATATGCAAAAAAATAGATTTCTTTGAATTCTAGAGTATGAGTATACAAACCCCCGATATCTTATTTTATATTTTATGAATTGCTTATATATAGCTTGAACACATATAGTTTTTTATGTGATACGTTAAATGTAATTTAATTTTGTTATTATTTTTGTCTCCTTTCAGTACCTTAGTTCATTACTCTTGAAAGATGGTATATCGACAAGTGATATTTACCATGCTGTAGAGGGATTAAGAAGTAATGGTCAAACAATTACTAAAGATCCGAAAATTGAGAAAGCTATTCAGGCGGCCATAAAAAAAGACGATTCTGTATCAAGGTGATCAATTTTTTTTTTATGTTAATTATATTTTATTTTCATATTGCTATAAATTATAATTTTATTTTATCAAGTTGAAAATTTCAAACATTCTTTATAACTCTTTTATGTTAACATTTCTGAGAATATTTTACCCATTGTCAGAACAGGTAACAGAAAATGAAATATTTGATGTTATATTAATTTTTTTTTCTGTTGGCATTACCGATCTTGTAGATCTTTTGCCGCCTTAAACCATCCTTCAACATTTTTGCCTGTCTTGGGCTATTTCTGTCCAGTTATCTGCATACAGTTCTATTACATCTTTAATTATTCAATCTATCCATTTGTTTTGTTTTTTGGGGCTTCCTGATGGATTGCTCTGAGCTACATCCCCTCATTAATTTAAATGTATCATTAAATTATATTAATTTAATGTATCTTCTTTTATTTTGTTTTGGAAACGGATGAAAGTGATTCAATTTTTAGTTTTATGTTCACTTGAGAAAATCTAATCTAGGGAGTGAGGTAGCTCAGTGGTAGGGTACTGAGCTTCCAATGCTAAAGGTCCCAGGTTCAAATCTCGGATCATGGCAGAACAATTATTTATTCTGATTCATTGGCCATGAGGTAGACCCTTCTGGTTCACATCCACCCTCTATAAAGTGGGTATTCTTAATTAAAATGATTAGTTAAGGAGAAACCTTGCGGTTAAGCGTGATCTCGGTCAAATCACCTCCTTGCACAACCGTAGACCAAGAAACAGTGCTTTTCCTAAATAGTACTGAACCCAAGACCCTTCAGGGGTTGTAGTGGTACAGGTATTTTTTTTTTTTAATTGAATTTTATAACCTTTTTCCATCAAAATTATGACTTATAACTTAAATCAAAATGCTAGTTGTGAAAAAAAATGTTTAAACTTTCAAAATCTATTTTTCAATTCAATTCATGTGATAAATTTTAGTTCTCTAACTTCATTTGGAGGGCTGTAAACATATTGATTGTTAAAATCATGTACACAGATAATGGTTTATTTTTGTTTATTATCCGCTTACTAGACTGAAACGATAAGAAATGCTCGATGTTTCCGACTGCTCCAACACTTACTAGACAAACACTCTAAACTTTCAATTAATTACAAAAGACTCATCTACTTAACCATAATAAGACGTATATGGACTTATGGAGTTGAACTTTGGTGCTCTACCAAACCACCGAATTCCTATTGTATCCAATCCTTACAATCCAAAATCCTTAATTCCCCTTACTTTGTCACAAATAATACCATTCATAAAGACCTTAATGTTTCATATGCCGCTGATTTAGCCCGAGCCAGATACCTATCTTTTCATGATAAACTCCACTCCCATCCGAATCCATTTGTTTCCACATGCTTCTTCCTCGATTCCTGATAATCCTCCTAGGCGTCTGAAAAGAAGATGGCTTCATAATCTTCTTACCTAGAATATAATAGGGAGTGCTACCACTGGGTAGTATCTCTTCAAGTCTGTTCATGTCATTATTTCTAATGTGTGCATTTTTACTGGTTTTATTTTTTATACAGTTGCAAATTTCATTAAATAAATAATAATAAAAAAAAAACAATTTTTTTTTTTATTACGTTCTCTATTTACTGTTATCAGCTTAGGTTATGCTCTGCATGCAGCATCTCTCCCAGTGACTGATGGAGTGTTCTTGTTTGACCGAATAGAAGATATTATTTTTCAAGCTGATGAGGTGGATGGCAAGTACCTTCAGTTTGAAGGAGGCTTAAGCATCACAGGTATAGTAACTAGTATAATTTTGTCTGGTTATAAGTTATTGCAAATATGTTTCTCATATTAAAATTAAGTAAATCTCATTGTGTTAACCGTTCTTTATAGTATAAAACTGTACCATTAGGAGTGTGTATGGTATTAAGTTATAGATAAAAAATTATTGTTTCATTAAGAATTGATATACTTCAGGCCACAGTTTAAGAAATCTCGAAATTTATAAAATTCAAAATTTCAGAATCACATTTGTGATCACTTTATTGTCTTGCAAATCCCCACATATATTATTACAGTAAGGCTCGAAATCCATTTTGTACCAAATATAACCTCCTGTCATCCTCAAATACCATGAATGGGGTACCGTTGGATTCAGAATTCCACGGAGGGTTAGCGAATCGTATTCTCCACTTTTGTTTTTCTTTCTAAAATGAATAAAGTCAATACAAACATTTTGCTAGGCTTCAATACTAGAACGGTGGTAGGTCTGTAGATCAATATGGGACAAATCGGATCTTGAAGATTTTGATGCGTACAGCAAGACCCGAATAGTTCCTCCGGAACTATTGGATCCTGCCTTTTTTAAGCCCAAAAACGTACTATTTTCGAGATAACAGAAGCATAGGGTTCTAATTCACACAACCTTACGTTAATTGTAGTACTGTCATTGAATGAATCTCTCATTTCGTCGACTTTGAGGTCTCTATGATTGAGAGAGGAGGAGTTTATATTATTTATCGATGTTGTTTTTGATCGGCTAGCCATATCATCTTTAATTCTTCAATAAATCTCAAGATTGAGCCACCACTTCCTTCTCCTTCAAGCGGGCAAAATAGTCCAATCTTCCCGAAAATTCAGGCAAACAAGTTATGAAAGAAAACAAACTTTATTTGCGAATAACTAAAAAATTACCCACTTTTCCCTTCCAATGGTTTATATGAAATGAATTCCCTCCCATGATCATATGAAAGATTACTTAATTCCCTACAAAAGGAAATCACATTCGACAAAAAATTGTCGAAATCGGACAATTGTTAGCAAAGATACAGCATATTAAAATTTGTAAACATGTTGGTTCCAAACAAAAATGAAGATTTAAATTAACTTTTGTTTCCTTTGTCGATTATATTTATCGATTAAGTAACAATTGATTTCTTTATATTTTGATACTTTGCATTATTTTATTTTCTTATTAATTTTTTTGGCATTTGATAACAATATGCTGTGCGAATTTTTCGCATGGTCCTACTAGTATAAAACTATTCTCCTATCCGCCATAATAAGAAATAAATAATTATATCACTCAGAATTTTCATATAAACTTGCTTAGTCTACCTGTGTTTTAATGTTGCGAATGTTCTTAATATTTTTTCTGATATATATGATTTTTTTTGTTAGGTTTAGTAATAAGTGGAATCTACAAACTATCAGCCAAAGTAAATAAAACCCCTGCAATTAGTGCGGAACAGGCAACAAAGTTTTCTAATTATTTCGTAACTCGTAAGTCTGTTCAAACTCCAAAGGGGGCTTGGTCCTTATTAAATGTCCTTCAAACTCTTACTACTAACAAGGTAAAAAAAAAAGAAATGCCATAGTTTCTGTGTATAAAATTTTGTTGGAAATATTTCCGTTTAATCATTTGAGTTCATTATAGTTCCACAGGCCTATTGTTGTGAGTGTACGAAACATTGATTCAGTCAAAGGAGTTATGTCTATTGATGTTACTGATCTTTTGGGGAAAGCGCCTACAGGTAGTCCGTTTCCTGTTACTCTTGATTCTTTGTCAAGAATATCTGATAACACTGTTGTTGCTTCAAAGATTAAATTTGAACCACTCACAGAAAAGTATGTAATCAAATATAACTTTTATTATGATATTGGATATTTGAAATCTTGTTTTTATGTCTCATTTAAAATTTTGTTTATTTTAATTTAGGACTTCTTATCAGATAAAATTTCCATCTGGTACAAGCTCAGGAGTGTACAAAGCTGTAATTAGCGTAACGCCTACAGATCAGGCTATAATTGGTGGAGCTAATAACGCTATCGAAATCAGGATAACTGGGCAATTGGCTGTTACTGACCCACTTCTTATCGCGGCTGTTGATTCTGATCACTTTTTGCAACCTAAGTATAACAAGTAAGTTGACTATACAGATTTCTACAAAGTAAATCAACATTTATTCCAAGGTCAATAAAACTACCAGGTTCGCTCATTTAGAAATGCGTGGTGGAGAAACTTGAAACGTGACGTAAGGAATAGACTGTGAGACCTACCTATTACTCTTTCAAGCCTATCAATGAAGGCTTATTTCAACATTATTGTGCTTTTTTTTTTTTTTTAATTTATTGAGAATAATACTTTTCTGTGTTTTTGACGTTTGATTGAAGTTAATTTCAAGTAGATAAATAAATAAATACAGCTATCAATATAGAATAAAATGCTATGAAAATTACAGACCAGAACTGAAACGAAAAGAACGAAATTGATATTAAAATTATTTATAAATTCTTTATTTCAAAATCTCTGTAAATAATATATAAATATATTACATAAATAGAAAAAGTAAGATTTATATTTCTTTTGAGACCAATGTTTGTGTAATTTTGTTTGTAGATCTCGTGGGCATTTCTTTCAATATTATAAGGATGAAGATCTTTGTCAGGATTTGCAGTCAAAATTTCTTTAAATAAATAAATTTAATTAAAAAAATAAACAAATTTTACTGCAAATCCTGATAATTTATTTTCACCTTATAATCTTAACGGTCAACTACTTATTCGTCTCTAAAATAATATTATAACAAGTATTTTTTTTTTTTTATAATATGTTACAGAGAATTTGTTAGTTCGGAAACAAAATGTAGAAATTAATGAAGAAAGCCTTTCTTTCAGCAACTGGTATTTAACAGAATCAAATTTTTAAATACCCAATGATTTTTACAACAATTAAGAAAACATAAAATCAAAGCCAAAAAACTTGAGAAAAATCACTACATAGGATTACTTATGACATAAAAATGTAATATTTACAAAAAATCACGGAAAGAAAACGCTTCTGTAATGTTAGATTAAATACTTTTTCTTTCTTTTTTCAATATTTCTATTATTTTATATTATGCTGTGTATTTATTTGGAATATTTAAAAAGTAGTATTGTGGTAATTTGCAAAAAAAATCATACATCAACTTGTTAAATTACATTTTATTTGCTTCAGAATAAACCAAATATGAAATCAACCTTAGTCTCACCTTTCAAATTTATTAAAATTAATAAATGAATAAGTTATTTGGCAATACAGTATTGATTTAATGTAGAAAAGTAAATATTAATCTTAAAATGTCCAGAAACAAAGGCCGTAGGGGTAAAATCAGTCTTTTGGCTAGGTCAGAGCTCAATTCCTCCCCACCATTTTCCCTCTGAGTGAGCGAACCTGGTAGTTTTAATGGCCTTGATTTATTCTGTTCAGTTCTTTGGATAACTCTTGCACAAAATAAATTTTCTACCTTTTTTTATTCTTTCATTGAAATTCCCTTAAATTTGTATTTAGGATAATTTTAGAAAATTTTTATTTTCACTAATTGAGCTAACATTATTTTTATGGTTGTCAAACCGCAATGAAAATATTTGTACCGGATACAGAAAGGTATTGTTTTAAAAATTTTAATTGTTTGGATTTAACATTTAAGCTTATCAGGCTTGTTAAAATGACCCTCCAGTACAGCAAAGCAGTAGTGAAAATTCTAGAAGAGTTATTGAAGAAATTTTACATCCAGAGAGACTGATTTTGTTAGCTGCAGTATATTAAGGACAATCATTATTGTTTATACGTTGAAAGATGGAAAAGAGAAGGTGAGTACAGATCCGAGTGAAGAGGTGAGGATTGTTTAGGTCGTTCTGACAAGGTCGTATAGCCATGGGATGATGATAGTAAAATCAAAATTTATTCTGTAGACTTACGAACCACTTATTTACCTAGTTTTTGCAAAGCTTGTTTTTGTAAATTACAACTATTGAAAGATTGTGTATTTATTTAAAAATTATGGTAAAAACTTACATTTACAAATAAAATAATGTTATTTATTTCTACTTTAAAACCTGTTAAAGTTTGTTATTTGGATATTTGACTAGTTTTTATTGCTTCATTTTTTTACTTTCACTTTCCTATTTTACTTACTTTCAGAAATGTAATAAAAAAGATAAATTTTTTATATCTTAATTTTTCTTCTAACAGGGTGGTATTCCCAGAGAAACTTCCTCAAGTATTAGAAATCGATTCTCACCAACGCTTAGCTTTAAGATTTAATCTCAAAGAAAAATCTAGTGGTAAACCCATTATTGTCCATCAAGCTTTCGTCAGGCTTTCTCATTCTGTAACCGGACAAGAATTGATTTTTGTTTCCGAAAAAGATTCAAACAATGGATATAAATTGGATTTGGTAAGTTTTATTCACATGTTTTTAATTTATCTAAGTTTATCCTCTCTATTTCTAAACTACTTTAAATAAGTTTTTTTTTATTAGGATTTTGTTTAGTTGTGTATTCACCATCTGGAGTTCATAAATAGATTCAAGTTTTACTTGTTACCTGATTAATTAATTTTCCATTTATAGTTTTCTTTATATTCACCCGAAATACTGAATACCCGTTGTTAATCTAAAATATGGACCTGAAATAATGATGGCAGTGTCTTCATCTTGTTAGCTCTATTTCTTATTAATCATGATGGTAGTGTCTTTATTAAGATAGTTCTATCGCCTACTCTAAGAGCTCAATTTCTTAAGTTTTCACTTCACTATTCCAATGCCACCTTTAGTTTAGGGCTGGACAACCTGTATATTTGCATGGCGTAGAGGCCACCACTTGTTAGGAATTTTAAAAAACTACAAAGTGTATGAGGATAATTAATTCAAATATTACTTATCATTTAACATCTTAAGAAATAAATTGAATTTTTTGTTGATTAAGTAGTATGTAAATAGTCCGAAAAATTTGAGGTTCGTTAGGGTTTGAAACAGGGAGATTCCCTTCCTTTTCAATTTGGCGTTAGAAAATGCCATTAGGGAGGTAATGTATACCGAAAAAGGGTTAGATCTGGGCGGGACAACATCCGTGCTGGGCTATGCTGATGAGCTAGTACTGTTAAGCGAAGACGTGGAAACTATAAAACTAAATACGACAACGTTAATGAAAGCCTGTAAAGAACTAGGGCTCAAAATAAACGCGGATAAAACAAAATATATGGTTATCTGCAAAAATGGCATTACTAATGGTGATATCAGTATAGATGGTAATATGTTTGAACAGGTAGAGAAGTTTAGCTATCTAGGTTCTACAATAACTAGAAAAAACAAAATTGAAGAAGAGATTAAGGTCAGACTGAAGGCGGTTGTTATTGTTATTTTTCTGTATCAAAATTACTTAGCTCGCACCTCTTGTCCTGGAATTTAAAAATTAGAATCTATAAAACCATTATCTTACCTACAGTTCTTTATGGATGCAAAACTTGGCCGCTTACATTAAGGGATGAGCAGCGTCTTAAGGTTTTTGAAAATAAAGTATTTCGTAGAATATCCGTATCGTAGGACCGAAGAAAGATGAGTTAACTGGAGAGTTCAGACGGTTACACAATGCCGAATTGCGTGGTGAACTATATCAGGGTAATATAATTGAGGTAATTTCATTGCGGCGAATCAAATGGACTTGTAAAATTGTTGGGCTTAGTAACGAGAGAATTCTTAAAAGGTTAATATTTGCTGTACCGAATGGTAAATATGCGAGGGGTAGACCGAAGCAAAGGTGGGAAGATTGCATTAAAACCGGTCTGAAGGGACTGGGTTTGGATGGCGAACAGTGGAGGGAGGTGTGCAATAAGCGATTAGTGGTGTCGGCATTGAACCTTCGGGTTCGCTAAGCCTTTTATTATTAAGTAGTATGTAGTATAATTTCATTTAAAAAATTGTTAATTTAAAAAGAAATAATATAAAAAACTGTTTTAGGATATTGGTGCAAAGTCTAATGAATTTGGCTCTCTGCCTGGTGTTTACAATTTGGAAATAATTGCTGGAGATAGTGTTTTATCTAATTCATTGCAATGGCATGTTGCTGATGCTAAATTATCCTTTTCTGGAGATGCTAAACCAAAAACTACTCAATCCATGTTTTCAGTTAAACCTGAAATCAAGGTTGGTATATAATTTTATTTTAAATTTAGAGCCATTTAATTTTATTTCAAATGTTTGAAAACATACGAATGAATTGCTTGGTTTTTTTTTTTTTTTTTTTTTTTTTTTTTTTTTTTTTTTTTTATTTCAGAACTACCACTTATAATATTGAGTAGTTCAAAAAACTATTTATTTATTAGAATTTGAATTGTCATATAAATCCTAACACTGCCAAACTCCCCAATGTTTGATGAAAAAGAGTTAGGAAGGCAACAGAATTTGTTATTCACATCTGCCTGATTTTAATTGGGAGAATTGAGTTGGACAGTTTTAGAACTTATATGTCAATTTATGAAATGTATTTTTTTTTTTTTTTTTCTATAAAAGATGTGTTTATAAATAATGTACCTAACAAAGTGATACTAGTAAAAATGGCAAAGCTGTTGTTTCTGAAGTAAAAAAACCATATAATTTATCTAAAATATGAACATTAAGGGCTACATACAAAGGGCTAAAGGAAAAATGTGGAAATTTCACCTGGGATATGCCAACCTAAGATCGGTGAGCCTCTCAATACTTGCATTCGCTGATGACGTTATTTTTTCAGACAGTGACAGGAATCTTCAGTACAATATTAATAAATTAAAAAAAGAATTTCAGAAGATTAATATGATTATCTACCCTGTAAAAACGAAAGTAATGAGGGTTGGGAAGAAGCCTAGGAGAAATATGCGTGTCATCAGAGTCGAAGACAAAATCCTCGAACAGGTAGAAAACTTCAAATACTTGGGCACACACCTTAATGAAAATGGATACATCGATTCAGAGGTGACTGGGCGAATCGCTGCTGCGAGCAGGATGTTTGAAGCAGTTAAGAAAGGTTTTCTAAACAGGCTTGAGGTGGAAAAGAAAAGAAAAGTAGCTGTTTTCAGATCGGCATTTCTTCCCATTTTAACGTACTCTTCAAAATCATGCACGCTGACAAAGAAACATTGATTAAGGATACAAGCGTCAGAAATGCGTTTCCTCCGAAAGATTGAGGGAAAAACGAGAAGAGATAGAGTACGCAACCATCAGGTCGAACCTCAATATTAAGCTGGCCAATGATGTGATTGAGGAGAATCGACTGAGATGGACAAATCTGCGGATGGAACCAAACAGAATAGCTAGCGAAACCTATCGATCTAAAGTAGACGGCAAGAGAGGAAGAGGACGGCCTAGAAGGAAATGGGAAGATGAGGTAAAGAGCGATTTCCAGAGAAGATGTCTTCGATGGAACGATAGAAGGCGTCTTGTTGAAGACCGGCAGAGCTGGAGAAGGCTCTATAAACTTCCTCCTCACACTGCTTAATGCGGTCAAGAGCATGGATTATGATGATGATGATGATGATGAACATTAATATATTGTTATCTTTTCATCATCTCATTACTATTATTTGAGTTATTTATGTTGACTATAAAATTTATTTATAGAGGACTTTTTTTTTACTCTTTAAGTGTATATTATTGATTTTATTTCATTGAGAATTACATATATCGTTTTGTTTTAGCACTTGTTTCGTGAACCAGAAAAACGGCCTCCTGTTTTTGTTTCTAATCTTTTCACAGGACTGGTGTTTGTTCCTCTGATTATCCTTTTTATTCTGGTGAGGATTATTTAATACTTTTACTCCACCTAATGCTTCTTTTTTATTTAATACAAATTTTAATTAATATTTATTTTATTTTTAGTGGTTCAAACTGGGAATAAACGTCTCTAACTTTAGTCTGCGACTGAGCACTTTAGGTTTCCACCTTGGATTAGGCTGTAAGTATTATTTTTTTTCTTCTAGGATTTATTTGGTTTTTAAAAATATTTTGGCAATGTTATTAAAGATGATAGTTGACATTATTTTAAGATCCTCTATCATCGTCTAACATGTAAAAAAAATTGACGCATGGATAGAATTTGTCAGATAATTGTTCCTTTATTGTAAAATTACTACCATTACTATTAGTGTCCAGAAATCTGAAAATTTAGTAAACTTATTTAGGTTTTTTTTTTAAAAAAGAAGGTACCTCTTAAGTTACTTTATAATTTATTTATTTTCTTTTGTGGACGTTTTGCGTTCTAGGTCATATTTTCTTTTAGAGAGGAACTATTTAAACCCTTTTTTAAAAGATAATGTATTAAATTCTCATAATCATTCATCAACAAAACAAATTCAAAATATAAGACTTATTACTAATTACAATGTGATTTTGTAACAGTCTTGAAATGCATGTGTCATAATTATTTGTGTCTTTCTTAAAAACACTATTGATAAAAGGCCAAACATAAAATTTCATAACAAATTATTTTATACAATTACTTTAATGATTACCTTATTTATTCAGTAGAAACCGTTTTCAAGCTTTATAAATAAGGTCAACTCGTGCTTAGGAAAAACAAATTTCATACTATCATCAAAACAAAGAAAGTCATATTTTAGTATTTGTACTGAAAGAATATTAGTCTGCTTTAAAAAAAAACTGATGAATAAAGTCCATTAAGAGCTGAACCATAAATATTTAATGCTTTACTTAAACTTAGTGTATATAGGAGGGTGGTCTGAAAAGTTTCCGACCCAATAAAAATACAAGACATTTTTTTTTAATTTTTCAACGTAGTCTCCTTGTTACTCTAAATACTTCTCCCAGCGATGCTCCTACGTCTGTAACCCTTCCAAAAAGTACTCCGCGTTTTTCTCTGCAAAATAATTGTTCACGAAGGTGATTGACTCTTAATTTTTCTGTCCTGAACTCTGAAAATTTCTGTCCTCTGAGCGCAATTTTTAGTTAAGGGGACAAAAAGAAGTCGCTTGGGGCTAGATCTGGTGAGCAAGGCGGATGGTCAAGCAGTTCAAACCGTAATTCGTGGATTTAGGCATGGCAACCGCTGAGGTGTGAAACAGGATTTTCTTTTTCTGCAAATGTGGCCGTTTTTCTTCAAGTTCTGCCTTCAGCTTGTCAAGTAAAGATATGAAGTATGTTCCTGTAATGGTTTTTCCTTTTTGAAGATAGTCTATTAAAATAACTCCATGACTATCCCAAAAAATATTCGCCATCACTTTCCCTGCCGAGAAAACGGTTTTGCCTTTTTTTGGAACCAGTTTCCGCTTTACAGTCCGCTGTTTAGACTGTATTTTTGTTTCGGCCGTATAATGGTGTATCCAAGTTTCATCTACAGTATTAAATTGGTGCAAAAACTCGGATTTATTGTGCCTAAACTGCGTCAAAAGAGCGTTGGAAATGTTCATTCGAACACATTTTTGGCAACGCGTCACCCACCGTGCGGACAGCTTTCTCATATCTATATGTTGATTTAATATATCTCTCTCACTTTAATTCGGCGGTTGTCTAGAACCATTTGATGAACTTTGGCAATGTTTTCGTCGGTGGTTGCAGTTTTTGGATGTCCCGAACATTCATTGTCTCCCTAGCTCTTACGGCCGCGTTTAACCAGCTGCCCAAAATTTCACTGTGATAAACGATGGCGCAGAGTTCCCATACACAGAATCCTACTCATCTTTGATTTGCTTTGATCTTGATTGAAACTTTGGTGGGTAACTGTCAGCAGATGAACAATAAAATTCACTTGCTTTTATTTACGAGTGCTGCCATCTTCACGTTGCGGTCAGATGCTTTGTATATGCACAGGATATGTTCTACCCTAATATTCTATCCACCCATCCTTCTGATAATATTCAACTGTCCCCTTTTGGAAGAAGACCTTTATGGACTCCCGTTTACAATTTCTTTCCAATCCCACTTCCTTGGCATCAATCCGAGCTTTATCTACGATCTTTTTCACACATTATGGTCTTACCTAATTCACTTTTCATCACCCAAAAACATTTTTTCAAAAATGGTTCGATTTTGTTTCATTTGAGCAGTGATTCATAAATGGAAACTTTTTCCATTAAATTTTTCACTGTTAATTCATGTGGAACCTAATTATCGAACTTCTTTTGATATCCAGCTTTATGTAAATGGTTCATAACTGTTTTATGATTAATATTTAGTTTTGTCGCGAGACAATATTATGTCAATCTACCTTGATTTTTTGAAGAATTGCATAAACTTTTTTAACGATTGGCCGCCCAGGGTGATTTACCATCAGCGCCAAAATTTCGGAAGCAAAAGCAAGCAAATCACTTCTGACACTGCCGTTCACTTAAATGCTCGTCACTATAAACATTATACAATTTTTTATGTGCCTGCATGCCATTGTTCCATTTTAAGTAAAACAGCATAATATGACAAAATGACCTTCTGCAACCTCCATTTTTAAGTACAATAACTGTTGACTGAGTAAATGAATGATGCTATTTTTATATTTAATGTTCTATGGACTGTTATCTTTCAAACGCACTATAGAATGGCTTCATTGAATAAGGAGGAAAGAGATAAGAGATTTTAAAGTCACCTATTGGGATTAAACAAGATTATTTTTTGCTTAACCCAATCCAATATATTCTATGATCTATCTGTTTTTTATATCATTTATCTTCGGAATTTAGAAGTACTTTTGTCAGGAAGATAAAAGAAATTAGTCTTTGTTAGAAAACCGGTGTTATACTATTGTAATATTATATATTCTATTCTTATTGATAAGTATGGAATTTATACTAATTTACTCTTTAATTTTTCAGCTATATTTGCTCTATTCGTGTGCTTCTGGTTGAAGTTAAATATGTTTGAAACCCTGAAATATCTTCTCGTCATCGGAGTTATTACTTTTCTTTCTGCTAACAAACTATTGTCTTCTATTGCAGCAAAACATAAATCATAAGTAATGTCAAATATTTGGAAAAACAGGAGATGAATTCATTTAATCTCAGTGTTTTCCATGCCCGTTAAAAAAAAAAAATTAATGCTAATTCAAAATTTTATTACATTCCTATCACCAAAATTTCTTTTATAAAGAAAGGGTTCATGTATGTACCAAGTCACAGCCCACTGTCGAACAACTATTCTCGACGTATATGTTTTTTTCTTCTCTGACTGATTAGAATGTTAATTTAATTTATTATTTTATTGAGTTATTCAACCTTATCTGTAAAAGTTTAGTTTATTTTGTTTGTTATATATATTTTTTAAATGGTACGGTGCAATGTTCAAATAAATTTTTAAGAAAATGGTTGTCTTTCACAGAATTTTTTTTGTATTTCCGATATTGGTATCTTACAAATATTTATTTTTTTACAAAAATAATTACATTTATTAGTAAAATAGGACATGTGTCCTTTTGAAAATGGAATACTTTTTACATTAAGAACTGAAGAATTTTCTGCTAACTTTGTTTTTCATTCATCCAAAATTTGTATATTTTATAGATTACAAGAAGTCCAAAATATATATTTAGATATAAATATAATTTTGTAAATTATATTTTGTTTGTTTTTCTTAAGCATGTACGTAGTATGTATGATCTGTACATGTGCTATATTTAAAAAAGAATGTTAATAAATTTTTTTTATTTACTTGTTTGATTTTTTAATAACCACTTTTTCATTACAGATAATTTCTAACTAAAATGCCAAGAAATAATAACAATTTTATCCCATTAAGGATTATTGTTCCTGTAATTGAAATAAAATAAGAACGTTAATACCCACAAAATTAAATCATGAATCCACTACAAATTTAAATACATTATGTTTTTTATCGTTTAAAATTTGATATTTCAAATAATAGTATATCATATGTTTTTCACTTAATTACACAACTACTTAACATTAAATATATTCCACATTGTGTTTACCTGCCAAACCTATTAGGCGCTTTATCTATGGGTATTTTTTGAGGGTCATAGTAAAAAACCGTGAATTAGAAACTCAAATTATTGGGTTCTTAACATTATTTGAAAATGAGTTATGGTTTGGCAGTATCAGATTCCACTTACATGTACTATTTTTTTCTGACCCAAAATTAACATTAACTTAAAAAAAACAATTGCAATATTCTAAGGTAATTAATTTAAAAGTCTGTGATACAAACCCCTTCTTATCAAATTATTAACATCCGCCTGAAACTTCGTAAATAGTTTCATCTCATCGTAACCTACAACTATTTTATTTACGAAAGCTCTTGGATTATGGTGTTTTCAATCTGGAGGGTGGCAACTTTTTCTATTTAATTAGGTACTAAAAACTCATAAATACTCATCTGCTTTCTACTTGGATTGTAAGATAATTTGATCACAAAATAAATTAAAAAAGGTGGCCTTCAAAAATATTGAGCTGTTTGGCGTGACCTACACGCCCAAATTTTCAAAATAATGAGGTTATAAAGGACCAACGGCACAATATTTTTGTTGGCCACCTTATCATCGATTTTGTAATCAAATTTGTTAACGATCAAAGTAGAAAGCAAATAAGTATTTACTAGTTTTTAGTATGTAATTAAATAGACAAAGTTTGCCCCCCTTCAGATTTAAAATGCCCCAATTCCAAGAGTTTTCGTAAATAAAACAGTTGTATATTACGATAAGATAAAACTATTTACGAAGTTCCAGGCGGATGTTAATAATTTGGTAAAAAGGGATATGTACCAGGGACTATAATTTACTCAGATCTAGATGTACATAATTTGGAACAGTGAAATTTACTTCCAATAAAATAATTTAATTATTAAGATTTTTCTTTTCTTAACATATTTGGGTCCACATCAGTCTAATTTACTATTGGTAATTAGTGGGATGTTGGTAAAAATCACTAATGAATTAATGGCATATCAGGTAAACTTGGAAGAAGATTAATAGAAAAAAAAAAATGATAGTTCATATTATGTGAACAAATTCAGCATAATTACTGTGAAACGAACAAATATAATACTACATATTTAAAAAATATATATGTTTAGACAGTTGGATTTTTTTTTTTTTTTTTTTTATGCTTATTGATATACTTGAAAATATCTGAATAAAACGATTTGATATATTACAATTTTTATATATTAAACATTAGGAAGCTAAAAATTAATAATGTTAAAAACTGAAAAATACTTTTGATTACTTAGTACAACCTCCAAGTAAAAATATTTCACAGCCTGACTAGTTAAGTAAAAATGTATGTAAAAACATTCTCTATAAAATATACTTATACTTCTACGTATTAAATATATTTTTTGCAATTTTATCACTGAAATTTTTTAAAACATCATTTGAAAATGGAGGTGTCCACATGAGAGGTGAATGAATCATGAAATCCTAAGATAATTCCTCGTATATTATAATCTCTGAATATAAATGGAAATGTAAATAATAGAAATATTTAGGTCGTGATAAAATAGTTTAATACCTACTTATAGGTCTTAGCCAGCTAGTCGACTTTTTTTTTAAAGTTTTTTTTTCATCTTATTTCCTTAATATATTCTAGTTTATGTATTTTATTTATTTGTGTAACTTATTTGTTATTAATTTAATATATTTTTAATTCAAATTATTGGAAGGGGAGGAGAAAGAGATCGCCTCTCTGTAGTCTGCACCTATTTATAAGTCAAGTCGTGCTAAAGGTGTTTGTGTAATAAGTGTAATATTTTCTATTGGAATGTTTAAAGACTATGTTTGTTTTTTACTAGAACCTAAAATTTAAGAACGATAAAATCTAACTGGTTTAAGTATTTTTGATAGCAAGTTTCTGTGTTAGTTTTAATTTTTATTGTCTTTTGAATAGTGTGTATAACAGTTTACTTATTTGATTTAAGATTTTATGAAGGTTTCAAGTCAATCTTCTGTTAAATGATAGTCCCAATTAGATTACTTTGCTTGTCTGTAGTATTAATACGTTATCAAAGTGTATGCGATGAAAAGATTCATCTCTTAATGTAAATTTGATTTGTTTGTATTTATCATAATTTGATCGTGGTTTTTCCAAAACTTAATTATCTGCAACAAAAAGATAAACTAAATTATTTCTGAAATAACTTGATAATTTTCATAAATAATGGGGATATCTATGATATTCATTACACACAAAACAGTATGATGAAAATTGTTTAAATTTTATTAGATAAGTACATTGTCATAGGTAATATTACTAACATATGTCATAGCACTTACAATGCCCTTAACACATACAGTTTTATAAATCATTTTTTTCTTCGATCCTAAATCAAAAACAATTATTGATATCTGAATATTTTAAATTAATACAGTTATGGATACAGAATTAATGTTTAACATATTTCTCAAATATAGTCATCATCCACTATATATCGAAACATATTTAGGAAGCTTGAAGTTTTATTATTAAAAACTTTATGTAGATATCAAACAAAAAGTCATATTTAAAAACAATAAAATGTAATTGTCATCTAAAAAGCTCTTAATTTTAATTCATAAGGGGGTTATAATTAAATAAGAAAAATAAATAAAATTTTCACAAAGCAATGGAAATTCAGAGAAGACCTTGTTATGAAGATGCAAGTTGGGTGGCAGTGGGAATGAGATTCAGATTTTTTTTTTCCAATGTAGAGTGGAATTCTCAATTAGGCTTTTTCTTTCTTGATATGAAGATGCCTCCTAAATGAATTAAGTGTGAGGAAATGTTTGACTTTACATGTAAAAGACATAAAAAGAGGGATGCAAAATAAACACTTAGAAAAAAATTGGAAGTTACAACTAATAGGATAAAACAACTTTAAAAAACTGTGATTTGGTTATTAAAACAAATGTAAGTTGTGAAGGAGATTCAAAACTATTCACTCCTTAAACTTTGATAAAATTGATTAATTAATTTACAAGGATAAACAACCATTTTTCTAGTTTTTTAAATGAACTTTTGTGTTTGATATATAGAGGTACAGCTCTTTATGTATTATGATATGTATTTAAATACATTTAGTTATACAAAGGTACGTTTAGACATTTCAAAAACTATAGGAAAAACAAATATTAAGTGGTTATTTCCCTATGCTAATGTTTTTATGTTTTCCATCTCCTGCTAATAAAAGAGAAAAAAAAAATAAGGTTGACTTAAGTTAGGTAATTAATTAAGTTTGTGAAATGTCTATACACATCTTAACATACAGATACTCACATTTACGTTGTATATATATAATATTATATACTGTACATTATATGTTCCACACTTATTATGTACATAATAAGTGTTATACATAAGCATTCTTTTGTACAAAAAGTCTTGTTATTAATGTAACAACATTAATACTTTTTGTAATTCAAAATCAAGGAACCTTTTTGGTCTTATAAACAGACAAAGTTATGAAAATAAAGGTACTTTTGGTGTTAACAATGATCATGTAAATTTTTTAAATTTTTTCATCAATTTGAAACAAATGTTGACGGTTCCAAGCAGTTTTTCCCGTGTTGAAGTTGATCTTCTGAGTAACAGCCAGCAGAAAATAGTAACAACAGTAGCTTGTGAAACCAAGTGAAGAATATACATTCTGTTAAAATAAAAACAGAACTGTTTATAGCTTTTTATAATTTTGTTATTAATTTTATAAAATATTTATTTAGGTATAAAGTTATTTGTTTATTTTATGTATTTATTTATTTTTTAATATTTTGGAAATTATACTAAATTAGCATCTCCAAGAGTAAAGTGCTGGTTATGGTGAGGGAAGAACTGGAAAATGTACAACTGATCTGCAGCGGCAAGACACTTGAGGTAGTGAGTGTCTTGCCGCTGCTACTTAGTGATCGTAATTATTAGCTCTGGTAAAATAGACCCTAAAATATCAAACAGAATATGCAAGGCGAATCAAATGTATTACCAGACTGCTAATAGCATCATAGGCCACCGCGAAGTAGTCAAAAAGACCAAAATGCATGCATATAAGTCTGTTTACCTACCTAAACTCCCCTACAGCGGAGAATGATGGACAGGCACTCTAGTCGCATAACGGCAGCAGAAATGACGTTCATTCGTAGATCTGTTAGGAGAACTAGAAGGGATCACATTAGGAACGAAAGCATTAGAGAGCAACTATGAGTTGCCAAACTTAAAACCACTCTAGGAAGACGGCAACTCAAGTGGTTTGGACATGTCTGCCGCATGAATGAGAACTTGAATCCTATAAAGGTATCGGAGGCTCAAACCACAGGAAGGAGACCACGCCCCAGAATTACATGCCAAGAGTATATCCAAAGAATTGGAAGTAAAAGAGACTAAACCCTCAATGAGATGAAGTGGCTAAGCAGGGAACGGGAAGAGTGGTTACGCTGGATTGAGGTTCCTCAATGCTAGCTAATGGCAAAGAAGAAGAAGAAGATATTATACTCTATGATCTAGTAAAACTATTACATTTGTTGAAACGCCGTACTCCGTTCCACATATTTTCCTGACCCTTGGAAACTATCTGTAGTCAAAATGATACATAAACCCAAAAAGCCACCAGAATACCCATCCTCTTACCGTCCTATCTCTCTTTTACCCATCATGGGCAAAATCCTGGAGAAGCTCATCTTAAAACGCCTGTATCCCATCCTAGATTCTAACCACATAATCCCTGATCACCAATTTGGATTCCGCACATCCCATTCCACTATCCAGCAATGTCATCGTGTGGTAGATGTAGTCTCCTCTGCATTGGAGCGCGGAATGTATTGCACTGGAGTTTTTCTCAACGTTGAACAGGCGTTTGATCGAATCTGGCATCCGGGATTGCTTTACAAACTTCGTAAATTCCTTCCCCCTACATATTTTCTTATCATCAGTTCCTATCTTACTGATAGGCACTTCAAAGTAAATCACAATAATACCTATTCATCCCTCTTTTCTCAATCTGCCGGAGTTCCTCAAGGTAGTATCCTTGGTCCTATCCTTTACACAGTTTATACAGCAGACATCCCAACCCATCCTAACACTGTTATTACCACATATGCCGATGATACATGTGTCCTATCCGTTTATAATGACCCAACCATTGCATCCCAAACTCTTCAATCACACATCACAAGCCTTGAAGAATGGTATCAAAACTGGAGGATTAAAATAAATTCTAATAAATCTCATCAAATCACCTTTACCCTTCGACGTAAACCTATGACCTCATGTCCCACAGTATCCTTTAATAATACCCCACTTATCCCTGTTGAACAAATCCGATACCTTGGACTTCATTTGGACAAACGTCTAACTTGGAATCCTCATACCAGACTGAAACGACAAGAAACCGCTCGACGTTTCCGACTACTCCAACACTTACTAGACAAACGCTCTAAACTTCCCCTTAATTACAAAAGACTCATATACTTGACTATAATAAGACCTATTTGGACTTACGGAGTTGAGCTATGGGGCTCCACTAAACCATCGAATTCCTCTCGCATTCAATCCTTACAATCCAAAATCCTTTGTAAAATCCTCAATGCTCCTTACTTTGTCACTAATAAAATAATCCATAAAGAACTCAATGTTCCATATGTTTCCGATTTGACCAAATCCAGATACCTATCCTTCCATAATAAACTTCATAACCATCCGAATCCTCTTGTTTCTAACCTTGCTTCCTCTTCGATTCCTGATAACCCTCCGAGGCGTCTGAAAAGAAGATGGCCTCGTGATCTTCTCATGTAGACAAATTATTAGAGTACTACCAGTGGGTAGTTTCTCAACAAGCGTGTTTCATGTAATAATATTTCTCTGTACAAATTTACTAGATGTATTCATACTAATACAGTTGTAAATATCATAATAAAAGTTTAAAAAAAAACAAAAAGAAAAAAAACATTTGTTGAAGAAAATCATGAATTTTATTTTTAAAGCTACAATAAATAATGATTATTATCACAGGACCAGGCTTGGGAAGAGACCCATTGCATGGCCATTCTAGGTTTTGTCTACATTTAAATTCAAAAAGTATATATAATATTAAACTTATTATAATACACTTAAGAAATATCTCTATCTAATATTTTTGTTAGATACTTTATAGAAGACTTCTGTTTGGTTTTAGTAATAGATTTAATATATGACAGGAGCTCGGGAAAATTATCCCCTTTTATTATTATTAATAACCAAGGGGGGGAGGTCTTGATTTCTCTCCACAGTCCTGGGGATAGCAACTACTCTCTTGTGGGCGGGGTGGCCAAAAGGGCTAATATATGTGCACATCACCGCCGTTGCTCGGCAACCTGATATATGAGACAATAGATTTAAAATACTCACGAATTCGCCTCCCGGTGCTTGGGGAGTCTTTTAAATTCCCGCCCACACCCCCTAGCCCGGGAAAACCCCGTATAGCCTTAAAGGCGAGGAAGGAAGGACCTCCCAAAAAACTACTGTCTCTTCAGAATTACTTTTGACTTCGAGGAAACTAGATACTTATGTTTCTTATCAGCCAAAAAATAAATTCTACATAGATAAATTTGTCTCCTTCATGAGATTTTTTTCCAGAACTTTAAAACGGTTTAGCTAATGGTGACCATTCAATTCATAAATACTTTTGTATGGGCTTAATAACTTTTCTTTAAAGGTAAATCAATACTTGTCTTTCATTTTATAATTCTCATAGAATGGGTAAAAATTGTTTTGTCGTTGGGTGAGATCGGTAGACCTTCATTTTTTAGTAACTAGAACAATGTTTTTGATATATGTGACACTTGGTTAAGAAACAAAATAAGACTTTGTACACTACAAATGTTTTATGGGTAAATAAAACCACCCATCTGGAAAGTGATGTTGATTTATGGATCATGCTAGTATTTTTTTTTTATTCAAAAGTTTCCTAGAACACCTTTTTATTATTTTATAATGAATGATATTAGCCTTTTTTCTTGATTAATTTTTTACTATTACCTTTCTCACTATCTATTCAATGTAAACCTATTTACTAATCGTCACTTACCTTATAATTTTTTTTCTTGCTAATGGAATGGTTTTAGGATCCTCCTTCAGGATGTACTTTCTAATACCAAGAACATATGTTTCAATATATGATGCCCAATTTAGAGAATTTAATTCAAAGCTAAATACGTTTTTATCCTCAGCTAACATGCTTTTCCAGAGTGTCATCATATTATCATTTTTAAACTTGAAATTCCTTATAGTAAAGAATTCTAATGTGGAAGTTGCCTTTAAAATTTTATCCTGTATACGCACCATCCTGAAAGATTTAAAATTAATTAAACTGTAATGAACTAAAATTATTTGACAAAATCTTATTTATTCATGTTTGAAATATTTTAGACATTTGAAATAAATCTCAAATAAATATTTATTGACTGTCATATTTCTGTTTTTTTCTTCTTCTTCATTTTCAAACTAAATATGTGAAGAAACATTTATTTCAAACACTTATTGCAATATTCCTGTATGTATATATTTTTTTTATTACTAGGGATTTCTTAAAATTTACGCTTATTTATACCTTTAAAATAAAACTAAATTTACCAAGGGTAATAAATAATCAGGATGCAGTCATTTTAAAACTTTTATTATTGCCGATGTTTCAATACAAGCATGTAGGCTGAAATGTCATCAACAATAAAACTCTTAAAATGACTGTGTCCTGACTATTTATCACCCTTGATGTGTAGAACAGCCTCCTTCAATAATACTAACATTTACTTTATAGTCAACTCTTTTTTTTGTTCTGGTTTATACACTTAAACTGTAGTTTATAATTAATTATTATTAGTACCATAATTAAATGCAGCATTAATCATAACTATTATGTTATTTTACACATCCTGAATTTATATTTCAAATTTTTTTGCGTATCTCTTTAGCATGTAGAGTTGCCTACACCTCATAACTCATCAGCTGTGTTTACTATTCAAAGTAATAGTAATTTCAACAATCACTGGTAATCCCAATGATTCAGATAATTACAGAAGATAGCAGTTATTAGTGCCATCTATTGGCTGATAAAGGACATCAAATTCAGAATTAATTTATATTGAAAATTAGTAAACAATTGGAAATTTCGAAATTATTAAAAGATTATGGAAGGAAATCAATGATTCAGAACTTTTATCACACATGCCTGTGGATTCATACATATTTTTTAAGATCTGGTGAGACTGTTTGATTGGTAATGGAGTCCTAATTCTTGGATCTAGTTATGGCAGAAAATTCATTTTCTATGATATCAGCTGTGAATTCTCACGTCTGAAGAATTTCATGTGGCACACCCAGCCTCTGGAAAGTAGATACCTGGCTCTTCAATAGGTTAAAGAGAAATGTGGCTGTTGAGTGTTGGCATTGACCACATCACCTATATATCATTTAGTAGAAGGAAAATCTTCTAATCAATTCAGCACTGCTAAGGAATGTATGAGAAAATTTTGATAGAATTTAGTAGGCATGTCTCTACTCAACTGATTTAAAATACTGAAAAGATAAGTTAAATTTTATTCCATCAGTATTCAATTTATATGAATTTTATATATGTGTGAGATATTCCAATTCCTCATAAGGAATAAATTGTTTTTTTTTTTTTTAATAATCTTGAAATTATTTAAAATACACTTATTTAAAAAATAAATAAATTGGTTTTATCACTGTACTATATTGTTTTTGTAATTTAACTTCATACTTACATAGGTTCTCTTCCGCATATCAAACTGAAAAAGTCAAATAAATATGCAGGATATCTTTGGAATAGTGTTACAGCAAGTTTATGGACGATTTGATGTTTCTTAAAGGAACCATCCGGATACCAAAAAACATCCCCTGATGGGTAAGCATATAGATAGTAATGAAACCATTTTTCTATATCACCCCAATAAATAGGATTGCACGTTCCAGTTGTACAATTGTAGACTATTATTTTGTGAGGTCTAAAATAAATATTTAATAACATATTATTAGTTACGTAATTTTGTCATACAAATTATAAAATATATTGTATAATTTATAGTGCCTTGTGGCATGGAATCTACAAAATTTATAAATAACATTTTTTGATTTAACTCAAAATATGATTATGAGTATGATCGCACAATAGTAAGATAATATAAAAATCCATCTTAAACTTTAAACGGTCATTGTTCGAATCAAATATGATTGTGAAATTTTTCAGGGACGATTTCAATTGGGTAATTGCATGTTTTTGTTTCTTGCATCTTGCAAAATTTTTATTTGTTAGTAAAGATTAAGTGCTACTTATCACTGTTAGTAACAGCAACAATTTCTGAATTTTTCTGATGCATATTTGAAAAAATATTATATAATTACGTTAAAGAAAAGTGATGGGGAAGAGCTACATTGTAAGAGTGTTAATATGGCTATGTCATGCCCTGCTAGCACCAAACTCATACTATTGATTATCTCATGTTTTTTATATTAGAGTAGTGTGGGTGGGATGGTCGATTGGGCTGATGTGTGTGCAAGCTCTGCCGTTGTCTGGCAACCTGATATATGACTAATGATATGGAAATAGTCATGAGTTCGCATCCCGGTGCCGAGGGAGTCTTTTAAATCCCTGCCCACACCCCCAGGCCTGGGAAAATCCCGTATAGCCTTACCCGCGAGGAAAGGGAGGACCCAAAAAAAAAGAAAAAAAAGCTTAGATTAGTGTTTCCAACTAAAACGTTTACTCAAGAAATATCTTTCAGTTTGTTTTTTTGTCTCTCCTTTTCATCTCTGAATAAAAATATTTTGTTTAAAATTTATTTTATTACACGTCTGTTTTATATAAATGATGATGATATAAAAATGTCATTTGTGACATCAAAAATTATATCAAACAAATCTTGAGCTTTATAGATTAGTACAGATTACCCTTTAACATTGGATTTAGTGCCTGCTTATAAACAGCGAAAACATCCTTAAAATTATTGACTAATTTTTAGTCCAATTATTAGTTAATTTTTTCTGTTATTATTTCTTTGTTTTAAATATACAGGATTAGCTCATATAAATATTTATTATTGTCATCTTTGATTATCTTCAAGTGTTTTTAATATTAAAAGAAAGTTGTTTGGAAATATATTTCCCTAACATCTGTGCTCTAATTCTTCTTCACACTTGAAAACTGTAGATGGAAAGAATTCTCAGGCATTTAGAGTAAGGTGTCCAAATGCTTTTTAACGATTTGTTCTATCTTAAAAAGTATTTTAAAAATCTCCCGATTATTTGAAAAAATGCACGACAAGCTAGGAAATAGCAGGAGAACGAAAAGAGAATATACAGTTTTTGGCGGTCATGTGGCTATTTCGCCAGGATATGAGTTTTATATTACTTTTGTTAATTTTATTATGTTAAACTTTAATAATACCTGATAATTGTGAAGAAATGATTAACAGCTTAGCAAAGTTCGTGTAGTTAATCAGTTGTTAGAACTCAACCGCCATTGTATGGACTTAATAAATGACCCAAAAATGATCTTTTTAAAAAGATGTCATTATCAAAAAAATATATTGATATGGAAAAGGTTAAATCTTGGGCATCAGCAAGTTAACTTCATTTGTTACTTCGGTTACCAAAATTTTGTCACCTTCAATAAGTTTTATAGCATTTTGAAAAAGAGCTGCTTGATTGTCTACAAATTGCTGACAAAAAACATCTAAGCCTCAAAAACTTACTTTTTACTGAAATCATAAATTAGACGTCAAATACACCATGAAATTACTCACTCTCAAAAATACTTCTTTAGAATTAAATTCTCTATCTTATTTCAGTTGAATACTTTTTATATTGAAATATTTCAGTCAACAGATTAACGTTTGCACCAGATTATCATTATGTAATGTTCATTATTGTAACAATTAATTTGGACAAATTTCTCTCTCCCCCCCCCCTCCGATGTCCTGATTTTCCAATATTAAATTCTGGTCATCTTAATTCAGAGAAAAATATTTTACATAAGGCAGGACTTATTTGGAGATAGAGCATTCTATATCCATATAACTATTGTGTGATAAAGCAAATTAGAAACAATACTTTGCAGACAATTCTTCAAAAAATCATTCAACAAATGAAAATTTTAAAAGTAGTTAAAAAAAAATGACAAAGCTGGGAAAACTTATGGTATATATGTTAATTAAAAGTAATTACGAATTAATTTTTTCACCTGTAAATAGCAGTATACCAAGCTACGGCAATACAAAGGTTTATGGCAGTGTCTACTGGTATTAAATCTGCAATGCAGTCTCTATCGCAATAGAGGGATCTGAGTATCCCTTTACATGCACCGACAAATATTCCTGTAGGTCCATTCATGTTGTCTACCCAACCTGGTATAGGTTCCTTCCATGCTGCAGTCACTGAAAAATAATAATTATTCTATTCAAGTCAAACAAACCAATTAAATTTTACTTTAATTTTTACTGAAAACTCAATTGAAAAACACACATATTCAATCAACATAACCATACAAAAATGATAAATGGATTGAACAGGGAAGGAAACATTAGTCTTCAACTTAAATCCACAATATTATATTATGGCCAAATTAGCTTTTTGATATCCTCCATCATTGATATATTTAAATTTTTAAATTTGATATACAACTATTTATATGAAACTTACCTATTGATGGTCGAATAATAGCAATCGGCAATATTCCATTTTTTTCATTTACTATTTGTTCAGCTAATGCTTTTGTTAGGGTATATGTATTTGGTCGGCCATCCAATAATCTGAAAAATATTATTCATTAGTCATTAGTTCTGTGAGCTACAATGTTTTCATATTAATTAAGGTTTTATAATAATCATTATTTTAAAATATTATGTATGAGTCATATTATTTCAGTAAACAAAAATTAAATTAATAAAAAAAAAAAATTAATTTTATTAAAAACGATAAAAATTAAATGTGTCCGATCATCATGCAGAAACATAACACAGCAACTTTCCTATTGTTTATTTGTACTGTCAGCCTATTATGTTTTCCTATCCCTTCTCAGCTGCCTGCTGTAAGTTCCTAATCTTTTCCTTGAAAAATAATTTTAAAATCTTTTTAGCAGAGTTGTAGGACAGCAAAGGATAGGTTTGAGGTATTTCCGAGGCTATCCGTGCAAGTCCATCTATTTGTTCATTTCTGACATGGCTGACACAATGGCTCGGAATCCATTGAAATTTTACTCTATCCAATTCTCCATTTGGCTTTCATTGCCTGGCATCTGAGATCATGATGATCCACACCATTTCCTCTGCAAATCACTAATACAACGTTTTTGAATCAACAAAGAACAGCTGAACTCCTTTATTCTAAACAGCGCTGTCAAAATAGTTTTGACTTCACGATCGAAATTCATACCCCAATTCTCAATGGGAATGGTCAACGTAAACTCACAGCAGTAAACCTCCATACCTATATTCCTTGTAGTTACTCGAGCAGAGCTGTCTATATATATGTAGAGTCATTTCTTTTTGGGTAGCGACACTGGATTGTTCATTGCATGAGAGCTTACACTTCTCATTTCGGTGTCAGATGGTTACTTAAAGGTTGTGTTAGATCCAGTCTCATATTTCTCTTTTGACAAATTTGCCACAAGTTTATACTTCTCCCCACCCAATTAAATAACAGTTTCAATCCCAAATCCTTTTTCTTGCAACATTTTTTTAACTTTTGAATGCAAAAGATTTTTTGGTTTTAAGGAGCTGAGCAAATATTTCTTCAATATTCCTGTATTTCAAACCAAGTCACTTCATTCTCTATGGGACTGACAGCTGCTATTTCCCTCCTTGTTTGAAAGGATTCCTGAAATAGTCAACTCATTTGCTGGTTGTCAGTTGACAGGTGAAATGTTAAAAGAAAAAAAAAAACTATTGAACTTTAAAACTTACTTTGGAGTTAGTACATCCAGTAATTCACTGTCAAGAGTTTGAGCTGCTGTCAGAATTTGTTCTGGAGCAAAACTTACTGGGTAAACCTGTTCTTCATTTTCTAATCTGTCGCAGTTACAGTATGCAGTCGATACATGTATCAATGCCTAAAAAATTAGAATTAAAGTAAGTTTAACTGCAGCCATTAATTAGGATATCAAAAAATAATAATAATACTGATTCTTATTGAATCTTTGCAGATTTTTTCACACTAAACATTAAAACCATTTAATATTTACACAACAAATCTATTTTAAAAAATTAACAAAATCATCAGTCAAATTTTATAATAGAAATAATGTTCTTTGCACTCTATAAACAGCCTCTTAATTAGTGATTTCATACTATATATATATATATATTTTTAAAACTTTTATTATGATATTTACAACTGTATTAGTATGAATACATCAAGTAAATTTGTACAGAGAAATATTATTACATGAAACACGCTTGTTGAGAAACTACCCACTGGTAGCACTCTAATAATTTGTCAACTTGAGAAGATCACGAGGCCATCTTCTTTTCAGACGCCTCAGAGGGTTATCAGGAATCGAAGAGGAAGCAAGGTTAGAAACAAGAGGATTCGGATGGTTATGAAGTTTATTATGGAAGGATAGGTATCTGGATTTGGCCAAATCGGAAACATGTGGAACATTGAGGTCTTTATGGATTATTTTATTAGTGACAAAGTAAGGAGCATTGAGGATTTTACGAAGGATTTTGGATTGTAAGGATTGGATGCGAGAGGAATTCGATGGTTTAGTGGAGCCCCATAGCTCAACTCCGTAAGTCCAAATAGGTCTTATTATAGTCAAGTATATGAGTCTTTTGTAATTAAGGGGAAGTTTAGAGCGATACTATATTTAAATTTTAAAAGTGAATATTTTCACATTATTGTCATTCATTTAAATTTAAATTGAACTATAGATATATAGTCAAGCAAAAATAAATTATTATATAATAGGAATTCAATTTATAAGTTGTATGTGCTAATTATTGTAAAATTCCAATAATAACCTCTAGCTTGCTCATGTTCAGTGCCAGATCAATAACGTATTTAGTGGCTGACATGTTCATGGCCACTGACTTCTTAAGAGCTTCATCGAACTTGACTGTAGCTGCTGCGTGAAAGATCACAGATACCTTGCTCCTCACCAAATTTTGATCTTCTGAACTCATACCTAATTTAGGTTGTGTTATGTCTCCTTGAATTGGGACGATTTTCTGTAATACTCCAGTTCTGCTGCGAACCTCATCGAATATCTGAAATTACAAATGTTGATTATTAGCATAGTTCTAGAATTGATTAATTATTATAAGTCGGTGAAAAAAAAACAAAAAAAACATAGGTCTCTTAGATTTATTATAAGATAAATGAGAAAAGTCTTCAGTAACAGTTTTATATTTTCATGTAGACATAATAAACATATTCATACAGACTACATTTAGCACCATCAGTTTGCATAATTTCTTTAAAATAATGCCATAATAAAATAAGCCTGGATCCTAGATCATTTAACTTTAATGTGAAGACATACATACAAGAATAATTATTTTTAAAAAAGTAGTAAAAAAAGAAAAAACAAAATTGAAGAGAAGAATAGTTGGGGTGATCAGTCACAAAAAACTTAATAAAAAATAAATATAACTATTTATTTTTACTATATTTTTGTTTACAGATCACCCCAACCATTCTTCTATTCAGTTATTCACTTCAGTCAACCATCAATCCACTATTAAAAAACAAAATTATTTGGGCAGAAGGAAATACTAATTTATTAAGAGTAGTTTGATAAAGAGTGCGCTAATTGTAACCAAAGAATAAGACATATAACACTGTGCTACAAAGTCATTCACAAGCTTCTACAACAGATGACTGTAGGTACTAGCGGATCCAGGATTTCATTTTGGGGGAGGGAAAAGAGAGCTTCAGCCCGAAAGCTTTTTTTTTGTAAATATAAAGATAATTACTTTGAAAGAATAAGAAAGAAACTAACTACCTATATGCAATAGTGTTTAGTTGGAAGTCCTATTAAATATAATTACACGAACAATAGTAATTTTAGATATATATATTTTTTTTTCTGTAAGACGTGGTAATATTTTGCTACTTTGGAGGACCGAAAGCCACTCCCCTGGATCCGCCTGTGACTGTAGGAGTCAATTGAGGAAAGACTAGTTATATTTGTACATAACTAGCTGATTTATACATATAATAATAGCTATGTATATATTTTTATAATTATATATAATGTATTTAATAATAGTTATAAATATATAATTATAATTGTGATAAATATATTATTCTTAATTTCGGAATTGTTCTCTCTGGTTTGAGAACTATTTAACTGATACATAATTTTTAAAAAAGGAGATCATTTATATTGTTGAGATCAATTTGCACTCTTCTTGGAATTTACATTAGAAATGATTGTTAGACTTTGAATGTCTATCCCAATAATAAATGGATTCAGGATTATTCAGAGAATACTGAAAACTTGGAATATTCTTGAATATCTTGTAACATAAATTAATTACCACAAGACAAGCATAAAAAAAATGTATATAATTAGAAACTCTATGTTGGATTTTTCAACTGTAAACGGATTACTAACCGGGAGATTGAGAAGATCTTGAAGCCTTTCCTGAACTTCTTGGCCCTTCTTTGGCCTGATGAGTAGATAAATAGTTTCGATGTCAGAACAGGACCTTAGCAATTTTTCAACAAGAACTTTGCCCATGAAGCCTGTACCCCCAGTGATGAGTACTGACCGGCCTGCGAAGAACTCAGGTATATTCTTCAGTGACTCCATCACCTCCTGAATAGATATAAGTTGTTATTTTAAAGACATTAATATATTAAACATTTGCCTAAACTGAACTAAAGTTTTTTTCTCTAAAACTTCTTAATCGAATGAGCAAAAATGTTTGCTGTTGTTTTTAATACAGTAAGTATAAAAAAAGAAAACCTTTAATTTTTGTTGGAAACTTTTTATCTGAAATTACAGTTGTTTTATAAAAGCTAAATTTGTTTTGATTAAATATAAAATATAAAATTATTATAAAAAAATTAAATATAAAAAAATATAAGTTATAAAAGTATAAATTAAGTATAAAATAGAAATTAAACTGAAATAAACTGACATTAGCATTGGCGGATTCTAGAGGGAGGGTAGGGGTCTTTAAACTGAAGGCCTCACCACTAGTGGATTCAGGATATAATTTTGGAGGGGCTTCAGCCCCAGAGATTTTTTTTTCATATACATATAACGATAATTAATTTGAAAAAAAAAAGAAATTAATTACCTATATGAAATGGTGTTTAAGTGGTTCTTGAAGTCCTATTAAATGTAATTAAACGAACAAGAATACTTTAAGAGATAGTTTTTAATATTTTTTTCTGTAAAACGTGATTATATTTACCATTTTGGGGGGGAGCTTCAGCCCGAAAGACCCCCTCCTCCCGTAGATCCGCCTGTGGCCCTCACCCAAAAGAAAAACATTTTTTTTTTCTTAGGGCCATATTTATTTCTATGAGTGATCTGTGACAAACGCTCGAACAATTACATGTTTCTGTAATTAAGTACTGTTACAAAGTTAGTAAGAAAAATAAAAGTTAGCCCCAACAAAATTAAATCCAGGATCCCATGCTGATCATAGTTAACAAGTTATCAAGGAAGCATGTACCAACCGACCCATTTTCATCTAAACTTTCTATTTTTTTTAAAAAATGCTAAAAATATAAATCATTTCAAACAATAATTTAATATGTTGTAAACTATCGGAATTATATTACATAAAGGCTTTGACTTGTTGCACTAATGGGTATTCTGTTTGGCTACACTGATAAGGCTCCGAAGACCTTGGTCGAATTTTGAATCGATGACGCTATGCCATTGAACACTCTCGTTTAATGAAGTTATTTATAATTCTAAGCACGCATATATCAATGAATGGCTTGTACTGTAGTTTCTTAATTCTTTTTAAATACATCCATGGAAGTTTAATTTAAACTTGATGAAAGAATTGTCCAGAAATGAATGCATTGATTAGGTAAGTCTAATCTATCTTAAAAAAGTTTAATTTTTCATTTTATATCAATATAATTTGAAGTATATAATAGAGTTTTATTACGTTTTAAGAAACGTTGAATTTAATTTTCTCCATTTGGAGTGTTAAAACAGGAAAACAATGAGACGGTTTTGTTGTAATCCTTAGACGTTTGTAGCACCGTTACTTCAGATACTAATGATAAAGAATTAGAATCTTTTTACAGAATAAATGTACTGTTTGAGATTGCTAAGCTTTGTATTTCGAATCAAAGCGAAAGTACATTAAGCGAGTAAAGTTGACGAAATTATGTGTGTGAGCTGATGACGTAGCTTACAGCTGTTGAAATAAATTTTATTACTCATTAAAAGTTATAGCTCTACCACGATTAGTTGGCATTCCCCAATGGCTTACTAATGTTTCATATCCATATATTTCAAGATTTCAATACCATCTTGTAATATATGTAAATATTTGTAATTAATATTGGAGATTAAAGAACAAAACAAATCAAAATGTAAGTTTCAACTTAATGCCGCATGAGTGCGCCCTCGGAATTCCAACTGATCGTGGTCAAGTTACATTGCTTTAATTAATTATATGCCTTTAATGATCCGTTTAGAAATTTCCCAAACTATGACAGACAAAATTTTAACTTAATGAACAACGATAATATTGCTATACAAAACTATTTATATTTATATGAATCTTTCAGTTCACAGAATGACTAACTCCAATTTCATCATTTTTATTATTAATTTTAGTGGTATTTCCAATGAGAAAATTTATACCTGTATTCACAGTTATATTTTTCAACCCTGCAATCCCCTACTCTGGAATCAATTTATTCACTATCTGTACAGGTATTATAAACATTCCAACTAGAAGTATCACTAAAAATAATAATAAAAAATCTGGTGCGCGCAACACACACAACTTTCACTTACCGCTGTACTTTACATAGAAATTATTTTCTGGACATTTCGGGCTATTATAAAATTTTTTAATTTGCATTTTTAACCGAGCTAAAGCTAAAAGATTACAGCTAACAAATCATAAATACTATTGAAATAACAAAAGTCCTATTTATTATATCACCGGTTGATTATGGATTGTATGATTCATTGATTATGGATTGTACGATCCGTTGATTATGGATTGTACGATCCGCTGATTATGGATTGTATGACTATTAGTTATTAAACTGTTATTTTCTATTACAAAATCAACTAAAATGGAATTAACATATTTGCATTGTTTATCATAGACAGGTCAAAAGTTGTCACACTTGATTGTAAGTGGAATCTGTTGGAATATTGCAAAGGGAAAGTTTATCAAATTATCAAATAATTTAATTTTCTAAAAGGTTACATAATGATTTTTCGGAATAAATGGACGATAAATACTTAATTATTTAAATATGAAGTCAGATCTAAAGTTATTAAACTACAGTAAATATATTAAAGGTTGTCAAAATTTCCATTTAGTAAGAAATTTTTATTTAATTTCCTTGAAAACATGTGATTCACGTTGAAGTTTTCTGAGAATTTCAGAATTTTTATTACTTATATTTTTTCGTCACTCTCCGTTACCTTCTACAACTTTCTATATTAAGTACTGTTTTTTTTTTTAATTCTCCGCTTTCCAACGATATATTATACGTATACCTTCTGACTATTATTTCCGAATATTCATTTTCAACCTGGATAAGTATTTTTCTCTTTTATTTAATTATCAAATTCTTCCAAAAGTTATATTTAGCATTTTTTAGTTATTATTTATAATAAACCAAATTAAAGGTACTTTAGATGGCAGACTGGGCATTGAAGCCCTGTAAAGTGACATCAACTGGGATAAGATCTAAATGATATTAAAGACCACTTGACATTTGATCAAAGAAAATATTTGTGTACGATTTATTTGGTAAACTAAAGAAATGTAAACCGGCTTAAGGTAGATCGGTGTAAAAATTCTAATTTAGTCAAACATTAATTTCTGTTAAAAATAGAAGAAATAGTGAAGCTTGTGTGATGCCGGCAACAGATTTTCTTACTTTCACTTAGTCATCTTTTTTTCTCTCATTCATCCCTTTCTGGCACCAGGATATGAACCCGTAATTTTACAATTGAAATTGAATAGCTGTAACTTCGTTAATAGGTGTCTCTTAAAAAAAAAAAAACCAAAATAAAAAAACAGGCAGGTGTTGGCACAGACAGAACAATGGCTAAAAATGTGTTTTTCGGACTTATTTGACACGATCGCAATACTTTCCTTGCCTATTATAGTTATGAAAGTAATAAATTAAAACGTGTGTAGAAAATAGAATAAGCTGTATCATCGCTAATACTGGTTCGATTCTTTTTTTTCTGTTGTTGTTGGTAATTTAATTACCTTTCAAATTTTATTATAAATTTTACCAAAGAATATATATAGAACTTTTTTCAAAAAAATTGAAAAGATAATTATTAGAAGATTATAGGAAAGCTTCATCAAAATCGTCAGAGCCCTTTTTCGCGCTACAGCCTATAGAAAAACATGTTTTTTATTTATTGCGCAGCAGCTATTGCGCATGGGTCACTCAATTCCTGTCATAGGCATCATTAGTCAAAACCCTACAAAATAAAAAAAAAAGAAGCAACAAAATCGGTTCTCTAGTTCTCGAGAAAACCTTGGCACAGACAGACAGACCAATGGCTAAAAATGTGTTTTTCGGACTCAGGGGGCTCTGAAACGTATAGATCCGTTGAAAACCGCATATCAGAAATTCGACCCGATCTCAATACTTTCCTTACCTAGTATAGGCAGGAAAGTAAAAAAGTTTATATAAACAAAATGCCAATTTTCAGCAGAAAAGGAGATAATCCATGTAATTGTGTTTTTAAAAGCAAGTCATGCTTTTTGTTCAATAGAAAGCGATAACTAATGGAATATTTAATTTAAGTAATCTAAGATTGCTTCACTGTAAACTAGATAAAATTTACTTCACACGAAGTAAATTGGACAAACGATAATGTTTGTCATTGTTAAAGCTATTTAAAGATGACTTTTGAACGGCTAAACTAATTGTAAGCTAGGTTTTGTTTTTTAACAAATCAAATTATTCGCGATTTTTCTTTATCATCATCCAACTACACTACTGATATCCTACTTTCAGAAAAATGTCCATGTTTAGTTACCTTTAATTGCATATAAATTAAGTGGAGGTTTATTAGGGAAAAATTGAGATTCACTTTAAGTTATCTAAAAAAAGTATGTGTTTTTTTTATCCTGTCTTCTAAAAGTACTATTGTTTTCAACAAAAATAAATACAATTAATTGTTGCCAAGGTTTTATTTCATGTTGTTCTATGATCATGGATGCATTATAGTAAACTAGCTGATGTACCCATCGTTGACGGGTTTATAGTTAAAATTTGAGAATCTTTTTTTGAGATAGATTTTGTACTATGGGGGAAGGAGGGTCCAAATTCAATTTCATAAAAATGGGTGGAAGGAGATTGTTTTGAATGTTTTTATGGCGGGGCTTATGGAAGTCAAGGTTTCGCAATCGTCATAACGAAAACTTTGTTGTTCGGCTATTTGTTTAGGTACCACACAACTAAACCGACCACCACCGATCCATTAAAATTTGTTAAGCGAAGAGATTGTGGAGTAGATTAATTAATCAAAAAGAGTTGTAGTCTCTCCACTTCTTTAAACTCTGCTGTATGCTGAGTTTTTTTCCTGTTTACCGGCTAATCCGTTTGGGTAATCCTAAAAATGTATACGAA